CACTAAAACTAGCAGCTAAACCTAACCTCACTAAAATTTATCTGTAACATCGATCTCCTCGCAATATTTATATTCTCTGATGCAGATTTCTGGCTACTAACTAGCAACGGTAACCTAACTACAAATTTTATGCAACATTCGATCTCCTCGCACATTATTTTCTCCTGATACCAGATTTTGAGCTAACTAACTTAGCTGCTATCCTGAACTCACTAAAATTTTTATTGCAACATCGATCTCCTCGCACATTATTTTCTCCCTGATACCAGATTTCTGAGCTAACTAAACTAGCATGCTATCTAAACCTCACTTAAATTTTATTGCAACATTCGATTTCTCCTGCGATATTATATTCCTGAATCCAGATTTCTGAGCTAACCTAAACTAGCCGCTAACCTAACTCACTTTAAATTTTATTGTATACATTCGATCTCCCCGCACATTATATTCTTGACAGATTTCTGAGCTAACCTAATAGCAGCTAACCTAACCTTCACAAAAATATTTATTGTACATTCGATCTCCTTCGCACATTATATTCTCCTGATACAGATTTCTGAGCTAACCTAACTAACGTCTTAACTTAACCTACAAAAATTTTATTGTAACATTCGATTCCTCGAAACATTATATTCTCCTGAATGCAGATTTCTGAGCTAACCTAACTTAGCACGCTAACCTAACCTACTTAAATTTATTGTAATCGCTTCCTCGCACTTATATTCTCCTGATACCAGATTTCTGAGTATAACTAACTACAGCTACTAACTACTAAAATTTTATTGAATTCGATCTCCTCGCCAATTAAATTTTCCTGAATACCCAGATTTCTGAGCTTACCTACTAGCACGCTAACCTAACTCACAAAATTTAATTGCAACATCGATCTCCTCGATATTATATCTCCTGATTGCAGATTTGAGCCAACCTATACTAGCACGCTAACTAACCTCACTTAAATTTTATTTGTAACTGTTCCTCGACATTATATTCTCCTGAACAGTTCTGAGCTCACCAACTAGCATCGCTAACTAACCTAACAAAAATTTATGCAACATTCCGATTCTCCTCGCAATATTATTTCTCCTGATGCCAGATTTTTCTGAGCTAACCTAACTAGCATGCTAACCTAACCTCACTTAAATTTTATTGCAAAACACTATACAGACTCCTAACTCACGGCATTATTTATATTTCCTGTGCACAGATTTCTGAGCTAACTATACTAGCACGCCTACCCACCACTAACCACCTCATCATATCTTCATCGCAAACATATCGATCTCCACGCATATTATATTCATCTGAGCCAGATTTTGAGCTAACCTAACTAGCAGGTAACCTAAACCTCACAAAAATTTTATTGCAACATCGATCTCCTGCCAAATATTTTCTCCTGATACCACCCAGACTTTCTGAGCTACACCTAACTAGCATGCTATCCTAACCCTAACTAAATTTTATAAGAAACATTCGATCTCCTCGCACATTATTTTCTCCTGATACAGATTGAGCTAACCCTACAGCAATGCTATCCTAGACTCATCTTAAATTTTATTGTAACATTCGATCTCCTCGCACATTTATATTCTTCTGATACAGATTTCTGAGCTAACCTAATAGCACGCTAACCTAAACCTCACCAAAAATTTTTTGTAAACATTCGATCTCCTCGCAATTATTTTTCCTGATAACCAGATTTATGAGATAAGCAACTAACCTTCAACAAAATTTATTGTAACATTAAGATATATATATAACTACCTTGATGCAGATTTCTGAGCTAACCTACTAGCACGCTAACACTAACTTCACTTAATTTTATTGTAACATTCGTTCTCCTCGCACATTATATTCTCCTGATACCGATCTCTGAGCTAACCTAACAGCACGCTAACTAACTCACTAAAATTTTATTGTACATTGCGATCTCCCTCGCATTATATTCAAGATAAGATTTCTGACTACCTAACTAGCAGCTAAACCTATAAATTTTATTGCACATTCGATCTCCTCGATATATTCTCCATAGAATAAAGATTTTGAGCCTACCAATAGCACGCTAACCTAACCTCACTAAATTTTATTGTAACATTCGATCTCCTCGCACATTATAACCCATCTCCTCCTGATGCAACGCATTTCTGCGCTAACTACTAGCACGGTAACTACTCACTTAAATAATATATAGATAGATATATAGAATATTAATATTTCTGATGCCCATGATTCCTGGAGCTAAACCTAACTAGCACGCTAAACCTACCTCACTTAAATTATTGTAACATTCCGATCTCCTCGCATATTATAATTCTCCTGATCAGATTTCTGAGTAAAACGCTAACTAGCACGGTAACCTAACCTCACTTTAAATTTTAATTGTAACATTTCGATCTCCTGCATATTATATTCTCCTGAGCAGATTTCTGAGTAATAACTAGCAGGAACCTAACTCACTAAAATATTTATTGTACATTCGATCTCTCGCATATATATTCTCCTGATGCCAGATTTTCTGACTACACCTAACTAAGCACGCTAACCTAACTCACTAAAATTTTATGTAACATTTCGATCTCCCGCACATTAATCTCCTGATACGCAGATTTCTGAGCTAACCTAACTAGCACGCTACCTAACCTCACTAAAATTTAATTGTACATTCGATCTCCTCGACATTATATTCTCTGATACCAGATTTTTGAGCTAACCTAATAGACATGCTAACAACCTCACTTAAATTTTAATTGTAACTTCGATTTCCTCGCATATTATATTCCTCCTGATGCCAGATTCTGAGCTAACCTACTAGCAGCGGAACCTAACCTCATAAATTTATTGTAACAATTCGATCTCCTCGCATATTATATTCTCCTGTCAGTTTCTGAGCTAACCTAACTGCAACGCTAACCTAACCTACTAAATTTTTTTGTACCATCGATCTCCTCGCAACATTAATCTCCTGATACCAGATTTTTGGAGCTACTAACTAGCAACGCTAACCTAACCTCACTAAAATTTTATTTGTAACATTCGATCTCCTCGCACATTATATCGTCCCTGAATACCAATTTTGAGTTACTCTAACACTAGCACGGCTAACCTGACTCAACTTAAATTTTATTTTACCTTCGATTCTCCTCGCACATTATATTCCTGATACCAGATTTCTGAAGCTAACTAACTAGCACGCTAACCTAAACTCACTTAAATTTTATTGTAACATTGGATCTCTGCGCATATTATATTTCTCTGATGCCAAGATTTCTGAAAGCTAACCTAACCGTGCAGCTAACCTAACTCAACTAAAATTTTAATTGTAACCATTCGATCTCCTCGCACATTTATTCTCTCCGAATACCAGATTTCTGAGCAACTACTAGCACGCGTAACCTAACCTCACTAAATTTTATTGTACATTCGATCTCCTCGCACATTATATCTCCTGATCCAGATTTCTGAGCTAACCTAACTAGCATGCTAACTAACCTCACTTAAATTTTATTGTAAACATTCGATTCCTCGCACATTGTATTCCCTGATACCAGATTTCTGAGTACCTAACTACACGCAACCTACACTACACTTAAATTTTAATTTTAACCTTCGATCTCTCGCACATTATATTCTCCTGATACCAGATTTCTGAGCTAACATAACTAGCACGCTTAACCTGCCTCACTTAATTTTATTGTAACATTCGATCTCCTGCATATTATATTCTCCTGATGCAGATTCTGAGCTAACCTAACTAGCCCGCTAACCTAAACTCATAAAATTTTATTGTAACATTCGGATCTCCCTGCACATTATATTCTCCTGATACCAGATTTCTGAGCTAACCTACTAGCACGGTAACCTAACCTCACAAATTTTTATTTTGCAACATTATTCTCGCACACTTATTTTCTCTGATACCAGATTCTGAGCTAAGCCTAACTAGCACGCTACCCTAACCTCACTTAAATTTTATTGTAACATTCGATCTCCCGCAATATATATCTCTGATGCAGATTTCTGAGCTAACTCTAACTAGCACGCTACCTAACCTCAACTTAAAATTTATTGTAACATTCGATCTCCTCGCAAATTAATCTCCTGATGCCAGATTTTCTGAGCTAACCTAACTAGCACGGTAACTACCTCACTTAAATTTTATTGCTAACATTCGTTCCTCGCATATTATATTCTCACTGATGCCAGATTTTCTGAGCTAACCTAACTACGCACGCTAACCTAACCTCACTAAATTTTTATTGTAACATTCGATTCTCCTCGCATATTATATTTCCTGATGCCATTTCGAGTAACCTAACTAAGACGGTAACCTAACCTCACAAAATTTAGGTTAGCTCAGAAATCTGGTATCAGGAGAATATAATGTGCGAGGAGATCGAAGGTTAAAATAAAATTTAAGTGAGGTTAGGTTAGCGTGCTAGTTAGGTTAGCTCAGAAATCTGGTATCAGGAGAATATAATGTGCGAGGAGATCGAATGTTACAATAAAATTTAAGTGAGGTTAGGTTAGCGTGCTAGTTAGGTTAGCTCAGAAATCTGGTATCAGGAGAATATAATGTGCGAGGAGATCGAATGTTACAATAAAATTTTAGTGAGGTTAGGTTAGCGTGCTAGTTAGGTTAGCTCAGAAATCTGGCATCAGGAGAATATAATGTGCGAGGAGATCGAATGTTACAATAAAATTTAAGTGAGGTTAGGTTAGCGTGCTAGTTAGGTTAGCTCAGAAATCTGGTATCAGGAGAATATAATGTGCGAGGAGATCGAATGTTACAATAAAATTTAAGTGAGGTTAGGTTACCGTGCTAGTTAGGTCTCAGAAATCTTATATCATGATCAGGAGTTGATTGAAGGTTAGGTTAGAATGCTAGTTAGGTTAGGCCAGATTAGTTTGGGCGTTTTAAATTTTTACAAATCTTGTATCTAACCTAATGCACATGAAACTTGGCTCTCAAAGGCCTTAAAATGAACACCCTTTTAAAATTCTTATTTATTGCGGCGTACTCTTATGGCGATTTAACTCGTATATTGCGAACAGATACTTGATTAAAATCGTCAAAAAATCTGTACGGACGGCCGTTCGTTCACTCGCCCTGTCCTATGGAAATCCAAAAACGCTGTCGAAAAGGAATACGCTATAATACAGGAGCGAAAAGTTTAATTTTCGAGTTTCGTGGTTTACTTCTTTGACAGTGAAAGGCACAAATCTCATAATGTTTATAGCCTTGCCTGAGTTTCTGGTAATCGTTGATTATAAAATACATTTCAAAGCTGGTAATATTAAAATAATCCAAGCAGAATACATTGTGGTGACATCTGTCTTTATTATTGGGGACTAACATGTTATCGAAAAATGCAGGACACTTTATTACCAACATTATTTTAGTTAGAACGTACACCTCAAAGATGTCGCCACAGTAATTTTTTTATATACTTTTTGAAACTAACGTTAGATGTCAGAGCGGTAATTTTAACCATAGATATATGAAGATTTAACCTCTAATGCATAAATGTTTGTTTTTTTTATAATCAAAACTTGAACTTTGTTTTGTTATCATTTCTCTCTCGCTTACAGGTTTAAATTGTGAACTGGCTACTTGCAGTGACAGGAAAGCGGCAGCTCGGGCATGGCGGAAAAAGATACTGATCGCTCTGGGTCGTCCGATCGGAAGACTGGTAGTTCTCGATGGGTGAGAAAAGTTAGCATTGAATTCGGACAACACAAATTGAAAAGGGAAAGGCTTTGTAACCAAAACAGGAGGACACGTTGGAGAACTCACAGAAAACCCATTCAAACGCAATTCAAACTTCTCAACGTTAAAACGATTACAATGGTGCAATGCTATTCGTTAACAATTGAGCCTTGAGTTCATTCGACAGAACTAAAGTTATAAAAACGGAAGTGAAATTGGCAACGAAACGGAGCGAAAGTGTTACGCAGTTTGCAAGCACCCAAAAAGGTGTTGTTTGTGCGATCTTCATGTGAAAGTTGTTGTAAAATGGTTCACTTTAATGTACCTGTATTGAAATTGTACTTCCAAGTGCTTTAAATAAACTCCCATGCATAAGAAATTACGATTTGCAAAAACAATTAATGTTCGTTTTCTGTTCATTGAGCATGATGTGTTGCCTACAAACCAGGCTACACAAATATCGAATACCCATATTGAAATGTCGGGCCATTGTTTAAATAAACAATGGTCGGGCTTTGCTTGATTATCCCCAATTAAGTACATGAAGGACACCGTAATGAGATAAGTGTTTATTGCTACCCTCTGCCGAAATGTTACAAAATAGTGATCAAAACGAGTCCCTTTTTGCATAAAGGATTTACATTTGAAAACGTAACTTTTCGACATCTAACGTTAGCTTCATGAACTCGCAGCTCTTGTGTTAAAGGAAATCTGTTTCGTGCTAGTGGTGACATCTGTCCTTTAGCTTAAACAACTAATATAATGGTAATATAGAGGTGCTCTACATTTATTGGTAACATCTGAGTCTGACTTAATTACGCCAGATGATGGGACGATATTTAAGATCATCAACTATTAATTATGGAATAAACTAAAATTATTCAATGACCGTAGTCAATAAACAAAGGTTACATATCATTTGATGTAGGTGTTCAGGCTCTGGTCGTTTTGTATTCTAAAGGCCAAAATGGACTAACTGAGCCAACGGTCGGATACGACAGAAATAAACTTGATAAATATATAGCCTGGTTTGTAGGCAACACATCATACTCAATGATCGGAAAACTAATTTTCTACTGTTATTGGTAATTTCTTGCACGGGATTTCGTTTAAAGTCGATAGAACATTCGACACTGGTACGATTTACAATTTTTACTCGAAGTTCGCAAAAATAACAATCCATTTTTCGTCCTTGCAAACTATGTAACACTTTTGTCCCGTTCCATAACCGTTTTTGTATCTGTAGTTCTATCAAATCATTCCTCGAAGCTAAATTTTTTTAAAAATAGCTTCGCACCATCTGCAGCTGCTGCAAACATGTGAACGCTTCGATTTTAACGTTGAGATGTTTGAACCGTTTCTCCATCGTGTCCGCTTGTTTGGATTACAATTTGTGTTGTCTGAATTCAATGCTAACGTTTCTCATCCATCGAGAACTATATGTCTTCCGATCCGATGACCGAGAGCGATCAGTTTCATTTTCCTCAATAGTCTGCTGCTTTCCTGTCACTCCCAGTAGTTCCCTAATTTAAACCTGTAAGAACGAAAGGAGCGATAATAAAGTTAATTTTTTGATTAAAAAATAAACAAACTTTTAGGTATTTGTACATTTGAGGTTAATTAATGGTTACTGTAAGTAAAAAAATGCTCCGACATCTAACGTTGGTTTCATGAATTATATTTAAAAAGTTGTGTGGCGACATCTTTCAGAAATAGGCGTAATTAAAATAATGGTAATAATAAAGTATCCTGCATTTATCGATATAATGTTAGTCTTCATTAATAGTGATAGATGTCAGGACCATGCTTTTTGCTTTGAATATTTAATTATTTACAAAAAACTCACGAATTGGTTTCTAGTCTATAACTTTTTTTGAGAAGTCTAATCGAAAAAGTACGAATCGTTTGGAATTTTACGCACCAAAATTAATAAGAAAAAGCGTTTTCCCGAGAAAATTTGGTGTAGTCGATTTTTTGAAAAAAAGGAAGGTTGTACACTGTCTTTTTTTTTGGCCAGAAAAAAAAATTGTCTCAGATCGACAGGGAAAAAACATTTTCTTATAGAATGTGGCCTGTAGAATCCATAATTTCAATCAGTTCCTAGATTGAGCTACTAGATCAAAAGTTACAGCCCTTTGAATTTTCTTACGAAATTGGTTTCTAGTCTATAACTTTTGATTGAGAGGTCTGATCGAAAAAGATTAGATGTAGCCGAAGGTAAGTATGGAGTTGGTACACCCTGCGATGTGTTCAATTAATTTTTTGTTTTCGGTTCTATAAAGTATTCAAAAATAACGTCGTCCAATAAAGTGGCGACATCTCACAGCAAGATGTTCAGCTATCACTTGGAAATGATCTAGGAAAGTCTATCGTTTACCAAAGAGATGGCGCACGTGTACCAAATGAATTAACAAGAGACAATTCCAAATACGGTATCATTGAAGTACAATTACTCTACAGATCCTAGAAGAGTTTGCACATTTTCAACTGCCATTTAAGGAAAATTGAGTGGGACGTGTGCGCCGTGGCTATTAAGTGAATAAATTGAAATGTTCTTTTGAATGTAGAGACGTACGTGGCGGCATCTCATTGGAACCTGTTGAACTATTACAAGAAAATAATTTGGAAAAGTGTATCGATTATCAAAGAGATGGCGCACGTGTACCAATTGCTTAAACAATAGGCATTTCCAAATACTGGATAATTGAAGTACAATTGCTCTACAGATCCTGCAAGAGATCGACCGGGAAAAAACATTTTCTTATGGAATGTGGCCTGTAGAATACATAATTTCAAACAGTTCCAAGATTGGGCTACTAGTTCAAAAGTTACAGCCCTTTGAATTTTTTTTCGAAATTGGTTTCTAGTCCATAACTTTTGATTGAGAGGATTGAGAAAATGTTTTTTCCCGGTCGATTTCAGGCAATTCATTTTTCCGACTCAAAATATAGGCAAGTGTATAGCCTTTGTTTTTCTCCGAAAATCGGCTTCCCCAGTTTGTCAAGACGCGCGTCTTGCAAAAGGTGGTTAATTCCGCATGTAGGGAAAAAAACAAAATCCCGTCACGTTTACAAGATCTTTGCGACGACACCAATCTGAAAACCATCGGACCAAACCTGGTGAAGGAGATAGGTAAAAATGGAAAATCTCCATGGCGGCGCACCACGTTCGGAGATGGTGCCCAGATGTCACCGACCCCACATGATGTAGCCCTGTCGTTAATGACAGTGCCCCGGTAGATACACGTACACTACTCGTCTTTCTAGAAGCGTTCTTCTAAGGGTCCTCATTTTGGTTTATCCTTCATGATACTCTAATGAAAGGTCCCAACAAAATGGATTAATTTCTACCAACCATAGTCTCCTCCTCGACTCCTTATTGTGATCGGATATAAATAATTCCTTATACGTCAAGAACAGGTTGTCGGAGGACGGTACTCACAAAGGAAGATTGGGACGTCTGGAAGGGTTATGTCAAAACTTTACGAGCGAATATGTCGAAACACACTGGAAGAAAGTACTCAAAAGGGCAAAATAAATAGAGGGAGATGTGTAGAGATGTAAAGGATTAATAAAAACACTGTGTATAAATGTTCAAGAGGTTTAGAGAAGATGCAGATATTCTTTATGTCATTAGTTGTCGATACAATTTTACACATCGTTCGTAAACGACAAAGATGACAATAAATTGCGGGCCGTTACGTATCAACAAAGGCGTAAATCCGCTCCACAGAGCCAGAGGACCTTCACGTCGTATTACGCTCGTTAAAACATGGCCCAAATTCCGGTACTCCGGTTTACCGTCGACTATTTGCATATTCTGCATTCTGGAATAGATCTGTCGTAAGTCTTCGTGCTTTTTTGAACAAATTTTACCTTGTTTTTGCCATGTCCATGGGTAGTACTACGCACGTTGTTACAAACGCGGATAGCATGCTGCAAAGGGTGTGTGTTGAGGGGTTGTCGCCCATCATTCCAGATCTTAGAAGGGATTCTTTAAATTGGTAATAGGTAAGTATTTGCGTTGTGTTTAGAAGCACGGCTCTTATAACCACTGGAGTCAAACCGAGGAAAAGTGTCGATGGGCCTTCCTCCTTGTACATTCGAGTCAGAGCGTCTACAGTGCCTTTATAATTGCGTCTTTTATCGGGTGGCAATAGTTCATCGGTCGATATTCTGGTGAGTGCCACATCGGGAGGAAGCCCAGCGATTCCACCCATGGCACCGGACACTACGCCGAGTCCACACTTTACCAATAAATTCGGCGGCCCATATGTACTGCAAGAAACAAGTTAGTAAGGCTCATTGGCTACCGATCTCACTTGTTTACGTGATCAAGCAACGCTTGATACATGCCCATTCGCGTGCCGGTATACAAAGTTTGCCTAACCATGCTCGTTCCCAAACCCTTGTATAATCCCAAGAACCCCTTATCCTTCAGTGTTAGATTTACAACATCCTTTGCCGTAATTTTACCCTTATTTATTTTCCCGTACACCTGCATGCGATTCTTTACCAAGTCCAGAGGGTAGCATACCAACGTAGCCGCAACTCTAAGGAACTAACTTTAATTACTACTAGACCTTCAGTGAAAGCAACACCACCCAGAAGTTGAGGCGAACAGGAACTTGGTATAAGCCGGTAATGGTGCCGCGTCTCCCATTATGTCATGGATCTGTCACGAAACATGTTTTCATAGTTACGCATTTCGCCGGCTGCGTACTTTTTTGAATGACCCCACTTGGATTTCTTAGCTGTTTGTTGGTTCTCTGGTCTGGTCAATGACGTCGTCGTTCAAATCAGTTGCGGGGGCGTTTTCACTTACACAGAAGGGCCTTTGGTTGTATATGCGGCTTGAACCATCCACAAGGCCCATAATACTGTACGGTGCGCAATTGTATGGTCGCCTTGCCATGTTCACCTGAGGCCTTTCTGATGTTTCGCTTATTTAACTAGGGTTTTCCGATTGCCTTCTCTCGACTGATATGATTTCTGAGGCTCCCGGTTCGTTGACAAGTCGGCTGATGGGATTTTGCGTTCGCTCTTCGGCGGGTTCCGACCGCTACCTGATGTCTCCAATCCATGGAACCGAGACGTTTCGGCGGCTTTCCAGGGTCGTAATAAGGCGATGGATGACGTCACAGAAACCGTTGACAGGGACAGAGATGTGGATGAGCCCAGGTTTGAATAATTTTTGGTCACATTGTGTGACAACAAAGTACTATTGCAGCATTTTTGGCTGACAGGTAACAGCAGGTTAAAAAAAGTGGGGTAAAAAATGGAAAATTTCAGTCCATCACGACCAGGTGTTCCTCTCTCGACAAAATGATAAGGGCGCAGCATACTGCCGAAGAGTTGTCGCAGTTGCTACTCAGATGGGGACAATATGCTGTGGTAATGACCCCTACAAACCGTATGACGATCAACTGGATCAGACCATACTTTGGCGCTACTCCCCTCGCGAGCCTGTGAAAGAATGCGGAGTCACTTATGGCACTACTTCCACACCGTACCGGTACCTAGCAGTAAGGACAGTTGATCGAGTTGTTGAAACGAGGAGGATTCAAACTTAGGGGCGAAATGGAAAAGGAATTCATGGATCTTGGGCCAGAAGACATAAAAAAGATCCAAACTTAACAGCAGATGTCTTCGGTAACGTAGGACATTTGAGAGCCGCTATCTCATAGTGCCCGAATAACTTCTTAGAAGGAATGAATTCTCTTGAAAAGCATGTAAGTAGTTTTAGGAAACCTTCCTAGGTATTTTACTAAAAACTACAGAAATTTTCTTGATGAAGAACGTGTAAAATTTATTTATTTTGTATTTTTGTCTTGGTTTTAATAAAATTAACCGAATTTGATTTTGAGGGGAGGTATGTCGTACAGAAAACTGTACAGTCTTTAAAATGATGTGGTTATTCCGAGTCTGAGAGGAGGAGGAGGGGACGGCATATTATAACTTTAAAGTGGCAGTAGCTGGAGGTGCGGAGTTAAATTCTAAAACTACGGTAAACCCTTCATTAAACTTCCTCTTAGCGTCTTATGGACGCCATGTTGGATTTTTACGGATTAAGATATATGGAAAAAGGACTTAGGACCTTATTTTTTGGCCTACATTGTCAATTCACGAAAAATTTGATAAAGAACGCAACGAAATTTCATCGTAATTGGTTCATTAGTAGTCGAGTAAAATTAGAGTTCAACCTAGAACAAATTCGGGACAAGCAAGCGATGCCAGAAATTATCTTACCAATAATGCTCTTTAACATACTAAAAGTCCCCATATCTCCGAGGTGCGGAACATCCTGAAAATTGAGCCGCCATCTTGGATTTTCATGTTTTTTGCTAATAACTTTGTTATTATTTTTTTTTTCGGAAAAAGTTAGGAAAGGGAGTTTGTGAAGCTTTAAAATACAAATCCAATGCTTCTTCATTTCTCGAAATCGATGGAAAACTAAGGGAGTTATGATTTTTTTATTGTATCAATAATCGCACTATACAGCATTCGCTGTGTATACTATACGACAGTGCAACACTCCCCTCTCCCTCAGACATGAGCAGAGATATGTGTGATACCCCTACCCTTAGGCCACCCTCCTGCCCTCACCCCCCTCCCCGCCCATCTGCCCTCGCTTCATCCCCCTTTTCTGGTATAGTCTAAATTAATTAAAAAACTAAACATGATTAACGTATATTTATTTGCAATGGACAATTTAGGGTAAAGGTTCAGCATCACCACTTTCTGGGTCTAAGCTGTTGCCGCAAAAATTGCCAGTACAATTCCTGTAACATGCAATGCATTTGAGCCCCGACTTCCTACAGCTACAAGAATTAGAACACGTCTCTTTGCAACCGCAAAACAGCATTTTCAAAATGAGATCCGGTCCACAGGGTTTTTCCATTCTTACAGGCTCCAAGACATTGTTTTGATTCGTAAACCAGCCAAAGTCTTTATGGTTCAATTCCTTACCCATTCAATTCTGGACCTGTATACACCCGTCTCAAATGTAATCGGCACCACTTATTGTTTGCAAGTTGCATCCATTTAGTTAATTATGGAGAGGTCTGTCGCTAAATCCGCTGGAATACGAGTAAACTACGAGCTTGACATATCATCCGATTCAAATTTATATAAAATATGTATCCCAGACCACGAGATCTGCATCTTTTTAATCAGTTCGACTTAAGTTCTGCTTGTCGCTTTCTTGGACCACTTTATTGATGATGATTGTAAAAGTAACATTCGGTAGTTATTTGAAAATATTGCCCCACGAGAGGGCGGTAAACTAAAATTTGGACTGAAAATTGTTGCATCGATAAAGAATAATTAGTCTTTGGTCTATAAAGTTCCAATCAATTTTGCCTATCGGATAAATCGAATTATTCGCGAAGTTATTCGTGTATTAATAGTGCGATTATTGATACCTACAATAAAAAAATCATTACTCTCTTAGTTTTCAATCGATTTCGAGAAATAAAGAAGCATTGGATTCGTATTTTAAAGCTTCGCAAATTCCCTTTCTTAACTTTTTCCGAAAAAAATGATGATAACAAAGTTATTAGCAAAAAACATGAAAATCCAAGATGGCGGCTCAATTTTCAGGATGTTCCGCACCTCGGACATATGGGGACTTTTAGTATGTTGAACAACATTATTGGTACTACTAATTTCGGACATCGGTTGCTTGTCCCGAATTTGTTCTAGGTTTGAGCCAAATATTACTCTAATTTTACTCGACTATAGCTAGAGATATCATGCTAACGGGACAGACGGACACACATCGCAAAATTACCAACTCGCTAGGAGCTCGCTCTTCTATATGCTATACTTTTTGGTACGGTTGTGTACCTACTATACCACTATAATCAAAATAGCGTAATTTTTGTTTTTCAGGCGAAACACTTTTCTTTTCTTTAAACGCAGTAGGCTAGGGCTTCTATAAAAATGACATATTATTCCAATTTCGGAAAAAATTGTACAAGACCAAGGGCCATCTATCCCGCAAATACCGGAATTGAAGTTTATTTCCCGAGGAAGATGTTTTCCTGAGATTGAAACTTGAGAGCAGTTTTGCGGTATTGACCTCCAGTTTCAATTTTTCCCATAGCAAGAGCTTTCACCAAGTGGGTGTGTGTAATACCGGCTTGACATAATCCCCATTCTTGTCGCACAACCACACTTGTATATTTCCGTCTTTGTTTTTGTATTATGTATTCATTACAGAGCATTTGCCCTGCGCCCAGGCCCAATGCACCAGCTGTACGCTAATGTAAACAATTTCAGTTTATAAATAATAAGAAAATTAGTACAAATAAAAATTAATTAAAATGCAATGTGATGATCTAGAAATTGAGGTAAGAAAACCCAAAAACGAGAGACCTTCTGAAACAACCACCCGTTTTTTTTTCCGGTCTAGTTACCCACTGCCCCACGTCTTAACGAATTAGACAGTGCCCTACACGAATTAGGAATGCTAGCTTCGTATACAAACTCTCGACAAGAGTACCTGAAAGAAATTCGGCAAAAGCCACTTTATAACATGCTCACTATTAACACACGGTACGTCAGTAACGTCTCGATCGGTTTCCAATTGAGACCGACGACTCCTCACGTCCGCTACAAGCCTTACACCAACACCAAACGGGAGGAGAGGCACCGCACGAAGTCGGAGAATAACGACGTGACCGAAACGATCAGCCTGGTTAGGGGCATTTTGGAGGAGACCGTGCACGAGAAGGTTATGGACGAGGTGTCGCAGTTAAAGAAGGCGAAATCCCTTGAGAGTATTATCGCCGAAAACAATCAGGACGTCGATTTGACCAAAATTACCATACCGGAGGTCGAGGTCGTTTCGGATTTAGAAAGATTAAAGGTTGTCGAGTAGGGGAGCTTCGTTTCTTCTTTCGATTGATAGAGGTCACAATTGTTTATTTATTTTAGTTTCGGATAATTGGTAGGAATCGAGAGTTTCGTTTGACTTTTATGAATACAGGGTGGATCACAGGAACAGGCATTATGTGTAATTTTAGTAGTAGGCTGTGAATGTTTCTTTTGACTATACTTTAAATTTCCCGAATATGTGTGCCATCGGTGTTCTGTAAATCGCAAGGAAAAATGGTTCATTCTGTCCATTAAATTTGAAGTGGGATACAAAATTCCAGTCGTTGTAAAATATGTACGTTTCTCTGTACAGAGATACGGAGTTTGTTGTGATGTTAGTTTGAAGATTTAAAGAATGCATTGTTAAATTATTTAAAAAATGGATCATTATGTGCTTGAGTTGAGGGTATGATCAGTAACGTTATAATTGAGTATTAAATTAAGAGAAGCACTGTTACATTTCAATTAGCTTAGATGTATTGGTATCTTCACAACTGTTTTTTGGAACAATTGTTTATGATAAACAAATCTAGTTTAATACACGTTTTGTTTTATAAAAAATTTTTGTAAAACGGTTCTTAATAAATCAAATTGTGTACAAAAAGATATATGGATTCACAGTAATTAATTCCAAAGACCCCATGCGTCCCAACCATTGAAGATTTACTAGTGACGTTCTAAGTTAAGTTACCTTATGTAATCTACCGAGCAAGTTTCAACTGCATAAGTGCCCCAATAATCTGAGTTACGATAGGGGGGTGGACACCCCACGTACCTAAGCCTCTAATTCGGACCCTCTGTGCTACCCCCCTGACTAGAGTCGTCCGACCCCTCAACGTAACTCAAGCTATCACACATGAATGCTGGAAGGGGAAGCGGACATTCACAAAGTATGTGATGTGTGGTCTCTTTGTCTGTGTAACACCCTCTACAAGATGGTGATTCTACCAAACCCATGAAGTCCAGAAAATATGCCCAGTAGTAACCTCAAGTAGCCTTGTGCAAAAACGCGCCTGCGTACGAGATGGCCCTTTGAAGGCTTCTTTTGCATGACGACAATCTAACATCATGTTTCACTTAGCCATGTGTTGGGTTTTGTTGCCTTGAGTTATTATGACTTGTTTACAGTGGCCGCTGTAAGTGGAAGGGCCGACTCTCGTCCATAAAACACCTGTATGTTGAGGTCAGTCGGGCTAACTCATTACCTACCATTCGAACGAGCTCTAGTGGCTTTGCTCCCCCACGTGCAGAGATCTAGTGGAGGCGAGAGTTGTTCGCATAGCGCCTGTGGAAGCAAGGCACATGATATAAGAAGTGCTAAAGGTTTGTTGAGGGTCTGATTCTAGGCCACAAAGACAATTGCTCCATACCAGAGCATAGGTCGGCAGTGTACAGCCACGAGACAGCCTTCAGGGATGGCCCTCAAAGTCTCCCAACTCCACGGCGGCTTTGCCAGAAAGCCCTACTTGCTTTTTCGGCTTGGAGCTAAATATGTGTTTGCTCCAATTTAGTTTTTTTAATTTTTTTGTCAAGTGTGATTCCTAGACTTTACTGACCGAAAATTGGAGGTGTTCTTGGAATAGTAGGGGAGTTCAAAGACCTTTTTTTTCTTGTGAAGAGATCAAAAGTTACAGCCCTTCGAATTTTCTTACGAAATTGGTTTCTAGTCTATAACTTTTGATTGAGAAGTCTAATCGAAAAAGTACGAATCGTTTTGAATTTTACGCACCAAAATTAATAAGAAAAAGTGTTTTCCCGAGAAATTTTGGTGTAGTCGATTTTTGGTAAAAAAGGAAGGTTACACTGCCTTTTTTTTTGACTCGTAAAAAAATTGTCTCAGATCGATCGGGAAAAAACATTTTCTCTTAGAATGTGGCCTGTAGAATCCATAATTTCAAATAGTTCCAAGATTGGGCTACTAGATCAAAAGTTACAGCGCTTTGAATTTTCTTACGAAATTGGTTTCTAGTCCATAACTTTTGATTGAGAGGTCTGATCGAAAAAGATTAGATGTAGCCGAAGGTAGGTATGGAGTAGGCACTCCCTGCGATGTGTTCAATTAATTTTTTCTTTCGGTTCTATAAAGTATTCAAAAATAACGTCGTCCAATAAAGTGGCGACATCTCACAGCAAGATCTTCAGCTATCACTTGGAAATGATTTAGGAAAGTCTATCGTTTACCAAAGAGATGGCGCACGGGTACCAATTGCTTAAACAAAAGACATTTCCAAATACTGGATAATATGAAGTACAATATTGCTCCACAGATCCTACAAGAGAATGTACATTTTCAACTGCCCTTTAAGGAAATTTGAGTGGGACGTGGGCGCCCTGGCTATTAAGTGAATAAATTGAAATGTTCTTTTGAAGGTAGTTACGTACGTGGCGGCATCTCATTGGAACTTGTTGAACTATTACAAGAAAATACCCAAAACGATTCGTACTTTTTCGATTAGACCTCTCAATCAAAAGTTATGGACAAAAAACCAATTTCGAAAAAAATTCAAAGGGCTGTAACTTTTGAACTAGTAGCCCAATTTTGGAACTGTTTGAAATTATGGATTCTACAGGCCAAATTCTAAAAGAAAATGTTTTTTCCCGTTCGATTTCAGGCAATTCATTTTTCCGACTCAAAATATAGGCCTTTGTTTTTCTCCGAAAATCGACTTCTCCAGTTTTTCAAGACGAGCGTCTTGCAAAAGGTGGTTAATTCCGCATGTAGGGAAAAAACAAAATCCCGTCACGCAGGATGTGCTCATTTACAAGATCTTTGCGACGACACCAAACTGAAAACCATCGAACCAAACCTGTAGAAGGAGATAGGTAAAAATGAAAAATATCCATGGCGGCGCACCACGTTCGGAGATGGTGCCCAGATGTCACCGACCCGAGATTTACTAGTGAGGTTCGTTAAGTTACCTTATGTAATCTATCTAGCAAGTTTCAGCTGCACAAGTATCCCGAGTAATCTGAATTACAATAGGACGGTGGACCCCCACATACCTAAGCCTCTAGTTCAGTGACCATGGAGTCTGAAAGGGCCCTCCCATGCAAAATTGTATACGAATTAATGTAAAGCAGTGGGTTAAGTTTTGAAAAAAATTTCAAAAAGTGTTGGAGGATGTCTAGTTATATGCAACTGAGCAACTCCGAGATACTTGACTTGATTGAGAAAACCATAGCCATAGGTCATTAATATTTTATTTAAAAAATAATGAAGAACTAGAACATACAAAAGTTACAAAAATGTTCCTATTTAATGCACTATTGAGCATTGTAAAAAAAAGCTAGTATAAAAAATTAAATATATCCAAAAATTTTCCGCCTTTCCGCAGTTTTGCTGGCAAATTCCTTTAATATAATCCCCTACTTCTACACTTTTTGTAATTTCTCCATGCACATGCACTAGAAGATATGTTAGTCGCTTTTGAGTGATTTATCTACTCATTCTTAGAGGGGGCGCGGCCCCCTTTGTGTAAAAACTGAGGGGGCGACTCACCCCTCTCACCCATACCTCTGACGTCGCTGCGAGGGCGTTATCTGTACTTGTCTAAAATTCTCACTTGGAGCCGTCTACGCCTTCTTGATCACTGAATCACTCAACACGACAAGGCCCAACACTGAGGGGTTGTCCTCAGTAAGTGGCATACAAATTGCAAGATTTTGGTGATTTGAAAAATAGGGAACATAAAACATTAAAATTTTTAACTAAGGGGGTTGCAAGTTCAAAAATTATTCATGACTTTTAGAGCTTTGAAATGGATTAGAAAACTCTGAAAAGCCAGAGACTTCCTTGGAAGAAGCCTAGGCGAGAGTGAGATAAAGCCATACTACTCCAAACAGTGGGGTGTTTCTTTTTTTGAAATTACTTTGACCGATAAGTTGTAACTAAATACAGTAGGAAAAAATGTCAATTAATTGTATATTCTAATCTAACAAAAAATAAGTACAGTCCATTTTATTTACAAATTAATCAAATTTCCCGTTACAACCGTGTCTTTCTCCTTTTGCATTCGTTGTGCGTGCTTCCAGGAGTTGAAATCGGTAAGTATCGGCCGACCGTACGAATTATGCAACTCCCAGAACGAAATGCTAACTTTGTTGGTTTGCGGGTCGCTGTTCCTTGCATTTTCGTCCATTCGACCTAGAAATAACAAACATAGAGCATAAGACAAAAGGGTTCAGTAGTCGTACCTGGCGCTGAACGCATGCTGTTCGACCGCTGATGGGGACTATTCGACGGTTTATTGAAGGGGTTGTGTCTCTGACGCGGAGGAGGTACTGGGGAGCCTACTGCTTGTGCCAACGGAACGGGCGTCTCTAAAGGAACATACCAAAAACTGTTGCAATTTAAACCATTTTTTGAGAAGGACGCCATACTTTAATTTGTTATCATTGCAGTAGATATTCAAATGAGTGTCATTGAGGTAAAAAATGACACTAACCTTCAATATCATCTAATTGCCTTTGTAATTCGGCCACCATTAATTTCATGTAATCGTAACTGGCACACGCTAATGCTTTCATCCATTGTTCCATTGCTTCCTGAGATTCGGCACCGAGAACGTAACTACGGTTGTTTGTACCGTGAAATTCGATTTTAAAGCTAAACTGTTCGTCATCTTCATCAAGCTCTAAAATGTGAACTTGTACGTGGGACGACAACTTACTTACTTACCGATTGTACATCCTTCTAAAATGATCACGCCTATGGGCTCTTTGTCGCCTTTCTTTTCGAAATAGAATAACAAATTCCCTTTTAAAATGAAATATCGACGTTGAAATGTTTTGTTCACTTCGCCCTTTTTATTGAGATAGCCTTCACGGTCAATTGGGGTTGCAGAAACTGCGAACGCGCATAAATTCTTCTCGTTAATTTTCATGGCAAGTAATGTTTATAGTTTATTTGTGGGGCCGAGGCAGGAAGTTGAGGTTATGCACCTTTAACTTTTAACAACATTGTCATTGTCTAAAAATCCCATTTCTTAAAATTACCACAACCCCAAAACTGTTCTTGTAATCTAAACGTCGTTAAAGAAGTGCTGTTCTCTTAGAAAATTTTGGTTCTTCTTAAGATTTTAATCGTTTTCTTAGAAACATTTCTTTTTCATAATACTTTTCTGTAAAAAAAAAAACTCATTATGATCTATAAACTTCCTTTTGTAATGCAACACTCTTCGAAGGCCGTCTTCTCTTGATTAACATAGGAGGGTGGACCGGGGCCACGCGTATCTAGGCCTCAAATTCGGGCCCTTTGTAATACCTATTTCCCTCGCTATAGAGTCGTCCGGCCCCCCAACGTCACTCAAACCATCCCATACGTGAGATGAAGCTAAGGGTGCTGGAAGCAGAAGCGGCCAGGATTCCTCTAACATGGATCGTCTCAGTCTAGACCAGGACATTCACAAAGTATGTGGTGGCCATCTCATCGTCTGTGTAACATCCTCTACAAGATATTGATTCTACCAAACCCATGCGATGCAAACAATTGCTCCATAGAAGAGCATAGGTCACAACAGTGCACAGCCTTCGGGGATGGTCCCCAAAGTCTCCCAATTGCGCGGAGACATCCCCAGCAAGCCCTTTTTTGCTTTTTCGGTTTTGAGCTGATATGTTTGCTCCAATTCAGTTTTTTGTCAAGTGTGATTCCTAGAAAATTTCACTGATTTTGAAAATTGGAAGTATTCTTGGAAAAGCAGAGGGGAGTTCTAAGACCCTCTTGAGTTACTGTTAGGTATGATCACGTTCAATCACTTCTGCAAGCGGAACACGAACTTTTAATGACTCAGGTCCTGAACGGAAGGTTGGTCTGCTGTAACAACATCGTAGGATTGGTTGCACGCAGTGCTTCACCTTTTCCTATCCTGCGCTAATTTTTTCATTTCTACATAACTACCCATGCCTACGTCCCTAACTATTTGCTCTAGCGTCCTACACCTCCCTTGCCCTCTGGCCTATATTCTATAGCTAGGTGCACTAGTCCTCCGTGTCCGAGCACGTGCCCTATCATTCAATCTCGTCTTCTCTGTACGGTTTTTCGCATTTACCTGTAAAGGTATGGAAGCTGGGTTTCGTGCGGAAAAATTCAGTGGTGGTTTCCCGTGGCCTTCCACCTAGCCACCGCAGTATCTTTGTCCCGGTTACCACCCGTCCCTCCTTCCGACTCGAATTCTGGAGGCCGCTATGGACGCGTGTGTAACCTTAGCTCGTCCCATATGAGGCACATACGGTAGACTGGCATACCGAAATGCGAGCGTTTGCTTGGGTTGGGCCCCGGGTCCACAAAACGCTCAGCGGCTATGATCTTGACTAATGCAGCCATTGTCGTTACAAAAAAATTATTAATACTAATACCATTGAATAAGCACTTTAAAGAAGTATAACTACATAGGAAAACCTGAAATTGGTGTAAGGTGTGTTGCATACACTTCAAAGTGGTTAATTACCACAAATATTGAAGGATATTTGGCCTCGGACGGTAAATAATGACTATTTTAAACAGGGAAACCAGTTATACTTAGGGGTCCTTTGTTTTCCTTGTTTATCAGAGTTGAACAATGTTGTCATATTTACCAGATCCTTATATAGAGATAGGTAAAGTTTGATTGTTTATTATGTAAAGAACAGTTCTTGTTGTTTTCTTATTATATTAAACTACATTTTGTACTTTATTTATTGTTCCTTATGATCTTACATTTCAGATTGATCCTCCCTTACAATTTACATAATATTGTTATTGGCATTGAATAAAAGACTCAAAGCGCTTGCCAAAAATCTGGCAACGTTGGAATTTTAAAGAAGGAAAGAAATCTGCAAAGTCGGTAACTAGCTTTAAATTTGTGGTTCTCTTTCCCCCACAACAGAGGGACGACAGAATCCTGGACAGATTTTCTTATTTCATCAGTTAACACGGGCGTTATACTTCTTTAAGGTGCTTATTCAATGCTAATACTTAATAAAATGGCATAAAGACATAACCGTATTCAAAACAAAAGAGTGGAGCACGCCGTGTTTCAACAAACAAATGCAAACATGAAATTGCAAGATTGTGAATAGTACAGGAAAATAAAATTATTATTACCTGCAAAATTACACTTTTCAAAACAAAATAAACATTGAGAAACCGTTACGCGTGCACACTTCCAAAGCCACCGATATCTAATGAACCACGCCAACTCCCTGCGAAGCTTCGTCGCGAAAATCTCTGCTCACCTGTATCTGCGCAGAACGGTCGATGACCTTTCACAATTGTATAGAACGTTCGTATTTTTTCCATACCGTCATTCTTTTCAGATGTAAGGTATGTTGCCTAATCATAGGGGTATGTCATCGCAAACTTAAATTCGAAAAACCTTGCGGAATAGTGAAACTGTTGTCAGTATACGATAATTTGTTGCAATAGTCGGAGATTGATAATAATTTATTTATTTTGATTTTTATTTATTTATTTTGCACATACACAAAACTTGATGTAAAAAACAGGTTAAAAATAAGTTGCAAAACAAAGAACTGGTTGGGATACAAGCAGGTAACAGAACAAGGTAGCTGTACAACAGGAGACTCATCTTTGGCGCAATAAAACCCTTCTTAAAAGCAAGAGCTATAGTACTGCTCCTGGACTAAAGTCCACCGACCACAAGTTTCTGGACTCCCCTCATTTTGGAATTCTCATACCCAAAACGTACATGGCCGATGTTTGGATAAGTGTAACAAGGACGAGTTTTCTATTTTCAAAAATTCTCCGTAATTAACATGGCACTCATGCAAATTTTTATTACACTTAATGAGGTGGAACGAGAGTAGACCAAACTTGACGCAGTCCTTTAGACTAGACATAATGACCACCTTACATTGTCGTCGTATGCAAATAAAAGTACACTTCAATGTAATTATTCAAAACGTGTCAATATACTCGCGGCTCATTTGAAATTCAAATGCACTTAATCTTGGAAAAACGTTTCGCCTACCTATACAAACCCATTAATGCCTTGAGGTCGACGATTGCATAATACTACTTACTTTTTGATTAACCGCAACCCTCATATTTTGAATTTAGTCGCTCTCGGTGCAGAAGAGGATATAGAATCGAAATTAATGCGAGGTGAAACAACGCAACACGTACAGATACTTTGAGGTTGTTCTACCATTGATCAAGCGTGGAGGACAAACGTGACATGCGTGTAGTATTTTTTACCATCTTCCCTTGCAAATGGTGTACGCAACTGACTTTATAAATTTATTATTGGTCTTTTTCGCCAGATTTTCCAAAACTTTCGCTTTCAAAGAGGCCAAATATTTTACGCGGAGACTGCCGCACTTGGGTCACACCATGTATAGTTACAGTATACCCTTATATACTTATGCCCTTTATTTTAAGAGATAGAAAAAAGCTCAATTTTAAAGAGAAAATCACTGGCGCATAAAGAATTCAGCTATCTCCAAACGTTTGGCTGCTAGGGGGCGTTTCTCGAATTCAGTCGATTTCTTTAATGCCCCATAACTTTCTTGAATTTGGCAAAATCTTTCTTAGAGCACTTTTTTATGTGGAATTCATCGCACAGTTTTTATACAGGGTGTTTGGTTTTTCTTATACGACCTTAAAGTACATTTTTTGTTATGTACCATACTATATATTTTGGATTTTTTGAAAAGAGTGTAAAATTTCCTAAATTTTGATGTATCACTTATTTATGTTTATTAAATATTATTTCTAATATTGCATTTTATAGATTAAAATATTTTTATTGTAGACATCTAGATTTCCATGGTGAACAAAAGATATCAGGCTTGTTTAAAACGACGATTTCTTGATTATCTGCATTATTTATTTATATATTATATTATTTATGTGTTTTATTCAGATGAGTTTTCACGTCCTTTGTTTTTTGTGTGTTATTTGAAATTACAAATATTTGGAACAAATAAAAACTGCCAAATAACCAAGAAATGTCATTTTAAACAATCCTGCCATCTTTTGTTCCCCATGGAAACCTAGATGTCTGCAGTAAAAATATTTAAATGTATAAAAAAGCAATATTGCAAATAATTGTCTTAGGCTTATCTTTGGTCTAAAAAGATATGACCATGTTAGTAATAAGTTAAGTGAGGTTAAATGGCTTAACATGTCAAATCGTAGAGTGTTACACGCAGCATGCCTCTTATACAACATCATTTCTACGAAAACACCAGATTACCTATACAGCAAAATTAAATTTAGAAAGGACATGCATAATGTCAATATTAAAAACAAAAACTTCACTTCTTTACCAAGTCATAATACCAGTATTTTTCAAAGATGTTTCACTTATAATGCTTCAAAAATTTATAAGTAATTCCTATTACAACGTTTTCACTGATTCAAAGTTTTCTTCTCTTAAATCTTTTAAAAAAGCAATGTATACCTTACTAATGGATAGACAGCGGAGTACTTGAAACTTGTCACTTAAAGTTTGGCACAAACTCAAATTATGCAATTCTGCCATTTGTGGTCGATTATTAAAAGCTCGATGGAATGGGGTTAAGTGGTAGAACAGACAGTGTGGTACCCTCTTGGGTGCCCACCAGTCTGAACTTTCGCCCCTTTGAGCTAACGTGCTTTTTTTTATTACTTTTTATTCATTAGAATATGTAGTTAATATCATGTTTAGCTCAATAAATGCCTATTATTATTATTATTTATTATAAATAGGAATGTGATACATCAAAATTTGGGAAATTTTACGCGCTTTTCAAAAAGTCCAAAATATATAGGATGCTCTATGCTTGGTGATTTTCTCTCAAAAATTGAGCTCCTGACATCTAGGTCCATTTTTTTCTATCTCTTAAAATAAATGGTGATTCGAACTCTAAGAAACTGTTCAAAATCTTTTAAATCAAATAAAATCGTGAAGGTCCTTTAAGACACTTCAAGCCTTAAAGGCGCCCAAGTGCATTTAAAGGTATATGAAAGTTTCCTTTTTGAAACAAGTGTCTAATGGTTTTGAAAAGTCCTGCAAAGACTGTTTTTAAAACCTTTGAATTATTCGCATTTGTCCCTTTAGAGATGCTTGGAGTTCTTTGAGACCCATCAGATGCTCTTGGTTACTTCCGTTCTGCATAAGCATAGGGTTCATTTTCTAAAAGTAAAAACAACACTAAGACACATATTCAAATGAAACGAATTAACTCTGTGCTTATTTTGTAAATAATCCCCTAGACTGAATAAATTGAAATATTCTCTTATACAGTATGTGTCACCCCACTATTTACATGATTACGTACAACACGTACGTAATTTATATTGTTGTGTAAACAACATCATGTAAATAATGGGGTGACACATACTGTATAAGAGAATATTTCAATTTATTCAGTCTGGGGGATTATTTACAAAATAAGCACAGAGTTAATTCGTTTCATTTGAATATGTGTCTTAGTGTTGTTTTTACTTTTAGAATTTAGTGCCAATAAAAAACACTTTTTGAGAAATATGGAACCACTAGCGAATTTTTGTAGGTTTTTTAATATCCCCTTTTCGACTATGCAAAAAATTGTCCAACATTCCTAAGCAAAGAATGAAGGGGTGAGAAAAATTCTCCCAAATGAGACGTTTAGACCCTTTTAGTGTGAAGGACCATGAACTTCAGAGATGCTCATATATAGGTAGGTGTTAGTAAGATACTATAAAGCACAAATTGCCCATGACATTGTATGATTCTCGATGTTTTTTGCAATTTTACGACGTGATCTACAGATAAAAAGCAAATAACTTCAAGCGTTAATTCTGCAAAACACCGACTACTGAATGTCATGAATAATTCAACGTGTGTCGCTAAAATGATGCCACTTACAGCACGCGCTGCGAAATTTTCCATGCCAAGTTTTTATGACAGTCGTCGAATTCTGACGCAGACAGTCGCTGCAATGACGTGTTATAAAAGAGAGATTAGACAAATGAAAAATTTACGTTACGTACGTGTAACGTGATCGAAGAGATAAGATCACATACATCGAACTAATATGGTATGTGGAGCGTTCTAAATACAAACGTTATAAGTTAGTTTCTCGCATTTTTTGCATTTCAACAAGAATTATTGCATCTTTGCTGCATCTAATTATTCACCGCAAGGTCGCATGAATAATGCAAAGAGCCTCTCGTGCCGTTCTTATGTAAAATGCAAACGTTGATGATGTCCTCCTTCGGGCATCCAACCCCAAATATCTGGCTTTCTACCCTTGTTGGAATTACTAGGCACGCCACTGCCTGTTTCAAAAGCAACCCCGTCGTCCCATGACTTGATTTCTTAGATTGCTGTAATTCATTGAATCTATGCCAACGGGTTTGCTTATTTATCTGAGCCTTATCTTCCTAAAACCCTTACATTGTCCCCAAGACTTTCTTTTGAATCAGATCAAGGCATGATTTTACCACCCTCATCTGTTATCCTCAAAAATCCTAAGACATTTCAATAATTTCTACAATAATCGCACCCAAAAATAAAGTAGGCAATGGTAAAAAAACAAACGCTGGTAAGCCGAAAGCACCAAATAAGCATTTGGTAAAAAACTTGTGACGATCTTAAGGGTCCCCAAGCCGGCACTGCAATCTTCACTCACAGTTGGCAACTCTCGGGAAACAAGAGCCATCTAACTTTCATGTCATCATCTCGGTAAGAGCCGGCTTAGGCTCCTACGTTGTGTATATTATATGTTGGTTCTTTTTATGTGTTGGAACATGAGACACAAGCAAGAAGGTAACTGAATCAATCGAGAGTTTTATGCGTTCGAAACGCACGAGGCTTGGTTGCACAGAGCAAATCCAAGGAAAAAAGAACCAGCAACAAAGAACCCGGCCTAATTCATACAAGAAATAAATCAACTACATAATAAAATGCAAGAGAAACAAACAAATCGTACAATAAAAATCAGTTACCGATATCGAGTCAAATGCAGTTAAACAAAATACGAGAGACATCCGAAATACACATGAAAAACAAGATAAATCAAATTAGTACAAAAACACATCTACAATCAATTTAGACAAACAACTGGTACAATGATAAATTGCTAGTGCATAAAAAAACATCAAAATGGCACGGCTCTACACCAGTATCGGCAACGATTAATTTAACAGAGAGAACTAAGATTTCATTTATTTTCATTTCATGTAGTTTCGTAGAACTTAAGTTATCGAAATAGTATACCTTTTTTTAAATTTTATTATTTTCCAGAAAATTGTAATTCTGATGGTTGGGAAAAACAGCTTACATCTGGTCACCGCCAGGATAATAATTACTATTACTATTAACACGAAAAACTACAGGTGAAAACGCAAGCACTATTCATGTTAAAGTCGATCATTTACGTGTATGTTTCTTATTAGCAATAAAATCGTTTTCATTACAATAAGTATTCAAAAAAGCAAGCCAGTGAACTAACCGCGGAAAGCTTGAAATTAACGTCCGAGAATTCTGAGAGAAATTGCTGCAGCAATTATTGCTAATTTCGTGTTATCTTCAAGAAATGTACACATTCATTTGTTTTATTTTGATGTAGGATCTCTAGATTAATATTATTGATGTAATTATAATTTTTTTGAAAAATTTCTTGTATTAAGGTAGGTACTAACATGTTACATCATCGAAAAGAGAAAAGAAATCTCTATGACATTAGCGTAATGAAAGTTACATTGCTATTTATTAAAAAAATTCAATTGCTTTTCGTTACCCATTTGTTGTCTGAAATAAAAACAACTGAATGCTACCTGATTATTTGAAATAAAATGTTAAACGACTTTCATATAGAAAAATTTTGTATACAGTCGATACTTACCGAGATACATACTATATTCCATACATAATAGGCACCTTGTATCCTTGTCCTAAGCAAAGCGGCAGCCGCATATAGTCAGTATTGGAATCTATACAATCTGGGGCGGAACGTAAGCCATATTTCGTCGATCTTTTGTCAGTTCCCGAACAGAAAGCATGCTTCATATACCAACAAATACGAACTATGACCTAGGGAATTTTCAACAAAAACGAAATTCATGAAGATCGACGCCACATCAAGCTAATACGGGTTAGAAGGCATTGTGATTTTTGTTATTTTGTTCTTATCCAAAAACCGTGATCTAAATATCTTAGGGAAACCGTAGAAATTTTAGTTCGTGTTCAGTAACTCGTTATTTGATGCGTTGGTTTAAGTGGATTGACTTTGAAAAGAAGATGTCCAGTTTTCTGTGGTAAGTTCGGAGTAATTTTAAATTTGAAGTTCTTGAAAATTGTGTTATATGCGACGTCAATATTTATCCTCAGTAAATCTAATCTATGTTTCAATTATAGAAATAATCATAATTTAATTGCATTTTAAACCCAAACACTAAACCATTCTGAGAAATAATTGACAGGTGTTAATCGAAAAGAAATTAAGACACATTCCAAGGGTAGGAATTTCCCACATGTAAACAACACGTTGAATCGTTCTCTCTGCAAAAACGACGCCATTTTGCATCACCAACTTACGTCTAAGGTTGCGTTGTAGAATTCCCTCAGAAAAAAACCATCTTGGTAATATAAATCTCGGTTCAATTTTTCAAATAAGAGGTCGATCATTATTTGAAATTTACATGCGATAATTAAATGGTAACAATTAGCATGTCTAACATTGAAATATTATTCAAATTGGTAAGATAAACGTACTTTCCATTTGATTTGCGATCGCGTTACAAGGTTCTCGTACGAGCCAACTATTTTTAGGACAAATTAGCGTCCAGAAGATAAAGATGACCTCGAGGGGGTCAGCGATATATATTGGGTGAACACAAATAAACATTGCACAAGTTAGTTTTACAAATCGAGAGCAATATGTAAATTGCTTGGAGGTGCCAAATATTCGATATTTTTTGGTTCAGTCTAAGCAGATCAGGCGGAGAAACAATAAAAGTCAAACAACCCCAAAAACCATATGGAACAATGGTTATCAGCTACATGTTTTTAGAGCATTTTTGATTTTTCCAAAAGGAAAATGAACGCAATTGTCTGCACTTTGTCCGTCTGTACGTCACGTCACTACCAGTCATCCAGTCTACAAAAGATTTTTTGGATTAGTCACTTCCTATTCGAGTTATTACTGATTCTGGGCGGGGAAAAAGCGCTTTCTTCGATCGCGAGTAACCAGGTTTTTAACTTGTTACTGCCAGTAAGTTACTGGCAGATTGTATCATCTCAAATTAAACTAAATATAGCACAACAGCATTATCCCTTACTAAAATTTGGCATTACAATGGGCGACTCTGGAATATGGATCCAGACGTGCAGGATTTTTCAGTTTTCTAGCGATTTGGTCACTTAACTTCCCAGTCGATTTCGTCATGGCCCAGAAACCTAAACTGGAAAACTTGCCGGGGAAAATACGAGAACTTTGATTTCAAGCATCAGTGTCGCATAGTAAATAACCCTTATCTGTTAACAAAGATTATGTGTATCTTGTTAAATATATAGTTATCTACGATTAGCAAATATCGGTTGTATTATTATCCTTTAGTTTCTTGGGATCATAGTTATAGCAGATCGGTACAAAGTTCGCTTTGTACGGGGCCCAGAAACACTCTTTGCGAATTAAAAGATACAGTACACAAACTAAAAAAAATGAAAACACTTTTAGCGCATTTTCCATGTATTGATCAGCACTTTTCCCATAAGGTCATATAACGGACTGTTTAGGCGTACTAAGGAAAATAAGCATAAGAAACTTAACATTGCGAAGTCTGCGCATGCGTCTGATGTTAAAAATATGCGATATGTTTGTCTTTACTGGAAGAATCTCCATAAATAAGAAAGTGGACAATGCGCATATTAATCACCAAGAAGGAAAAGAAGCGTGTTATCTCTCGGGGAAGAAAACCGAAAACGACACTCCTTTCTGCTCCCCATTTTTCGAAAGAAATTCCCCTTATGTGATCTGACCGTCCATCTGTTCCTCGTCTAACTCGAGAACGAAAAGAGACCGCGATGTCACGTTCGTATCTTGTTTTTAAAAAAAAATCAAAAATTGCAAAACAGGTCCCTTTATAGATAGCTAGGATGAAAGATTTACCTTCGTTTTGGCATCCACCCCTGCACCCCAGCTACCGCAACTTAAAAAAGTGTAGAATATAGTCCGAAAGGTGTTCTTATTGCCGTTTTGCGGATGTCCTTGTCTGCCACTGGGATGTGGTGGTATGCTCTGACGAGGTCTATTGTGGAGAATACTTTCTTCCCGTGTAAGTTTTGAGCAAAATCATCTACGTGCGGTACCCACCAGCTTCCAGTGAAGACGCTTTCGAGTCGCTGGCAAAGATGATACTGGCTGTGGTGGTGTCTAAGAAAATTCCTTAGCGCGTTCATCTGGTGTTTCTTCTCCCTCTTCGGGGTCGTAGGCGAAGGTGCAACAGATCGCTGTGATACGTCCACGCATAGGAGCGATAGAGTTTCTACACCATGAAGCAGCGGTACGTGTTCAGGTCTACGCTATTAGCAGCGGTTGCCCTAGAGATCTTCTTCGCTATTAATAGGGAAAGCCTTGTTTCTACGGTGAGGGGATATCCACTGTCTTATCATATACCGTGTGTCCCAGGTTGAACGCGCTATAGACAAACAGAAGAATTAATGTATTTTTTCGCGAAGGATCAACGAGGCCTTTGATATGTATTTGAAGTTAGCGTTCAACCTAAAACATTATTAATGCACCTTTTTATTAGGAATCCAAATATGTTATCGAAAAAATCAAGGCACTCGAGACTTGGAAGTTACAGTAGATAACTTTTTTTATTCCTTGTGGCAGCCATATTGGATTTTAGCATTTTTGAATAAAGCTCGTTTTTCTGATCAGAGTTGGACTGGGTCAAGCATAGAGTGACCCGGTGACCCAGTTAGTTTACTGACCCGGTGACCCAGTTGACCCGGTGATCCAGCTTGACCCGGTGACCCAGCTTGACCCGGTGACCCAGTTTGACCCTGTGGCCCAGCTTGACCCGGTGACCCAGCTGGACCCAGTGACCCATCTTGACCCAGCTTTACTCAGTGACCCATCTTGACCCGGTGCCCCAGTAATTAAATTATTGTTAGGTATCATCCAAAACAATTTCAAGTAACTTCTAATTTTAAAAAATAGCCCAATTTCATTCAAGAGAAATAATACCTAAAAAATCAAATGCATTTGTTTATAGTTTGTAGTCAAGTAATCAATGAAAGTATTTAGAGAAAAGATTTATTTGGATTAAGCTAACTAGTAGAAAAAAATTAAATGTGAATGAATACCTGTAAGCAAACTGATAAGCCCTGAAACAAAGAAATGAATGAGGGAACTGATTAGAAATAACATTACTCTAATACAATTCGGGACATGGAAAGTTTTTTACGGCAGTATTAAAGCAAATATCACAGAAATGGCAGTTGTCAAGCAATCGAGTATTATTTTCAACAAACCAGCATTTCATTTATTTCATAATCTGTACACTTGAACCGAGGGCACTGACTTAACTGCGTTGTTCGATCAAACTAGGTTACTGGGTCGAATTGGGTCCCCGGGTGAAATTGGGTCGCTGGGTCAAACTGGGTCACTGGGTCAAGTTGGGTCACTGGGTCTAACTGAAAAGAGTATGACGTGACCCAGCGACCCAGTGTAATTCAGTGGCCCAGGTGACCCAGTGACCCAGTCCAACTCTGTTTCTGATTACAATAATGTATCATATACAGTGAATTTTTTTTAAATGCGAACATAGGAGTTTGTATGCAATGTAATTTCCCTATGTTCGATTTAAAAAAAAACACATCAATCTATTGAGTAGTTCAAATGAGTAGTAGATTCAATTGACAGCTGTCACATTTTTAAAAATTCCGCCGTCCAATTTAATTACGAAATCGGTTAGGTTATTGCTTAGAATGTCAAGGAGGACACTTCGAACATTTATTGTAATTGTTTACGTTATTTATTTTCTTATTTTCTTCATTTATGTATTGAATAGATAGAATACCAGGTGCACATGACCTACAAGTAATTGAAGGTTGGTTCACAATGAATTGTGATGTCAGCGCGTGCCATGTGAAGTCAAGTTATCGTAAGTTTAAGAAAAATGTATCCTAAAGTTGCTATGGCCTGACATGGCTTATTTAAAAAAATCTTACCGAGTGCTCTTCATCATAACGACTATGAGTTGCTGTTCATAGTGACACAAGTTGCGCGATTTGGGAATGTGAACCGCGCACATCTCATAGATTGATGTGTTTTTTTAAAAATCGAACATAGGGAAATTACATTGCATGCAAACTCCTATGTTCGCATTTAAAAAAAAACTCACTGTATGTCTCAACTTTACGATTTCGTCCAAATATGGAAAAACCGTTTTTGCGAAGAGAGTGCTTTGGAAAGAACGTGCATTCTTTTGTATAACAAAGACACATCTTTGATAGTTCAGTAGTTGTCGCTCTTTCTCGTTTATTTATTACAAGTTTCTCGATAAAATAACAATTCCAAATGAAGAAAAACTATATATGTTAGAAATTTATTACACCTCGCACCGAAATTCCCATATTACTGCCCAAACATACTTAGAGCGATATCCTAGGCGGTATCCAGAAAGCGTTCTCAAAATTATTTTTAGCGCATTTTTTAAGAATTAAAAAAAATGTGCCATTGTTTGCGTTTTGTCCGTCCGTCCGTTCGGACCCACTTCTACCGTTTTGAACTACTTCTAGGGGAATGGTCCTAGAGTCCTGTTTTTTTTGCAGTAGGTAGCCTATACCTTGACGGTGTGCCAGACGGCCATCAAATTTCCCTGTCTAAAAGCCCCCCCCCCCCCCCCGCCACGAATTATTTCCTGAGATGCTGTTTTTGAAAGTAAAACGTGCATAACTTTTACAGACAACCAATTGGTCTCACATTTTGCATACCCATGCCTTCAATGGTGCCAAGTTAAACTTTACAAAACGGGGGGGGGGGGGGGGACATTCATGGTATTCTAATGAAAGGTATCCAAATAAATTGGTTGGTACAAACTATAACTTTCCCGTGCGACTCTATTTCGATATCAGTGAGCGACGGGGCCTGATACTCTTATCAAAGTGCGGGGTGGAGGGGGAGTGGAACTAGTTTTATCCTTCATGATACTCTAATGAATGCTGTCAACGAAAGAAACCGTTTTCTACCAACTACTGCCCTTCTTTCTGTCCTCTTATCAAAATATGGGCTAGAGGGGGAGGGGGGAAGAGGGGAACTAGTTTTATCCTTCATGGTACTCTAATGAAAGGTCTCAACGAAAGAAATTAATTTCTACGAACCATAGCCCTCCTCCTCGACCTCTCTTATCGTGATCGGATATATTCCCTTATTCCTCAAGAACGGATTGTCGGAATAGGGTATTCACAAAGAGCGATTGAGACGTCTGCAAGAAATATATCCATTACGCTTCTGATTGGTTCTTTCAATTTAATTTGAATGCCATCGCGATCGCTTCTGTTGAAAGAACCAATCAAATGCGTAACCGTAAGAGACAGGTTGCCCTCTTAGTTTTCCCGTCTCTCTCACCTGCAGTATCCGTGCTTTGCATTGGCTCGCGCAGTCCATTTATTATATGACTATGATTAAACCATACGCTTGTAGACCTGAACCAAGTGTTCTCTGACCGACATTCTTGTCGAGCATAATATAAAGGTAACAATTAGTCATGAAACTGTGGTTGAGATTTCAGACACTTAAATGAATGACAAAACACGCTGATTTAGTCCTCGGAGTACAAAAAGTACGTTTTAGGCGATAAAACGGTCGATTTATTAACTTACGATCCGAGCAGTTTTTAATTCTCTTATCAATATTTCGAGTTATAAATTAATATTGCTACTTGGCACTTCATTTCAGCCTTGTGTCGAAACTTTACTGCAAAATTGAATGTGGCGTTCCAGGATTTCGTAGTATTGTATTAAAAGCTCACATGCCAAGTTAAAAAGTTTTACAAATTCATGGTGCAAATCGAAACTCAAAACCTGAAATGCAGAACATAAATTAAAGCCGAAATGGGTCTTATGCTAATAGCACCAAAGTAGAGCTTGATGGACAACAATCTTGTGCCAACACACTACTCAACAATAGCTAAGAACACGGAAAGTGACTTCCACACACACCAAATATGTTGAATAAATAATAAAACAAACGCATTTCTTTTTTCTTACAATATTATAACTTTTTCCAGGATCATCAGTGCTATCATTGAATAGTGGTTTTTATTCAATGGTGCTATTGAATAAGAGCCGGATCAGAAGTCTGGTTTCCGAATACGAGAAATTTTGGTGCAGTCGATTTTTGGTAAAAAAGGAAGGCCTTTTTTTGAGCCCCGAAAAAAAATTGTCTCAGATCGAACCGGAAAAAAATTTTTCCTTATAGAATGTGGCCTGTAGAATCCATAATTTCAAACAGTTCTAAGATTGGGCTACTAGTTCAAAAGTTACAGCCCTTTGAATTTTCTTTCGAAATTGGTTTCTAGTCCATAACTTTTGATTGAGAAATCCGATCGAAAAAGTACGAATTGTTTTGGATTCTACGCACCCAAATTAATAAGAAAAAGTGTTTTCCCGAGAAATTTTGGTGCAGTCGATCTTTGGTAAAAAAGGAAGGTTATACACTGCTCTTTTTTGAGCCCCTAAAAAAAATTGTTTCAGATCGAACCGAAAAAAAAATTTCCTTATAGAATGTGGCCTGTAGAATCCATAATTTCAAACAGTTCCAAGATTGGGCTACTAGTTCAAAAGTTACAGCCCTTTGAATTTTCTTTCGAAATTGTTTTCTAGTCTATAACTTTTGATTGAGAAGTCTAATCGAAAAAGTACGAATTGTTTTGGATTCTACGCCCCAAAATTAATAAGAAAAAGTGTTTTCGCGAGAAATTTTGGTGTAGTCGATTTTTGGTAAAAAAGGAAGGTTATACACTGCCTTTTTTTGAGCCCCGAAAAAAAAAATTGTCTCAGATCGACCCGGAAAAAAAATTTTCTTATAGAATGTGGCCTGTAGAATCCATAATTTCAAACAGTTCCAAGATTTCCCTACTGAAAATCGCTTCTTTCCTTCGGGATTGATTGTGCTCTTCTCGGTTTCACCAGCTCGTACCCAAATAGTAAAAACCGCCGAAAATTAAGAATTCACTTCACTTTTCAGCATCTTTTGTCACGTAAATTGCGCCATTACCTTAATCAACGTACCTAAGTGACCAATTAACTTCCAAATTTCTTCCTTATTAGCCTAATTCAAATTGGGCCCATTTAATTGATATTGTTTCGGTTTTTTTTTTGGAAAAAACGCAAAAGTGTAATTTCTCGTTGTCAAAATCGCGTGGACCATCGATTAAACCGGAAGTACGGCCGGTGGCGCGGTTAAAAATAGCTCAAACTTCCACGTTTTTATCAAATTTTGTCATGTTGCCTCTAAAAATATACGTCTTATCGTAGAGCCATCGACTGTTACTGTAACCAAAATAAAATTCCCTACCGAGAAAACTTGATCTTCAACCTTAAGTGATTACGAAGAGAAACTTTGCCTTCCATTTGTTGCTTTTCACACTAAGCATATATAAACAAGCCGGACGGCTCCATGATAGTTAGTCTTCAGTACTTACAGTAGCAGTACCGGTATCATTAGGTACAGACGTGAATGATTAGTGCGATTAATTGGTGAGGTGAAGTTTCGAAATAATGACGACGCCCAAAGAAGAAAAGGTGCCGGATCGAAGAAGATCGAGCGTAAGGGCCATCGATCCTCCAGGTACGTGTTCGCATATTAATTCGAAATTGAACTAAATTAACGATGCATAAAATCAAGGCTCCGTCATTGAATTGCATAAAAGTAGAAATGGATCAAGTGTCCGTCCGTTCTTGTTTAACCTTAAGGTGCCTTTTTTTCGAATTTACCAATTAAAAAATACATCAAATTTGAAACCGCCTTCGTTACTAATTACCCAGTTCCGACACTTAAAGGTTACTTCCTTGCTGAAATCCAGCAGCGGCGAACCTTGAGCGCACTCTTCCGCGCTAATTAGAGAGGCTCGTACGGAATTAGGGCTAATTAGTATTGTGAATTTGAACTACACCCACACGGTGGCGACCTTGCCCAGGAATCCACGCGAAGAATTTTTATTGTTTTCCGATTCTCTCATCTATTATTCATAAAAACCATTAATTAGCCGATTTGAATTTTATGCGCCTTTTAATTGTTGTACGCGACTAAACGGAAACATTTCTCACTGTCACTTTTGCAACAACAAAAAAATGTTGACTTCACGGGCAGATGCGCACCTGAACTCAAATTAACCTCCGTCGAAAAGTGTAACAACGGCGCTGTCGCGTAGTAAAATTTCAAGGGCGGTTACAAAATTGCGCGCCTTATCAGTATGGATTTCCGATGATCTAAAAATACCGCAATGAGGCAACTGTTTACTTTTTTTTTTGTTCCATTTCAATTGCAATCGGAAGCCTGTGGAACTTCCATCGCGAAAAATTCGGCGATTATGCAATCGACGTCACGGTTCAGCAGCATACTTGATGAAGCGCAATTATAAGATGATGTCGAAAGTAATTTGGGATTTTTTCTGGGGTTTTTTTGCACCAATTTAAAATCGACAGGTCGATCTTTAACCAAAGATGATTAAACAAGTATAAATTGTGCACAGAAAACGGTTCCTTTCGTTGAGAGCTTTAATTAAAATACCATGAAGGGCAGAACGTGTTTACCCCCCCCCCCCCTCCCCCATTTTGAAAAGTTCAAAAATCGGAACATGTTGTGTGGACACAAGCCATTATCGTAATTTGGCAGCAATTTTCTAATAATTTCCAAAAACTACTATACACATCTCTAAAATATGTAGGTTCAAAGTTTCCCACACTGAGACACATTTTCTGAAACATTAGCCTTAGAAATATTTTTCACTTTTGCAAAATATCGTTTTTATACGTTACTAAAATTGTTTAAACATTTCTAAAAATATTTCTCGACGTCCACATTTCTAAAGCATTTCTATAATATCTTACAAAATTGTCTACCCAAATATTTTCAAAATTTCAAAAAAATATCGTAGGAAAGTTGATTCAATTTCTTAAACATTTCGAATTTGTCTACACATTGAAATATTTTTTTATATTTTCCAGTCATTTTAGTTTATTTTTTGTTATACATATAAAATAAAGGCAATAAAATAAAATTAAAAAAAAATAAAATAAAAACATCTGTGAATAAAAAATATATTATTTTTTTTGGCCTTTATTTTTGAATGGGTCAAATTATTGACACGTTCCTAACATTTCCTACACGTCTCCGAGACCATTCCAATTTTTTTTAAATTAAACTTAAAATGTGTAGAGGATTATGGTTAAACTTTTGCAAAAAAATTCAAAATACCTGCACGTTTTGAAAATCTTGAAATGTGTCAAACATTTCCTTCCTTAGTATTTCCATTTCTGAAAAACTTCTGAAGCATTTTCTCCCCTCTACAATTTCTTAAATATATGTCCAGTACTCCTAAGATTCTTTGCAAAATTCCTCCTTCTGAAATATAAAAAAAAAATTACACAGTTTCAATATATCTACACACTTCTGATGCATTACCGATATCGATTGGATGCAGATTTAATCCAATAACTAGAAATACCTACCATCTCTTAGGAGCCTGCGTGACATCCTACGTCAACGTTCAGCGTTCGTATGGCGAAATGTAGAAATGCTAAATACAGTGTGTTTGAAATAAGAAGGTCACCTCAATAGTCCTTTCATTTGGGGAAATACGAAAAATTTGTTAAATATATTATAAAGATGGATAGCTACCAATTAAATATATCTATCTGAACGAATATTGAAACTTCCGGTATCACTTTCGGTTTAACCCGATGCAACTTGATAGTTTTTTGTTACTGTGACACTTTTGCGCATGCGCGATTTTGCCCAGCTCTTCTTTTGTCTAAGAATATGTGTACCAAATTTGGTTCCAATGAAATTACAGACAGACAGACCGATCGACCGACATAATCGAGATTTTGTTTGAGTCTGATTTCTTCAAAACGTGTATTTTTCGTAAAAAAAGTGGGGGGGGGGGTCATTTTTACCCCAAACCCCAATGCAATACCTCCCTTACTAACGTACGGACATTTTTCACATAAAAGTTTACACAATTTGATTGTCAAAATCGTCTTTCCTTTCTAATTGTTGATCGCAAAATTTGCTGGCCGGTCAGGTATAGGCTACCTAGTGCAAAAAATTCCAGGATTCTAGGACCATTTCCCTAAGAGTAGTTCAACACGGCAAGTGGGTCCGGAAGAACAGACGGACGGACAAAACGCAAACAATACGACATTTTTTTTATTCTTAAAAAAATTCCGAATTTAGCACATACACCAAACGTAGGGTAATTTTCTCCTCAGATAGGTAAATCACTCGAAAAGAAATCGTGCTCATTTGGGCATGGAACAATTTAAATAATTTAACTGTCGTGATTACTTTATCTACAGAGCATCACTCAGGCCCGTAGCCAGGAGGTGGCCAAGTGAGCCCCACCTAGAACGTGGTTTTGCCCCCACCGGAAATTACGGTGGATGGTTCCTTTACAAAAATTACAGGGGAAGTTTTTTTTATCAAAAACTTCTTAAGCCCCACCTAGAAAAATACCGGTCACCCCTGCTACTTCATTCTGGCTACGGGCCTGGCATCACTTTAGTTTGAAATAGCGTCACTGGAGGTAGCTTAGGTCCATTTGTTATACGCGACAATTACAAATACTGAGCTTTCGTTTTTCATACAATCTAGGCATATTTAATTATGAAAGAATAGCTCTAGGGACAATTTACGTCCATCTTCGCTTCTTGGAAATTGTCCACCAAGAAAAAAATGTGCATTTTGGTAAAAAATATAATTTAAACAATTTCATTACCAAAATTGCTTTCTTTGTGTAAAGGTTTATTCCGAAAGACCTTTTGAAAGTAAGTAATGCTAAGGAAATGCGCTTTTGAAAGAAAAATATTGAAACAATTCCGCTTAGAGCAGGTGGTAGGACTAAAAAGATATAGATTTCGATAAAAAAAACCAAACCCAAAGACAATAATTTTTGCTCTCCCCTAAAAATTGGTAAACAACAATTGGAATAATACTAATAATAGGTTTAGTATGGGTCCATTTTCTTTTCAAATAAATGACCAAAACCACTAAGGATGAAATGTGTAGGCCCTCACTAGGTGCTTTTTTGAAATCATTATCACCAGGGGGGGGGGCTTTTAAAACATTTGACGGCCGCCTGGCACGCCTTCCAGGTATAAACTGTCGATCGAAAGGGACCAAAACACCTAATTTACCATCTTCTCGTGGAAATCGAAAGGAAACTGAAAAGGCGTAAAAAAATTTACACAATTTCATTTTTTAAAACTATGTAGGTAAAAACCCGAATTTTCCCGTAGAAACCATGGGTATATAAAAAAACCTGAACTGAATGGAATGACTATTTTTAATTCTCGACCGTTATTAATATTCTAAATTTGCATAAACAAGGTCATCATATATAGTCCTTTAATAATTTACGTAATAAGGTTATCACCTCAAATTGAAAGGACAGCGTCGGCAGCAGCGTAGGTCAATGTTCTAATTTGTTTTGATTAAAGAATAAGACCCCTTCAAAAAAGTAAAGCTCAAATTTTGACTAAAACGATTTGAACAAAAAATGTTGTACCAATTTTAGTATACAAAAGAGTACCATTCAAAAGTGTACATAGAGAACAGACCAGACTGAAAGGGCATTCATTTAATATGATGACGATGCTGGAGACAGCTGGGGCCCTTTTTCTCCTATGCTAAATGACCCAAAAAATGTTGCATAGAAAAGATCTTGATAGTAAAAATCCTGTACATCGTTTTTGATATCAAAAGTCAGCACAATTTAAGACTAAAAGGAGATCACTTTCAAAAATGTCTTACTTTGAACAATTTTTGATTGCTCCTTCAAAAAGGTACTAAAATTGTGGCCGGTTCCATGGTCGCAATGAAGTGGAAGAGGGGGACTACTTTACTTTGCCAAGCTGCAGGTATTAATCACCACAAGCGCAGTGGCGCCGATTAGAACCAAAAAAGGCAACGCCATAAACATACTGTGCCGACGCACCTCGAACATCTTTAAACCTCAATTAAAATGCAGTCGGCGTGCCCGAGGCTACTTAAAAAACACAACGCAGACTTTCTTTAGCAGCATGGCCTGTGCAATACATACAACCTTCCGTTCTTTAATGACATAGAATGCAAATTAATAACATTTTTTTAATCGACACGACGTGATCACAAAAACCGTCTCGAGTCAAAGAAAAACTAAGCTTAACTTTTTGACCCGCACGATGTATAATTAGACCGCGTTATCGTCTTTATCCCTAAAGGAGATTTATTGTATTATTTTCCGCCGAGGTCAATAATCCATTCATTTTTGAACGCGACAACCCTTTTTTTCTGGTAATTTTGTGTAATTAAACTCGTCACATGCATTTTCAATTAATTAGCCGTAATGATGTTTCGGTCAATGTGTTTCAGGTATTTTTCCTAATTATGTCAACAGTATGTGCGTAGCTTAAAATTCAAAAGCTTGCAATTAGAGTACCTACCTTCCGAAAGGCGCATCTCTAGTGCCCTAGAAGTTTCACACCCATGGAGTTGGTGTGGAAATGTATAACGTCCAACTCTGAATGGATGGATGCGTTTTGGACAAATGAAGGAAAATTTTTGATTAGGTTTAACAAGGCCACGCGTCATTATCTGCACTATCAACTCATCAAGTTTGACTTTGCACGAGCATAAATCATTTTTGGCGTGCATATTCACTTTTCCACGTCTCTGCCTTGATGGAGCCTCTACGTTAGATTATTTGCACTGTTCTCTGTGTGTGCTGAAAGTCCCTTTTTCGAGCACTGAAGCGTTTTCGTTCCACGAACTAATCAGATTAGGATAACTTTTAGATAATAAGATGTATCTGGCCATGAGAATTCGAGTGTCTGGTGGGCGATCGCATTGTGGATAAAATACGCGATGCTTCGAGCCAACGAATTAGATTAAAATCGTAATTTCAGCAAAAATTTTTGAAAAATGTACCCAAACATTTACCTTGCTTTGTCTGGTGAACCATAAACAGGTCAAGAAAGAAACAATTCCTGAAGAAGAAAACCAGAAGAATTATTTTACTCCCAGGTCCAACAATTTTTTGAAAATGCTTCTCGTTGACGGCAGGATCTTAGAAATCGAAGAAGATTGGACGCAACAGTATCCTTTAATAAGTGCTACACTCTGAAGCATCTTTTCATCTTACTCTTGCTCTGCTTAGCACCTCTCTGTGCATCTCAAGTTTTCCATTTCCTCTCGCTTTCGCTACGTCTTCTTAGTAGAATTGATTTTATCACACACGCTTCGAAAATATGCAATAAAATATTGATGGTTACACGATAGCACAAAGCACCGAAATGGAATGGTTAAGTTGTCCTTAATTACCAGGTGTAGACAAGGCGCAGCTATGGGGGTGGGAAAACTCACCCGCGTAATAGTTTGAGAAGAAAACAGGCAGTCACTTCAAAGTACATTTTTAAATTCCCCTATAGCACTTACATCGAATTTGCCGGTTCAAATGCCAGATTCCAAAAAATCCATCACTGGAGAGTATCTGTACTTTCTAATGGCAACAGATTCAATGTGCGTGTGCCACAGATCCAGTTATAAGAATTATTCTGTACTAACAATTTTGAATTGTTTAAATGAAAACGAGGTTCTCACCTCCTAACCAGATTCATCTTATGGTTCTGGAAGTAGAGCCTTATTGCAAATTGTTTTGCTTAGGCTACTCATGTATTTCTAAACAAAAACTATTACATAGACTTGCCTGTTATTAAAAACTGGACGGTCTGAGAGGCATATGAAGACCATGGTTGGTTGCCTACGAAACTGGTTGAAAGGGCGGATGATCTCGGAAGCTATCTGGGAGACAGAACTGAAACAAACAAAGACGTTTCGTTTTCATAACGTATTTCGCAGTACAGGGTGAGCAAAGATGGTTGTTAGTATGGAGTAATTCTTAAACTACAAGTGAAAAAAACTAACCTACTCGCAGTCACGATATCTTTTTGAGATAAACTCGACGCCGAAACTAAACTGGTCTACTGTCTTTTGTTTTTTAGTTAAGGGACAAAGTTGCATTTTTCGATTTTTAGATAAGAGCCTATAAATTCTTTGCTTATTAAGTTTTCGGAAATGGGTTCTCAAGATACTTTTTTGAGAAGAATTGAATGGCGTTGAAATGTTTTCAAAACAATCATCAGTTTTTCATTTGCAGCGCTATGTTGTATTTTTCGATATACAGAGTGGTTCAAATTCGTGGCTCACCATTGGGATCTGCGTAACGGTGGTAAATGAGGGAAAATTAACCCCTTGTAAAACCGCTTTTTAAGTGTTTGAAAAATCTTTGAAAACGACTGAGATATTACCGAAAAACTGAAAATGTCAAATGGTTTCATTTTCCTTAGCTTAAACGGTCGGAGATGGACGGGTTCCGTTGCCATCTTTTAGGGGCACTTTTCGCAGAGTCCGAATCTGTTATCAGAATCAGAACAGGCTACTACTTTCTTATATCTTATCGACGCCATATTGGATTTTTACGGAATGACATTCATTTGAATGCATCGCCATCATAGCCAGGTTGATTCAGCAAAGATCTAGTTACCCCTGGATGTTTGTTCAGAAATGAATTTAATAAATTTGATTGTGAAATTGATGTAAAAGTATACCGTGTGTCCCAGTTGAACGCGTCATATGCAAACAGAATCAATGTATTTTTTCGCGAAGGATCCATGAGGCCTTTGATATGTATTTGACGTTCAACATGTACGTAATCTACTTGGGACACACTGTAGAATGCGACACATCATTATTTTCCTTTATTGTCCTATATATCTCAGTTCCTAAAAATCCAATATGGCGGCCATAAGAAATAGGAGAGTAGTGTCCTGTAGCTCTTACATCTAGCGGGTTATGGAAATTCTGGTAACCAATTCAGATTCTCCGGAAAGAAGTGTCCCTAGAAGGTACCAACGAGACCCGTCAATTTCCAACCGTTTAAGCTAGGAAAAATGTCCGTTATTAACACACAATTCACATCACTTCCTCACAGGGCGAATCGCATTTTCGAGATTTGCCAGTGTATTCGCATAACGTATAAAAATTTCCCCTGTAACTCGTTACTGTTCTTATATAAAATGTTCTTTCTATGGTAGGTCGCCAAAAATAAGAAATCAAGAGTGGCGTTAAGTCAGGTAAACGTGGTAGTCCCCTCACTGATCCATTGGAATCTGTTCAATTTTCTTGAAAATGACTTAACAGTTACGTAACTATTTTTGGGTTATGAATTGGTGCACCATCTTGTTGAAACATTATATTAACGACGACACGCATCCCTTTCTTGATTCGATGACGGATGAACAAGTACTTCCTCTGAATGTGCTTGGTTCGAAAATGGAACTCCTTGAACAGTCGAGAAATTCAAATGGTTTTCTTTGAAACACCTATTTCAGTGATGGCTGCACCAGCGAATTTTCCAATTACTCCGCTAGTTGAACGCATTGTTAGACCAACCAGCAAAGTCGGCGTCACTGATATACCAACTTCAGATCAATAGTAGAGCTCCCACAACCGAACGATATGGGAAATCGGCAGCTTTCCCTTGATCTTGAATGCTGGGTTTTTCCATTGGTGTAAAAACAGGGTTGCACCTTTCCATACTGAATCGCGAATGCGCCGAAATGAAAAACGTGGGTTATTGAATTTCGAGTTCTAAACCCGTAGCAGTAATCGACACTACGCCTGCAATCAACCGCCATTATCGTTGCTGTTTCAAGAGCTTTGGAACGTTCTTCCTTTGTTCGGTTAATGAAATGTAACCGTTTCAAGTGACCACTGGTTGCGCAGTTTCTTCTTGGATTCTGATCCAAGATTCATTTCTGTTATTTCGATTGGAATCAACCGCCCCAGACGAATTTTCATCCTATTCCAACTTGGCCTCCATGTATTTTCCCATCTTGTTTGCTTTATATTTTTCTTCCAAAGGTCCGATAAGGGCTTATCATTATCTCAGCGCGATACCGCGACATCGAGTCCCTTAATCATCGCAAAACTCGATCAAAAACTGGCCAAGTGCGTCGCACTTTTTCGCCCCTTTTGATTAACTCGCGACAATGCGTGATTGGGGCGGTTTCGAGGTCGAATTACCAGTGAGCGGCGAAAGGTGAACGGGTTTCATTGCGAAAACTGGCACGGTTTCCAATATTACTATGCAAGTAAGTTCTCGCACTGCTCGGTCCTTGAATATTGAAACGCTCCCACCATTACATTAATATTCGCAATAGCGCGAAAAAAACGGGGAGGATTTCCGAAACGATTACAGTGTCTAAAAGCTTGGGAGTGTGTTATTTTCGTGTTCCGTTATTTACTCAGATATCATTATCGTGTTACCACGTTAGGTTGATACACAAGAGCTGCGATTATTTATTTAAAAGTTATTTATTATACAACGTTTAGACACGTATCAAACACTATCTAGTGAGACACGGTCGTTAGTACTTACTAGCCGCGCGTTCTGTGATGGACAATCACTTTTCCCCAAACACTCGATTGGAAACAAATAGTCTAATAGCACACTATCCTGTTCAACCAGAGTATGGCGTTTTCGACGATCATAATAAGGAAGAGCGAAGATATTCGATCGTCTATCAAAAGCCGAGTAAGTGCCCCGCGAGAAGTGCGCGTACTTTCTCTGAGTATCAACTGGACGATGATGTTACAAATCTAATTGTCCTTTCAGATAAGTGGTTCGGAGTGCGACATCTGCAGTGCATCTTTTTGGCGTTGCTGCTCTGCATCGGATATGGGATGAGAGTGAACCTGTCCGTCGGAATCGTGGCTATGACGGATCCTACCATCAATCCGGGATTTAAAGTGAGTTGGCCGGAGAAACGTCGAATTGCGTTAACGCACAATTGTAGACGTACGACTGGCACGATGAGAGCATCATACTGTCGTCCTTCTTTTGGGGCTACATCCTGCCGCAAGTGGTCGCCGGTCAGGTCTCGAAGAACTACGGCGCGCGATGGTTTTTAGTGGGCACAATGACCGGTTGCTCCCTATTCACCGCTCTCATACCGGTAATGGCCGATTTGGGATCCTGGGGAGTCATGATCTGCAGAATCGTGCAAGGGTTTACGCAGGGATTCTTCTATCCGTGTGTGCACACAATGCTGACCAAATGGGCGCCTCTTCCCGAACGATCGAGATTGGGCGCTTTCGTTTTCGCAGGTAAGCCGCGTAACCCACCGCCTTCAACTAGCTCACGTTACGTTTTAGGAGGTCCTTTGGGATCGGTAATCGCAATGCCGCTCACTGGATGGATATCGGGCAGCTCATACGGGTGGCCGTTTGCCTTTTATCTTTACGGCCTGCTTGGATTTGTATGGGCGGTTGGATTCTCAATATTCGGATCTAACAGTCCATCGGAAACCGAAACGATAACTCCCGAGGAGAAGCTCTACATTGAGACCAGTTTGGGGGTCAAGACCGAACACTCAGAGGTAACTACCCAATATCACTGGACGTGCGCTAATTAACAATTTAGAGAATGCCCACGCCTTGGAAAGCCATCTTTACATCTCTACCAGTCTGGGCGATTTTGGCGACTCACTGCGCGCAAAACTGGGGCTTTTGGACTTTACTCACGGAAATGCCGACCTACATGAAGAACGTATTGAACTTCGACATCAAAGCGGTAATAAATTTCAAATTCGATCAGTCGACTAATCGCGTGTATTTAGAACGGCCTGCTTTCCGCCTGCCCTTACTTTACAATGTGGGTGATGAGCTTCATCTTCAGCGGATTCACCGATTATATCATAAACAAGGACTGCGTGTCGATCGGTACCGGAAGAAAGATAGCGAACAGTATCGGCCTTTACATTCCGGCGGCGGCGCTTATATTATTGGGAACGTTGGACAGTGGCGTCAACATGACCGGAATGGTCATATCTCTGCTGATAATAGCGGTCGGTAGCAATGCGGCCCATATGTGCGGCTATCAAGTGAATCACTTGGATTTATCGCCGACACATGCGGGCACACTGATGGGCATCACTAATGGATTCTCGAATATTTTCTCGATTTTGGGACCCCTTTTGGTCCATTACGTCGTTGTGGATAAGGTAAGTTGCATATAATTAATAAAAACTTTCCATCAGTGACACTCTATTCGAGGCCGTGGAAATTTTTTGTTAGATTCGGGTTCGTAGTTTAATTACAAAACTAACAACGTTTGAAATTACGGTCCACTTTAAAGTTACAGAGTGGAACGGGCTATAGTTTCAATGTCGATTGCTAATTTAATCAGGACGACTGTGGGAAAAATTGGATCGTGAGAGTAAATACTATCATTGTTTACTCCTTCCATTCATACAATAGTTCATTAAACATGCACGGAGATTAAAGTAGCATGTTTCCCAACAAACGCGGTTTCACAATCCGGTTAAAGAAAGATAGCGCTAGAATCTCTACAGCTAGAGCTACAGCTTCTTCTTTTTTTTTGGTACACAATTTTGATGTTGTATGTTCTGATGACATAGCTCCAGATTGCACCATGAGCTACCGCCACAATCAAGTAGTTTAGGGGTAATCTTTCCTAACTCATCTGGCCTAGTGCAACTGTAACTATTTTCTAGTATAGTTGTTGAAATTTGCTTTCAGTGTTTTAGACATTAAAGCCTTTTTTATTGGTTCATATTAGTTTTGAATCACCACCGTTTGTTTCAGCGTTTTTATTCCTTCTAATGAGGGTATGTGTGTTTTCGATAAAGTCCGTACTATTACCAACCTTATAAACGAGCTTCTCAGGATGACACTGGACAAATCAAAAACCCGCCTGGATACTCAACACAATAATTACATACAATATTTTTTTAATGGGAACACCATCTATATTCTAACGTATTTTGAAGAAGTAATGAAATTCTAGAACAAATTTTCAAAATGTGCGGGGGGGCGGTTAACTTAACGTTCAACGACGTTCACTTGGTATCCCAAACATATTTAAGAATACCCCCCCCCCTACCCCCGCTTTTTGTTATGGCTTAACCGTCATGATGGTAGGTTCAAGTGGTAAAATTGACCGCATAACCAGATGCGCCAGGTGGCAAAGACACCAGCAACAAAGTACGTAGAGGGGAGTGGGCTACGTACACTTGGTCCCTGTCAAATGTATTTTTCGCATTTCTAAAAAACGATTATGGTGCAAGAGTATCGATCGCGCATGTGCATGCGTAAAAGCGTATTCCTTTGATTTGGGGGGGGGGGGGATCTTTTGCAAAATCTATATAGCTGGAAATTTATAATGGTGGTGCTAACTTAACGCATCCGGTGATAATGCAAATTATCGCCCACCTATTGAGGTTGGCGTTAGAGTTTAAAACTATGACGCTATGTAGTATTAAAAAAAAAACAAATCTTCTAATTTGCACTAAAAACAAAACGGTGGTGCTAAGAAAAGGGGGGCGACGCTAGCTCTAATGTGTGGCGCTAGCTAACGCTAGGTCTACCAAACGTAGCGCTTGCTTTTGGAAATGACCTGACACGCTGGTGGTGCTAGCGTTAACATAGCACCTCCCGAAAGTTATAAGCTTTTTTGCAAAATCCATAATGGCGCTAGCTGAACTCAAAGTTGCTTTAGCTATGTTTACTTCTGAGATACAGGGTGAAAACGAAGTTTTACTTTTTTAGTATGTTATGGTATCTTACTGTCCATGTAAGATAGAAAAAAAAGGTAAGAGACTGTCTGTTTTACATATTTTTTCGTAAAATCTAATGGCGTAGTAAAAAAAATGTTGGGCCAGTTTCTGAGATTTGACCCAATGCTGGTATTTTGTAACTCACACACCCTGTATATCTTAACGTCAATTGTTTTTCAATCTTTTTCTTGATTACATTGATGTATCACAACATATAATTTTCGTTATGTAAACCTTATTTTTGATTGTCGATAAACAGTGATACTAATTTAGAAGTAGAAGGGATTTGTGTGTATTGTTTTCCCTATGTCTACTTTCAAACGACAAAAAGGCTTCTGAAAGACGCCTAATTTTATGCAACAAAAATAACTTCTTAAAAAAAATGAAGATCTGGCTGCCATATTAATTAATTGGAATATTATTGCTTTGGCTTTCTAAATGAATAACACTGTATAACGGGCGATCAAAAATGAGTTGCTGTCGAGTCGCCTTTGGAAGTTCAACTTAAATACGATTTCCCATGTAAACAAACATTCCAAAGGTGACTCGACAGCAACTCATTTTTGATCGCATAGTAGTAGGCCAGGGAGATTATGTTTGTTTTGTGCACGGTTTTGTGTATTATACCCATGGTAAATCACGCAGCTGATACCAATCAATAAAAATACCTGACAGTAGGAATATGTTATTTCAAAATTTCAGAAACAAACGTAGCTAGACTGATCGCAAGTGTCTATCTTTAAAAACAGCTGAAATACACAGCAGTCTCAACCAAAATAGGGTACACGGTCATAAAATAATTTGACAGATGCACTAATAGCCATTTCTAAAATCAGTTTTAGTATCAGGAGAACATGAAAACACCATTTCTGTTACAAGTGCAGTTTGTGTCTTGGTGCCAGGAAAACATTAGACGTCAATTAGCATTGACTAAAATCTCACGAGTAGGACAGTCATATTTCAGATTAAAGTCAGTATCAGGAGAACATCACATGTCGCTTCTGTACTAATACAGATAATTTTTGCCGAAATCCGTCTGGTACAGTTTCTGCTAAAGTTTTGGTATTAGGATAACATGAGAAATTAATACCATTTTTAAATGGGACCTTTAACGCTTCTTATACAAATCAGTGTTTATATCAGGAAAACATGAAAATGTCCGCTTTTCTAATTGATGATGTTTCTGATACCTCTAGGAGTTTTATCTCTACAAAGTCAATATAGACTTCCAATGTTTCCGATACAAATCAGTTTTGTTGTCAAGAGGACGGGAAAGCACCGCCTGCAGCTTCTGCGCTTCTGATGTAAATAAGTCTTAGATTTCTTTTCCGAAGTTTCGATACCATCAAATTTTAATTGGCACTTTTCTACTTCTACTACCTCAGCTGCTTCAGACAGAAATTATATTTGGTATCGGGAAAACATAAAAGCATAAACCAGCTTTCGTCATTTTTAACAAAATACAGGTTTGCTAGGGTGACTTTTCCTATGCTGAGTAGAGACTCAGCCTAGGTTTGTGCTGAACCCGCATTCGGTTCGTTAGGCAATGCCTTTAAAACTTACTTTAAAAAATTAAAAAAAAGCAAACTAGATTCGATTAAAAATGGGAAATCTAGAGACATTGCCGAGCGAGTCGAAGGCGAGTTCGGCACACACCTTGTCATAGTAGAAGTTCAGCTTAAGACGGGTCACCCTAGCAAACCTACACTTTGCTAAAAATGGTAATTTTGCAAAATTTATTTCAACTGAGACGAAGGGGGGGTTTGAATTTGAACCACCCTCTACACATTTTTTGAGTACGACACATTCTTCATTGTGAGAAAGTCTGAAATTTTACTTAGTTTCCCTAGAATCTGTGTTAGAACCACGAATTAAGTTACATTTTTTGAAATCTGAGAAAAAGTTTCCAAAACAATAAGGAAATTCTAAAAGGATTCTAAGAGGAGGTATTTTAAGCAGAGTGTAACAATACTGTAAAATTCAAAAAAATCTTGTTTTGAAAGTTCCGTAGATAATAGCTCTAAAGGTTCGACAGATTCTTAAAAATGTTCTATAAAAGGTTCCTAGACGAATCTAAACAAATTGAAGAAAATTTGGAAAAGATTTCAACAAAGTCAAATTTTAACTCTGACAAAAGAGTAACCTTGGGTACACTTTGCTCTGACCATACGAATCTCCTATGTTCAGCCAGTGATATGCCTGACAGTTATGCAACCCACCTTACACACAAATGTGACACAGTGGCGTACGTAGAAATATATTCGGGAGGGGGGGGGGGATTAAACAAGTACGTGGCACATACAGTCACCCAGTGCGTACTAGAAGGGGGAGGGGGGTAAGAAATAGAAATTGGGTTGCAGGTTGCTGATGCTGGTAGTCATTTATCTATTTATTATTGTACAGGCGAAAAAGATTAGATTAGAACGGTATTTTATTTCTTACTGCTGACAGGCCCCTTTATTGCTTTTGCTTTAATTAGTCAACGAAAACTTTGAATAATAGGTACATATATATTTATGGGCAAAAAACCAATTTCGACAAAAAATTCAAAGGGCTGTAACTTTTGATCTAGTAGTCCGATCTTGGAACTGTTTGGAATTATGGATTCTACAGGCCACATTCTATAAGAAAATATTTTTTTCCGGTCGATCTGAGACAATTTTTTTTTCTGGGCAAAAAAAAGGCAGTTATTACCTTCCTTTTTTACCAAAAATCGACTGCACCAAAATTTCTCGGGAAAAAACTTTTTCTTATTAATTTGGGTGCGTAGAATCCAAAACGATTCGTACTTTTTCGATTAGACGTCTCAATCAAAAGTTATGGGCAAAAAACCAATTTCGACAAAAAATTCAAAGGGCTGTAACTTTTGATCTAGTAGTCCGATCTTGGAACTGTTTGGAATTATGGATTTTACGGGCCACATTCCATAAGAAAATATTTTTTCCGGTCGATCTGAGACAATTTTTTTTTCTGGGCAAAAAAAAAGGCAGTTATTACCTTCTTTTTTTACCAAAAATCGACTGCACCAAAATTTCTCTGGAAAAAACTTTTTCTTATTAATTTGGGTGCGTAGAATCCAAAACGATTCGTACTTTTCCGATTAGACGTCTCAATCAAAAGTTATGGGCAAAAAAAATTCCTGTTTTTAAAATTTAAAATTCTCATTTTCGTCATTTCGTGAAAGGCAGGACGCAGGTACCTCACCTCAGTAGCAGTACTAAGTACCTGATACCTATTTGTTATTTTGCGCATCAATGTAGCGAATTGTCGATCGATGCCGAATAGCCAAATAGTTGACTGCCAACACTAATCACTCACTGAATAGTGAATACTGAATACTACAGAATATTTAGATTTTAGTGACTTTAGACTTTAACCAAAACCAAAATTGCTCTCTATATATACCTATATATTATTGCCTTTATTTTAAAGTGGGCGGAGCGGATGGTGGAGTATTACCTAAATACCTAATAGCTATGATGATAACTCAATTCTTCTAAGGGGGGGATATATCCCCTTCATCCCCCCCCCCCCGTAAATACGCCACTGATGTGACAGCAGTTTAACAAAAGAAACTTTGGTAGTCGCCACTTCTGGGCCCATAACCCCATGGAAACTCGAGATGTATTAAACACGAGATGTAATCCAAAGAACAATGTCACTTTATTTTTATTGAAGTTTTAAAAACCACTGAGTAATTTTTATCTATAATAATACCATACGTTCAAAAATGAGTTGCTGTCTAGTCACCTTGGAATTTTTGTTTAATCGTACTTAACTTGAACTTCCAAAGGCGACTCGACAGCAACTCATTTTTGATCGCCCGTTACTAAGGTAGCTGATTATATTGTATGTACACTTTATATCCAATAATAATAAGAATTCAGATATTGACGTTTGAATAAAAAATTTATTCAATGCGTTTATTGAAACATTTAAAAAGATTAAAGAATGTAAGATCGGTTGCATATCTTAAGGGGTATTTGAATAGTCGATTTGTATGTTCAAACCAGGTTCAAACATTCAATTTATAGTTATAAATTCAATGGTTCATAGTACAAATGTAAGCACTGTATAGTATAATAGCAGATTTAAAGAAAAAGAAGCTGTGTCGTGTATTGTGTTTCTTACTGGGTGATAAACACAGCGCATTTATGTTTCAGCACGACCCTAACCAATGGAAGTTGGTATTTCTAATAGCAGGGGGAATTTACATTTTTGGCAATACATTTTACGTTCTCTTCGGATCTGGAGACATTCAACCGTGGGACACCTGCGAGGCTTACGATGATGATGATGACATTGGTAGGTGCAATTGTTTTAAATGCTTTTTTTTTGTAACTCTCGACTGTTCTAGAAAAAAATGAAAAATCCGCCGACAAAAGCTAATAACAAGAAGCAGCTGTGGTGTAAGATATAAATTTCCGTAAAAGTACTCCGTTTCTGTTCTGGTTTCCAGTATTCGAAGTACCTGTCTAGTAAAATTAAGAAAATTTTCGATTGTGATACAAGGCAACATTGAGCTATATCTTTGGAACGCAGTGATTATGCGAGGCCAAAGTAATGTCTAATGCCTGCGCCGAGCTAACTTATTTGTTTTTAGAACTACTTTTATAGATTTTATTTATTTGTCCACTAAGCTAAATTATTGTTAACTGTGATCATTAAGTAACAAATAAAAGAATACTCTATACAGCAGTTGTTGATAGTACTGACAGGATGTAAATCGATCCAACACAGCCTAAAAGTAATGACACAATAGCCACAATGGGAAAATCATCCAAATCTCCAATGGGTACAAACAACTGCACATCATCAAACAGCTAAAACATGACCTCAACAAACAACCGATAGCTTTACCCACCTACAGCTTGGTAAGTCACATTCTCCCAGTCGCATTTATAAATCCCGACACTGTCACACGGAGCTACCACATTCTGTTTTTGCCCACACAACCTACGACCGGCAATTGGACATCGTGCCACAAGTGACGGCCGAGACAGATTAATTTTACCAAATCTACGATTTTACGTTAGTCACAATTAATTCCCCGAAAACTCACCCTCCGGCGATGACCGCCCTTTGATATCTCAAATGTATCGGTACCCGTACAGACATCTTCCTTATATCGTGTCCCCTCAAGAACACATACAGCTGATGCTCGTTCGACTCGTGAGCCGGAGTCTCGACGTTAACATACCCCTCGATATACGCTGAAATCTAACGATACATCAACCCACCCTTCGCAAACTTCAAATAGTACCTGTCCCGTACGGTTGAGTTCGCCAATCTCGTCCGGGTTAACGAACATTTCCGAAGGTATGTTGAGACGTAATGCGATCTCGCAATAGGAACGGCTCCACTCGTCGTGATTCAAGTCGAGCGACTCGATCAACCAGTTTATCTCTCTGAAAGAATCGTTAAAGGTGGGATGTCGCCCCTAAGTGCTATTCTTACCTGTGAAAACCTTCATTTTCAACTTTTTGCGAGATTGAGACTTGCAGATTAAGGCAGTCTTCGTTGTAATTTGCGTTTACGCCGTATATTAATAAAATTGTAGCTAAAATTGGCGCTTGCATGTTAATTTTTCATGTTTTTTTGAATTTAAACACATAACCTATAAACGCTGAAGCGATGGTGCCAGTTTTACTGGGAGTAATCTAAAGCTGGGTTTACACACCGATACTAAAGGAGGCCCACACTTTTACCATAATATCACATTACCATTATTTAACATTACATTTTAAACAAATTGAAAATTGCCAATGTAAGACGACTCGACTACAAAGATTCTAAAGGAAAGTTATTAGGGATTCTAAGGACTTTTAGAAAAAAGCTCTGATTCTCTGAAATATGGTTCAAAACTTTTAATGTCTAGAATGCTCTTGGGAGTCCTTCGAGAGCCTTTAAAACTATTGATACTTAATCCTTAATTGCCGACAGATAATCAAAGCTCATAAAATCTCTTAAAGGTTCTGCTCTTTGAAAGACTAATATCCTCGTATGTATAACGCTCTGCTCATAAAAAAGTTCCTTAAAGGGCTGTTAGTTAAATTTTAAAACACTCTATTAATTCTAAAAGGCTCTTGAAGACGATTAAGCAATTTTGGAAACTCTTAAAGATCCACAAAAAAACTTTTAAAGAGCTCAATTATTCGTAAAGGTCTTTAAATAATCGCCTTTAATAAAGAGAAAAGATAACATCAAGAACTTCTGGATAACTCTTAGAGTTGACTTTTGCCGTTCTTAAATGTTTTAAGAAGATTAATAAAAGCTCTTATAAAAACTCTAAAATAGGGCATCTAATATTGCGAAGAAGAATGTTTATTGTATTCGGTATCTTATATCTTAGGTGGGTTGTGATTTGTGAATTTTGGAATTGGGATGATTTTAAACTTGTCCGAATCCTCTTAGAATGTAATGGAACCTTTAAAATCATATACGAACCTACGGAACCATTCTCGGAATCCTATTGAATTTTCTAGGATCCTTTTATATTTCGACATTTAGTTTGTTTCTATTATTGTTGATTGGTTCCTCAATAAGTTCAACAGATAGAAGGAAAATGACAGATTTAACAAAATTTTTGAAAAAACCCTATATTAATAACCATAAAAAAATACGAGAACATGGATCAACCACTACATTATGCAATAATTGTTAATTTGGTGCACGCGGCGCCCTGCAAATAACGTCATTTATAGATAATAATATTTAACTGATAAATCTTTTGCGCTCTCGAACTTTAATCTTATTAAGAAAACCGTGATTATTTTAACTTTTAACTTGGTAGTAACACCAAGTTCGCTTAGGCAACATATTCGAAAAATGAAATCAACACTAGGAATTAAACACAACTGGAGGAATTCCCCCGAGGAATGGCTGGACGAGAAGAGAAAACACGACGGCGCCGAAGGTCTGTGGAGGATCCACAATGGACTGTATGACTTATCCGATTTTATTTCGAGACATCCAGGCGGAAAATTTTGGCTTCAGGCCACCGAGGTTAAAGTTTGTTTCTTTTGAGGAAGTTTTTCACAGACTATTTTAGGGAATGGATGTAACTGAAGCGTTCGAATCGCACCACATTTCACTCAAACCGGATAAACTTCTCCCCAAGTATTTCGTGCGTAAGGCGACGACTCCCAGAAATTCGCCCTTTACTTTTCTAGAGGATGGCTTCTATAGAACCTTTAAACGGAAAGTGCGAAAAGTGCTTGTGAATGTACCGGTTGAGAGTGCGATGAAAACCAACGTCATGGTTGATGGTATGTTTGCAGGTGCGATTCTTGTAGGTGTACTAGCGGCAATACACGGTACATTTATATTGGCTATTGTCGCCGGATTGATTTTGGGTGTTTGTACGGTGGCAGCGCATAGCTACTATCACAGAAAGGACAATTTTCGGATGTACTACAATGACATCGCGCTACTTCCATCACGGTAATAAGCTGATGGTTACACATAACATTATTGAGGCTTTTAGATCTTGGAGAATCATTCACGTCCTAAGCCACCATGGCTATACAAATTCCGTTGCAGATCTACAGTCGTACGGCTTTGATCCGTTTGTTCAAGTTTACCCATGCCAAAAATCAACTATTTATAAGGCGTTATCGATTTTGACCCCTTTGACTTGGCCAACTTTCATACCACTGATATATTTCTCGAGGTGCGCGTAATGACTTCGAACATGTTGTAATACAACTGTTACAGATTTAACAACTGGAAGACTTTCGTAAAGAATTTTACAACAGTCGACCTTCTGCCTCTCGTCTTGCCTATCCTCTTCTGTGTGGTATCCAAGCAAAGTGTTAGCACCAAGCTCTTAATTTGGGCAGTGATGATAGCTGTGAGTAGTTTTTGGTTTATGATGGTAGGCCTCGTGACCAATCACATCAACCCCGACATTTTCGTAGATGGGGACAAGCCAAGGTAGCTCCGGTCTGTGTTGGTGGATCATACATTTATATATACGTTTTCAGATCACCACATAAAGTAGATTGGGGCACATATCAACTGGATGCAGTTGGCGACAAGACGGGCGTCGTGAATACCCATTTCCTTGGACTCATATCATTTGGCGACCACGGCCTCCATCACCTGCTCCCGACCCTCGATCACGGGGCGTTCCAACACCTGTACCCGGTTTTTTGGGAGACGTTGAAGGAGTTTAACTTGTTCTTACGTGTAATGAGAAAAAGAGACATGTGGGTTGGGTACTTCGATCAGTTGAGGAGGGAAACACCAAATCCAAACCCACCAAATTTGGCTACGTACGGTGTGAATTTGTAGGCCGTTTCTTTTTATTAACTTTTGTATATTGTAGATGTGTTTGAATGTGTAATATAAATTAAGGAAACTAAACTTTTACTTAAAATCAGTAGGTACCTAAATAGAAATAAAATAATGAGAACGCCTTTTTCACTTATATTCGCGTTTTCTCAGTTTACACCATTCTTCGTGTCTTTTGATACATTTTTCCCGCTTGTGGCCAAATTTTCCGCAAATGTAACAGTTAAACATTCAAATATACAACAAGTTAAAAGTTAATTTACATAAAGCGCATTTCCACTAGCATTCATTTCCCATTTGTAAGATGCAAAGTTGGAACTGCGCATGCGCAAACCTAAATTTTGAAACTAAGGTTAGATTTTCCTTTGTTCCAAGCGCCTATGTATCAAATTTCATTTAAATTCTTCCATAAATAAAAAAGTTGGCACTGCGCATGCGCAAAACCATATTTTGAAATTAACGGTCGATTTTCATTTACTTATTCCAAGTGCCTATGTATCAAATTTCATTCAAATACTTTTATAAGTAAAAAAGTGTGCAATTTGGTTTAGAAATGGTCGAGATCGAGGTCGAGATGCGAAAAGGGCACTGTGAATTTTGAATCGATTCGACTCAACTTTTGCCATTGCGTATTATATGGCTAAAGCTATGCCCATATTGAATTTAATGCAATTCAGTTAATAACTAACGGAGATGTAAAAGCGATCGGACATTTCTAAACAAAGTTATCGTTCACACGGACAGATAGAGGGACAAACAGACAAAGGAACAGACGGACAGACCAACAGACAGACGACAGACAGCAATACAAAATTATAAACGATCTCTAGGATCGTTATAAACGGCAAAAGTGTAAAATTATGAACATGTAAAAAACGGTTTGTTGGTTTTTTTACAATAACTTTTTTTGTAAGCGGTACAGAAAAAATTCCTTCCTTGGTGCAAGACTCGACACCATAACGAACAAAATACCGAAAAAAGTAAAACAATAGCTCTTAAGATAAAAACCTAGTAGCGTCTCAAAACGAGCGGACGGACGGACAAAGTGGCCACAATAGCGCATTTTTTTTTATTTTTGAAATGCGCTAACAAAAAATTGTCAACTGTCAAAATTACACACCAAATCAAATCCATGATAGACTGAATAGCAATGGGCCCAAAGGATCTCCCTGTTGTACACCACATTGACAGTCCAATATCTTCTCACCATATACCAACTTATAAGAATATCTATAAGCTTGCCATATAGATATTGTAGCGAACATTCCAGTAATTTCTATAGACATCGAGGTGCCATGAAAGATTAATCAACGGCGATAAAGAACAAAGGCGGACGTGACGTAATCATTCATGAGAATTATGACGTGTTTGTTCGAGAACCTTCTGAAGGTTCCTTGAACACTCCAGAATCCATTTTAAGACTGGTGTAAATTTAATTGTTATAAATTAAAGACGTAATTACAATATAAACGTAATTACAATATAAGCGGAATTAGAAATCATTATTAGATCTGAAAGATGTCTTGGTCAAGTCCTCCGGCCTCCAGAAGTTCTGGGTTGTAGACAATAAATTAATTATAATCAACCCAAACAAAAGAAAAGAACGTTTTTTTGTTTTGAGCTAGGAAGCTGTTCTGTGGCGACTGGTTTAAGATTTGTCCAACTGTTTGTACAAGATGGTTTCCACAAAGATGTATCGCATTTGTCCAATTGCAACCGAGCTCTCATGCTACAAGAATGCCAAACAAGCAGCAATTGACCGACTCTCCAACAACTTTAATGGAATAAATAAATAAGATTTACTATAACAGGTACAGATTTCATAAAAAAATATATAAATGTCAAAAATAGATTCCTTTCTGGTGCAATAGTCCCGCCCACTTCAGGTCCATTAATTATGAACTAATTTAAAGCTGTAACTAGCTACCCGTTCGAATCTGCAAGCCCGTGTCCAAACTGAGAATCTGTTTCACTAATTCGTACGTAGAAAAAGAGATGGCGGTCATGGGCGTTGCTCTCAAATAATTAATCGACATTCCCCGATATAGACCCTTTATTATGCCGTGATCGCGATAGATGTACCCCAATGTCGAGAACATCCCTTTGGCGTAATGGCTCGTCTCGGGATTCATGAGCGCCAGCTGCATACGCCTTCGAGTCACCTCCATCGGATAGCTAATACTTTGGGCGATCGCGCCGGCAAGCCCACCGCATACCAGCTTGACGGGCACGGTTAATACTAATCCGCCTGTATTCTGCTTGCACTTATTGCACGTCAGGTCGGGTAGGTACTTCATGCAGCCGTATTTCAGGTACTCGAACATGTAAAACGATGTACCGGCGTACGGGACCATACCCATAAGAGTTGGTGTAAAACCTCGATACAACGCTCTCAATCCACCTTCGTCCTTGATGATGGTAGAAGCGGCATGGACGATTCCGGTATAGACGTGCTCGCCAGTGATCTACATTATAAAACGTGTTAGTGATGTGGATAATACAAGTTTAGGGAATGGTCACTATTTATTCTGAAAATATTCTGTACAACAAAATGATGAGATATATTTGTGAAAACTGAGATTTATTTGTTGCAATTAACTCCTGACACCAAATTTTCGATTTATCAATTGGAATATTCCGAAAAACCTTACTCTAAAAGTACTATTAAAAGGTTTGCCTTTACTAGAAGTATCTATCGTTAAAATTTCAAAAAATATCTTAATAAATAAGAAAGTCTGCACATGCGCACACCTGATGTTTACAATATGCGATATGTTTGCATTTACTAGAAGTATCTGTGATTAAAATTTCAACAAAATATGTATAAATAAGAAAGTTGATATTACGCAGCCGCACATTAATCGTCAAGATTTTTCTTGGTTCAGGTGCCAAAGGTATAATAGCTACCGAGTTTAAAAAGAACATAGTTTTACGTTTTACAGTCAAAACTGCGACAGATGGAGACCTTACATTGAGAACGTAGGTTTCTTTGAGGGCGTAAAGGTGTGTATTCCGAAAGAAGTTCCCGAAATTTCCACGGGAACGGAAAAAAATAGATACTCGACTTTGACGGGAACATCTATAAAGAATAGTACGAAATAACAATAGTTTTAACACTGAAGAGTTTTATGGAATTACAATATAAAGGGTGTTTTACTAGAAAACACAGGTTTTTAATTAAAAATGGCGATTTTAATTGAGTACACGGTAGGATTATGCAATATGTCTGGAATAGCTTATTGGGTAAGTGACCTCCAAGGCTCTGCTGGCACGTATGAACTGATGATGAATGAAATTTTCCATAACTGCGTTTCGGGCGATGATCCAATCACAGACGTCGTGAAACGGCACCTTATCACGTGTTTGGTTCCACTGAAATGGCGGTGGAATCTGCCGGTAATGTAGAAATTCATCTATAGCATGACGTTTGCCAATATCAAATCTCGCTAAAATGGAGGGTCCAGGTAAAAATGTCATTCCGCGTAGGCATTGAGCACCTTAAAGAAGTATAACTACATAGGAAAACCTGAAATTGGTGTAAGGTGTGTTGCATACACTTCAAAGTGGTTAATTACCACAAATATTGAAGGATATTTGGCCTTGGGCGGTAAATAATGACTATTATAAACAGGGAAACCAGTTATACTTAGGGACCCTTTGTTTTCCTTGTTTATCACAGTTGAACAGTGTTGGCATATTTACCCAATCGTTATATGAAGCTAGGTGATTGTTTATTATGTAAAGATAATGGTCCTTAGAACAGTTCTTGTTGTTTTATTATTAGATTAAACTACATTTTTTTACTTTATTTATTGTTCCTTATGATCTTACATTTCAGATTGATCCTCCCTTACATAATATTGTTATTGGCATTGAATAAAAGCTTATTCAATATTTTAATCTAGTTTATTCAAACTCAAAGCGCTTGCCAAAATCTGGCAACGTTGGAATTTTAAAGAAGTAAAGAAATCTGCAAAGTCGGTAACTAGCTTTAAATTTGTGGTTCACTTTCCCCCACAACAGAGGGACGACAGTATCCTGGGCAGATTTTCTTATTTCATCAGTTAACACGGGTGTTATACTTCTTTAAGGTGCTTATTCAATGGCGTAGGCAAGGATGATATATACACAGTGTCTTAAATTGAGTAGGATAAAATGGCTATCTTTGTTATTATTATATTTACAGATTCGATTAAATTGGCAAAGTGGTGTAGTTTTTGATGTTGATTGATATTCCGATGCAATATTTTGAAAAAATAAATCGTTTCGCAGATAATTGGAAAAAAGTGAAAATCGCCATTTTTAAAAAGTTTAAATATTTTAGTAACAAAGACAGTTATCGAAAAAAGTTTCAAATAACAGTTGCAAGATTCGATTTTTTTTTCAAGATGGCGGTTTTCGAGATATTGACATCAACTTCCTTATTTTAAATGGACACCATATTGGATTTTTACGTCACTCGATACAGAAAAAAATTACAAAATCAGTGATACTAAACACTTAGTATTTCATTTGGGAATCAACCTTGCATGTATGCCTTGAAGTTTAAAATGTATTTCTTATGATAATATGTAATTCCATGGCCGTGTCGATGGTGACTATGCGAGACAATAAACGAACGAATTTAGTTTCAATCACAACTAGCCATGGAATTATTGCCATAAGAAATACATTGCAAACTTCAAGGCAAAAATGCCAATATAAAGGCAGAATCTTCAGTGCGCCAAAAATACAAAATTTAAGAACGGATAGAATTAGAAGTGCCACGGAGAACATCTGCAGCACCTCCGTCGGCGAAGCAAAGAACTAAGGAATCTACAACACTTGGATGGTAAGTATGAACTAGGAAAACCTGACGCGCTGTTGCAGGACTCGTAGTGTCAAAACTACCCCCCTGGCGGAGAAGGATTCACCTAATTAACCAGTGGCGTACGTAGAAATTTATTTCGGGGGGGGGGGGATTTAACAAGTTCGTGGCACATACAGTCACCCAGTGCGCACTAGAAGGGGGGGGGGTTAGAAATAGAAATTGGGTTGCACAGGCGAAAAAGATTAGATTAGAATGGTATTTTATTTCTTACTGCTGACAGGCCCCTTTATTGCTTTTGCTTTAATTAGTCAACGAAAACTTTGAATAATAGGTATATTTATGAGTAAAAAACCAATTTCGACAAAAAATTCAAAGGGCTGTAACTTTTGATCTAGTAGTCCGATCTTGGAACTGTTTGGAATTATGGATTCTACAGGCCACATTCCATAAGAAAATATCCCCTTCACCCCCCCCCCCCCCGTAAATACGCCACTGAAATTAACTATATTTTGGTTGATTCTCATTGCCCAAGGAATCCTCTTTTTAACCATATCAAATTTGTTAAAATCGGTCAAACGGTTAAGAAGTTAAAGCAGATTATTGCAAAAACAATTGAACACTCCACACCATCTTTGTTTTTGAAATGACTGAGTTTTTGCTTTTACGAAAATGATAGATAAACTGGTTCTCATTAAAAATGTGAAAAAATTTTTTTATTTTATTATGCGAAATTTAAAGAAAATGGAATTTTAAAATTTAAGATGGCAGTTACGCCCTCTGTTGGTCATTTATAGAACTTGAACATATTTTCCAGCAATTCTTCATAACCGATTTACCCAATACTTTTTTTTACCCTTAAGTCATATGACGAACGGTTCCCAAGATATGGCCGAGGAACAGTCTTATTGGGTCACCCGTTACATGCACATTATAGCTATTAAGATAACTAGGTGTTTGGTAGGTGCGATTATAGGACAATGTCCATTTATAATCCGAGCAACCTTAGAGAATCCTTTGAACTATAAAACACTGTTATCGTCAAGATTTTTAAAAACATTGAAGCTTATTTTATCCGAATTAGTCTTTTATAATGAGAGCAAACATTTTATTGTACAGAATTGATAAGTTGAAGTATTCACAAAATAGAAATCTGTACTTACCTGGAAAGCTAGACGTGCCCGAATCGTGTCAAGAGGATACGTAAGTGCAACAGCGGTGACTCCAGCACCGGCACCCGCAATAAACTTATCTATGTGAGAATTCGGGCCAAAAAATCGTGCCAAATATCTCTTATACACTTCAAAGGACGTAAATTGAGTAGCAGCATAAGGAAAGATACGAACCATTTGGGCACCATTTCCCTTGTAAAGCGCGAGTAACGATTCCTTTTCGACGATGTGTCGTAATGCGCGTAGCACGCCGTTCATTGCGTGATGCGGATTATGCGCCTGGAGTAGGATCTTAACCCGATCTAATGGCGCTACCGAGGACTTTGCCACCATTCCGGCCATTCCTACGATGAGAAAGTAAGAAACGGAAAATAAACTTGCGTGCTTACCTCCGGCCGCAAAACTTTTCGCGATGAAAATCACATTTTTGTTTTCCACCTGCTTCATTGTCGTGTTGTAATTGAACTATGTTGAAAATTTCTAAAATTTCTCTTCTCTGATTGGGAAACTACAATGTTACTTCAAGGACTGAGGCAACTTTCACCTTAGTCATCTCCTAGCCTGTCCAAGAAAAACTGAGCATTAATTTTATCTTTGTTAATTGAATGAATAGAATGATAAGAGGGAAGTGTGTCCAACAAAATATGAAAGGAAATCTTTAGAAATGATAAGCTGTGTTACCTTGAGCCGTGGTTTCCCAACAGAAAAGACGTACACGTTTATTTTGTTTTTATTGTTGCAAGCAACGAGAGGTGAAGATGGTAACACTGATAGATAGCATGAATAAACAATTCGGGGCATAAAGGTACCTACTTAAAAAGTTCGAGGTCACATTGTGCAATACAGGAATTAAGAACCGACGCGTGCTGCTGACGTAAACAAATGATTGGTAATCCTAGACTTAGATGGCAACTTTCTATGAACTTCGTTCCCATTTTCCCACTGACGTTCACTTGTAAATGCCCAGGCATTGCGCAACTGATGACAAATTCCACTAACAGCTGATTACACAAACGATCAGCTGATATAACAGCTGTTTTTGACAATTTGTAACAAAAGCGCTTCTAGTGATTGCTATATAGTAATAACCAGCTCTGAAATGCTCCTAAGAAGTTAAAAAAAACAATAGTATCTTCTCTTGATTTCTACCGTAAGGACAAGATAAGATACTTGGAGTTGCCCATATATGTCTTTTATACATATATGGAGTTGCCCCTGTATGTATCGAACAATCAATGTGTCAAAATGACCGGCACCGGTGCCGTTTATTCAAGTTGACTGACATACGTCATTAACATAACCTAACTTATTCTCAAAAACCATTTTTTGCAAAAAACCACAATAACAAAGTAAGCATGTCCGATTTAAAGGCACGCCGTGAAGCTCGAATGCAAAAGATTATGGAAAATTCGGCCTCTCGTTTAAAAAAAATAACAAGCGTAACAGAATGCGACGACACCACGACAGGTAGGATACAAGCAGCTCGCTCCTTAGTACATTTCTATTGCAGACCACCTGAGCATCCACACGAACGGACTAAGCAGTACAAATTCAACACTTCCCCACTGTTTAACTGAAACCAAAACGTTTCCCATTAACGAAGTTACAAATTCAACACTTCCCAACAATTTAACCGAAACCTCCTTTCCTACTAATGTAGCTGACATACCTTCAACATTTGACGAATTATTACCGGTGCAGGCGAGATCTAACAACGTACGCGAATTGGTGCTAATACTACTTGGTTTATTGACGAGACTCGTGTATCTGATCTCGCAACAGTTTGTCACGTTCGAAGCATTACAACAGTATAGTTTGAATAACATTTTTGTACCATACTTTCTATTCGAGGTATCCGAGTATACATTTTTTAAACCCTTCCTTCCACCTTTCCCTTACGAGGGTTTATTAGGTATGCTCAATTTGGGTATAAGCCGTGAATATATAGAAAAACTGTTAATAGTCGTTAAAATATTCACGCGTATGGTACAGGATCTCACGATCTATTTATTTACATTTGTTTGCTTCGATCAAGTCTTAGATTGTTTCTTAATACGTCAGGAAATAAGAGTCTAATATTTTTAATTCTATTTTTATAAATTTATATTTAATAATGTATGAAAAAATAAAGAAAACTTAATTACTTGTGATGAGGTTTTTTTGGTGAGCTTTCAATTTGTGAGTCTTTCCTCACGATTTTCCGCTGACCTTCGTTAACCATCTTAGCTTCCCACTTTTCTATCTCGGCATTATACCGTTCCTGATCGGCCTTGAACATATTGGTATATTTCTGTTTCGCTTCTTCGGGCAATTTAGTCCAGGCCTCTTTATACTTATTCAGAACGTTGCCGAGGGTGTCACCTCTATTTTCGGGAAGCTCTCGTTTTTCTTTGATAAAGTAACCGAAGTTGGTAAGGGGACGCTTAGGTTTACCCGTATCGCGCCATAACTAAGAGGATCGTTTTAATAAAGCACCAAGGGGAGTAGTACTCACCTTTCTAATGACACGCTTATTTCGTCGTACCCGTTTATCCGCCTTCAGTTTTTCCAAGGCGTCTAATTGCTCGGCGGTCAACGATGAAAGGTACTTCGTATGCTCCTCTTCGTATACAGCGTGATCTTTACGATACCTCTCTTCGTACTTTTCCTTTAAGGTAGTGTCCATGTTTCGCCAGTTGAGGGCGATCTGTTTCACGACTTGCATTTGCTTCCAGTCCGGATGTTGCTTTAGTAGGATGGGGCGAGTTTCGACCAAAAATTGGAAGTACGATGAGAGGGGTTTTTTGGGTCCTTTAGGAATTTCTACGGGTTTCGCCTCCTTATGCACCTTGGCATCTAATTTAAGTACTGGTTGAAAAGCTGCAATAACCCTGAAAGACGCATCAAATAAAATTCGGCGAGGACAGTTCTATTTATACCGATTAATTAAGGCCCCTCTACAGTTTAAAAGGGTATTTGATAATAACGCATGTATAGACATGATAATTATTAACAAATAATATGAAAAATTAAAATTGTTTATTATTAAAATCACATAACTAATCAGCAGGTTTGCCAATCACAAAGTCAGTTACAAAACAAACTATTTTACACTAGTGCCACCTATCGCCCTTTCACTGGTGTTAAGCCGCGGCACTTTTAAAAAAGGACATTTTATTTATAATATGTCGCCTTATACTTGTTTTCTTAATATGATGAATCTGAAAAATTGGAAGTATCCAAATAGTTTAAAGAAGAATCGAAAGAATTACTTCAATGCGCCCCTATCTACAAGCCGCTTGTTTTCTTGCCCCCTTCACTTCCTCTTGTTTCGCCGTCGCCTACGCCATTCTGTTTCCCATATAACAATATTTAATTCGAAATGTTTACTCTAAAGAAGGCGAAAATTAGAAGAATCTGAAAATTGTGAAAGAACTCCAGAGCATCTGAAGCATATAGATCAAAGTGGAAGCTTCCATGGCCAGACTTCTGCGAGTGACTTCCAACATAGGACCCTGTCAGTGTTGAATGTAAACTCAACGTTTTGCCCACTTTCGTGCACTCGGGCTTTATCAGGGAACAAACAAAAATGAAATAAAGTATATAAACTCTTACCAATGAGCCCACACTACTTCACACATTGAAATACTGAAAAAGGGAAGGCTAAACCTAGCTCTTTAAACTTAAAAAAATTCGTAATTTACAAACGACTAGGGGTTGCAATTTTATAAACACTTATATAGGGTTGTTGTTAACCCTCAAGCGTAATAATTATTTATAAATAGAAGTATTTGATGCGCCTTTTAAAATGACAACCCTAACACTGGACAACTGCCAAGAAAGATTGCATTTTTAACTACAAAAATTCGTAATTTACAAACGACTAGGGGTTGCACTTTAATAAATTCTTATATAGGGTTGATGTTAATGTAAAAACTTTCGCTCACTCACACGCATGCGCGACTTTATAAGGCGACGCGCAAGCGGAAGTCATCAATCTTCCCTCGTTCTCTACCAGGTCAAGCATTGTTAATCTGATCAATCCCAGTTTACTTTCATCAGATAAAAACCTCCTAATGTTCACCACAAGGCTTTATTAATAAAGGCTGCTTTCAGTGGAATGGAAAAGGAAACCCCAAACTGCAAAAATCATTAAAAATTTCTACTTTTACATTTCAAAATTACAATGCAAAAATAACTTACGACCGAAACAGTTAAAACGGAACACCTGAAAATCAAAAATAAATACTCTAAAATCGTTATTTTCAGTAAAAGGTTACTTAATTTAAAAATGTGAAACGCTAAAATTAAATATCAAATAACAATAACAAAATACTCGTCTATTAGAATTTTTATTAAATGTTTTCATCGTATAAAGGTGTTGCATCGCCCAGAGACATGGAATGAGGTGAAGTGTTGGTTCGCGGCGTCGAGCGCGCCGAGCGCGGACTTTTCCCGAACTTTCCACGATCCAGATCAGCGCGCAACTCGTCGAAGCGAGGAGTGCGCTGGCCGCCCGAGCGCGGCGTGTTGCGACTTTCGCCCCGCGATCCGTCTCGATTGTTCGACTTGGCCCACGCCTCCGCCGCCTTCTGCCAGTCCATGTTTTCGGAGTGAGCGTTACGCTGACCGCCCGAAAAGCTCCGGTAGCTGTGGTCGCTGGTGAAGCTTCGCGGCGAGTCGGTGGCGTACGGCCGACCGCCGTCGCCGCCAGGGGGGAACTGTCGTGCGTGTGGACCGTTGTGGATGACGGGCGAGTGGGTCGGCACCGGGCGGTAGGCGCCTCTTTGACCAGGAGTCACGGAGCCTGGATGTAAAAAGCCGGTGTTTGATAGGTGGGGGGACGCGTGAGGAGTCTGGTAGGGCGTCATGTAAGGTGTTTGGCCACTCGGTGTGTACGGCTGAAAATAAGGTTATGACATACAGAATTTCGAATGCAACTCCGTTTACCGTGCCAACGAACGTATTGGCGCCATACGCCCCTCCCGGCGTGTGAGGGTAGTGAGGAGTTTGATTCGCTACGGCACTCAGCGCTTGCATCATGTGAGACGGCATGTTTTGGGCCACCCTTTGTATTGCTTCTGGATTCATGCTGTTGATGTTGGGAGTAGCGGTTCCGTACGAATTGTGCCCCGTTCTCGGAGTGCCGGGCGTGACGCCGCCCGGTATCGGATCTCGGAAGTGTTCCTTGAACCACTTAAACAAACTACCGACCGAGTCGAATATTTGCTGCCTAAACCGAAAGCCCTCAGGTGTCACCGTGACAAACTCGTGCCGGCATTTGTTTCTCGGCAAATACGACAACAAGAATTTCCCAGGATAATTCTGCAATGTCAAAAATTGCTTCATTTCTTCAGAATAAATCGAAACTATACGCTATTCATTTTAAGAAGGTAGCGGTAGAAAGCATAGGGACAGTTTGACCTTCACTGTGATTGGTTAAAACACGAGTCAGTATTACCATGAAAAATATAACAAGTGACGAATTCTGTCTGTTAGAAGTTTCAATTACAAACTAAACTGTCGAACTGTCATTAGCTGTCAATTTCAAAGATCCAAGCGTGATATCGTTTGATTTATATTTATATTTTTTGTGCCGTTTTATATTTTTCCAGTGTGTGTCGATCTTCAAACACAGCGCCATCTACTACCTTCTTATAATGAATGCAGTATAGTCGCCAAATTACAGATCACTGAAATATCCACCTACCTTGCTTACGCTAATAACGTAATGAATCTTAGACGAGTTTTTCTTCTTTTCCTCTTTGAGATATTCTTCAGACTTATCCTTGAGACCGCCTTCGGTGTCCTTATAATACTTGAAGTATAACAGATCTCGCGCATGCGCGGCCATGGGCGTTACATGTCGGGCGATAATCTCGTCTAAATCTTCAAACGACTCCCCATTAATCCAAAGCGAGGATCCTAGCGAAAACGCATTCGTCTTGCCCTCCTCCTTGACGTCGATATGTTGATAGATCTTGTCGGCGACTTTCCACGTTATCGTCAAATGATCCGAGCCCTTACTCGACGGTCTTATGATCACCTCGCCCTGATCCATGTTCGCCATACACTTTTCCGCTTCGGCAAACGAAATGTTGTGAAACGCCGGGTGGACGATGACGCGCTTAATGTACGTCTGTCTTTGTTTGTTCTTCTTAATTTCCTGCTCGGTTCTCAAATCTTTGTCTTCCGAATCCTGATCGTAGTACGGATCCTTGGGCGGCCTAAACAATGTTGCAGCACAAGATACTTCAGGTGGGTGGAATACTCACCGCCACTCGTGATTCTTATCCGCCAAATCGCTCGATTTCGAAGTGCAATCGACCGAAAATCGCTCAACGTCAATCTTAATAATGCGACAGTGTATCAGCTGCCCCAAGGAGACGCGCTCCTCTGGATTCGTCACGTGCTTATCGCTCAAATTCTTTATGTGTATGTAACCTGAGATACCGTTGTCTAATCGCAGCCTAACGCCCGTCGCCTGCCCGGGACAGGCGCCCGCATCAAAGTGATTCCACACGTCGGAAAGCTCCGGGAAGTCATTCTTCAGACAAAAGGGACATTGCCATAGTCCGGTCTCGTCGTTACGTACAGGATTCGCCTGATCTAGCTGTTCTGCTTGTGGCTTCTTATGCGTTATACCTACGATAATGCGAGGTAACAATGAGGCACCCTGTGTTTTTAAGTGCAAATCTGGTTGGTTACTTACAAATAAACACAAAGTTGGTTTATTGTGCTTGAATTGAATTTGTATCTCAGTGTATTTTTTTATTTTAGAAATTTGTGTAATTGGTAATTTTTTCGTTTTAATTTGATCGCTTTTGTAATTTGTTCAATTTAGGTAGGGTGTTAGAACGAGGGGCAAACTCCTTAATGGGATTTTTAATTACTTGATTACTTTTTCAGTACTTTAATTGCTTGTTGAGTATGTTTTGAGTATTTTCAGTACCTGCAAATACATTTTCAGTATTTTGATTACATTTTAAATATTTTAATTACTTTTTCAACGACTTTTTGTTACTTGTCGAGTATTTTAATTACATATTTGGTAATGGTAAGGTCAGGTTACTTAGTGAAGAAGCTCAAAAAAAGCGCGCGCATCAGTTTCACTGGGAAATATCGCGCTTATTAGCAGTTGTTTTAAATTATTGTGAACGCCTTAGCCCCAGTTGCACCAACAAAATTAAGCCTTACTTAAAGTTAAGCCGAAATTTAAATCTATGGCAACGATTATTAAGACAATCGTCACTATGGTATCTAAGTTATGCTTAACTTTAAGGGATACTTAATTTTGACGGTGCAATTGGCCTAAGTCATTTATAATACAGTATTTAGGAGTGTCGATCCGTCTGTACACTCATTTCCGGTTAAACAGCTAAACTGATTAGAACCAAATTTTGTACACATATTTTTAGACAAAAAAGGTTTGGGCAGAATCGCGCATGCGCAAGTGTGTCAAACTCTCATTTCCGGCTAAAGCTTTTGACATTGACATTTCCATATAGGTAATGCCATTGCAGTGTGCACATTTTAAATCTTGCGAGGTTTTGTGAGTTAAGAAATGCTGTTCGTGACATGGTGACAAAATCAGACTGTGCACATTTTAACTATTTGAAAATATTGTGAGTTAACTTAAGTACTTAATTTTGCTTTGTACTGGTACCGACACGACACGTAAGAAGGCTACAGCGGACTATGCGCAGATGACTAATTAGAGTCTGCAGGAGGATCCTCGGGAGGACCAACTGGCTCTGTGGCGCACCACTATGTCCAATCAATAAAATATGCATAGTGGGGATACGTTTATTATTTTTTTATATTATTTAGCATTTCTACATTTCGCCTGACTCATTCTTTCGCTTTCTTACGTGCCGGCTACAGTAGTCCATGGTATAATGACCATGTGCACATTTAAAATCTTTGAAAACTTATGTTAAGAAATGTCGCTTCAGAACATATGTTGAAGATTTGTTGCAAAATAACCTATAACGATCACTTTTTAATTTGATAGTTTTTAATTTGACAGTGAAAACATTTGATTTGACGATTTCTGTCATTAGTTCTCTAATGCTATAGCGCGTTCGCACCTCCAGATTCAGTATGGGGTCTTATGGACTAATTGCCTCTCTTACTAGTTTGCGTCATTCTTCGATAATACTATCCTTGTTTCTAACCGCATTAATGTCAAATTGACATATGATTAAATTGAAGTATAACAAAACATAATTTCCTTGTGCTGTAATTGTCACGTTTGGCAAGCATGTACTGTATATCCATAAGCACCATACTGAATTTGGAGCAGTGCCGGATTTAGGGGGGGGGGGCTATGGGACTATTAACCCCCGGCGGTAAATTTTGAGAGGCGGTACGTCGTCGCTTCTATCACCACAATTCTAATTGTAGATATTTAATTTATGGGGTTCAGTTTCTGAAATATCATGGTAATAAAACTTGCAGGTCTCTTCACCTATAAAATTGCCGGTCTCGGGTTGCCGGCGGTAGCAGGTCGTTGGACGCACAAAAGCACTGGCAAAAACACGTTTCATGTTTTCGGGAAATCTACACTTTGCTGACAAAGGACAAAGGGTGGTCCCATCATCCGTTATTTACCTCTACTTTCCATTGACTATATTGTCGGGCGCACATTTACTTGTTAAACCCTTATTACAAACAATTATTAAGCGGCGGAGCAAAGCGATGTAAGCTTTATAGGGGGTCGATGGTGTCCATCTGTCCGTCGGTGAACACGATAACTGCCAAAGGCTTGGACCGATTCAGTTCAAACTTTGCACAGTTGACCTACATGCCACATGTAACAATCCTATTGAAAATGGGTGAAATCCAATGATTCCGTAGGGTCAAACCGAGGTGCTCTGCCGCTTTTTAGCGCATTTTTGAAAAAAAATACGCTATTATGTTCGTTATGGCTGGCTGGCTGTCTGGCTGAGATCTCAGCAATTACAATTGCTAGACTTTATATTTTCACTAAAAGCTTTCTGATGTAGTGTAGATGTGCAGGCTCTAGTCTATTTTGAGCTAGATTACTCGTGAGATCGATAATTTTAAACTTTGCTAATAAAACTCTGATCTGCATGACCAAAAATGCGCTTTCATCATGCATAATATGCTGATTTACAACTTGTTTAGATCCGCTCTAGGGGTTTATTTAAGCTTAAGTTTTGTTGTGTCTCAGAGCCAGCCGCCAGCGTGTCCGGCTGGTACGCCGTGTCGTCAATGCTGTTAGGTCATTACGCCTCAGCGCAGAAAATGGTACTCATTTATTAGTGGAGTGTTTTCGTGAAGTTTCTAAAAAATGAGCGGAAAAGAAGGAGGTGCATTTTGGAAACGACAAAAGTTAGAAAAACAACAAAATTAACTGAAGTATTACAAAAAAACCAAGATTCAGCTTTTTTCCCTACCTACTGGCGGTATAGTATGACTTAGCCCCCGGCGGTCCATGAACTAAATCTGGCACTGATTTGGAGGTGCGAACGCGCTATAGTCGTCACAGTCGTCGTTCGTCTAATCATTGTAGCTACCACGCGGGCGGCCCTAATTCGATTCCCGGTCCATGAAGATTTTTTAAAATTTTATATATTATTCATCATTTCTACACTTCGCCTGACTAATGCTAATCGCTTTCATAGGGGCTGGTATTACAACTTGCTATAACTTCCATAAGAAAAAACAAAGTTGATGTTGGTTGACTGGAGACGAAACGTCAAAATTAAAATGTAAAAGTAGCATCTTGTAGAAATGTAGAGGGAAGAAAGTGGCCATAATAATGTGTCATTTATTTCGAAATATCTTTTTAAATAACTTCAGTAAAAAATAAAAACGATTTTGCAAAATTTCGTTTTTTTTTCCGGATATCTCCGAAAGTAATCTGAATTTTTTCAGTGTCAAAACTGCATTTTGTTAATTATCAAAATACGCAACTTTGCCGAATTTAAACTACCTACCTATCTATTCCAGTTCCCGAGATCCCCATGGTGGCCCTCGAATTTGAATCAGCCTGTATACCGTGTGGAAACTTGCCACACTGTATTTTCTCAAATATGCAGTTAGTTTGCGCATGCTCATTTTGTTTTGATAATAAAAATTGGAGCACTATTTGTTGATTCTTATTTTCAAATGTCTTGCCTTTTTGTGTGACCTGTGCGATATGGAAAAACAAATGTGCAATATCAGTGGAAAAATGGCGCAATGTGTACAATAGTAGTGCAATTTGTGCAATAGCTGTGCAATGTGCACAATATTGTGCAATATTATGGCAGTGTGTGCAATATTGCACATGTACTACCTCTGATATTGAAGAGATTACCCTCTCGGCCATTCATAAATAGCAAACGCGTTTTTCCTTCGGAAAAGTTCGCGGCATTTTTGTTTTAAAAAAAAATTGAAAAGACATCTCCGTTGAATTAGGATATGCAGTTTTGTTTTACAAGCTGAAAATCCTTACCACTAGCTAGACCATTACGGCACACATTCAATCGTTATAAACGAGGCGACGCGTCTGTCGTTTACAAATGTGCATCCGCGCGCGACCGTTCAGTGACTGCAGTTGGTTGCTTTTTCTGTACATTGACATTAACAACATTATAATGATTATATTGAAAATATTCTGATTAGGTACTTATTAAATGTCTTGATTACTTTCAAATATAATAAGTCCTACAAATATACGTGAATTACTTACAAATACTGTTAAATATAAATATTTTAAATATGGTGTACACTTTTTTGTAAGTTGTTTGCCCCTCGTGTTAGAAGGAAGGGTGCACTGGTCGTTTGCGATAAAAAGTATTATTATTATTATTATTGGCAGTTTATAGGAAACTTCATGAAAAAAGAGTTTTTTTTATAGTGGAAGTGGTACTACTTTAAATAGTAGAGACAAGAAGACGGGGTTTTTTCTTTCGCGGCGGTTTGAGGGCGTGTGCATTTCTTTTTTTGTTTGTGGTGTCAGTGCCTTTGCATATCGCAAAATTGAACTTATTAAACCATTAAAAAAACTTAGTAGATTTATTATTTGTCTGTCGAACGCCTGCGTACGGAGTACGTGTAAAAATGGGATCTCATTTTTCATTGAGTTCTAAGTTAGGCCGAAGGTACTTTTTTGTTAAATATTGTGATAATCAGCGATTTATTTTAATACAGAAGTTAACCGCACAGAATTGCTTATTTGCCAATTTATTTAAAGTTTTGCGAGATCCCGCACATTCCGGGATCCCGCGGGATTAACATCTAACAATCCCACAAATACCGAAACCAATTTCAAAAGAAAATTCAAAGGGCTGTAACTTTTGAACTAGTAGCCCAATCTAGGAACTGTTTGAAATTATGGATTCTACAGGCCACATTCTATAAGAAAAGTTTTTTCCGGGTAGATCTGAGATAATTTTTTTTGAGGGCCTCAAAAAAAGGCAGTGTATAACCTTCCTTTTTTACTAAAAATCGACTGCACCAAAATTTCTCTGGAAAACACTTTTTCTTATTAATTTTGGTGAGTAGAATCCAAAACAATTCGTACTTTTTCGATCAGACTTCTCAATCAAAAGTTATAGACTAGAAACTAGGGGGAATGCAATACCGGGATTGCGGGATCCCGAAACACCGGGATCCCGCAGCATTTTTGCGAGATTAATCCCGCACATAAATGAAGCGGGAGCGAGATCCCACAAATACCGGGATTGAGATTTTGCTGCGGGATTGCATTCCCTAGTCGGCACTGTTAAAAGCGCCTTAAAAATAGGTAAACCACGTAAAATACCCTAAATAAATTCTCCCTGGGTATTTGACAATTCCCTTCAACCTTCCTAGATGTAAGAAAATACAAAACAAACCCTGGACATACATTTTTGACCCATTTTATGGGCGGGTATTGAAATGCTACCCTGCGCTTAAGAAAACCGCTATAGCAAGTGCAGTCCGGGGTTGCGGGGATGGCGGCATAGCTGAAACTGAACCTTAGGGTGTCTAGAACATCCTCTGAAAGTTTCATAAAGTTATCACAAAATGCAAGGTTGAAACCTATTTTGGCTCTTAACCCCTACACTATCATTCCTCTTTTTCTTTCAGCATTATTGTTCAATTTTCCCCTTGTTTGTTTGGTGGAATAAATTTTTGTCTTTGTCAATTAATTAACTGTGTAACTCGAACCCTAAGTGCGACCCAGACAGAGTTTTCATGTCAGGTCAGGTGTCTATTAAAATTCGTCTAGTCAATCCTTTAGAATTGTCCGGAGGCCACTGTGTCTTTCAATTTAATAAAATATAGTGAATGCCAGACGGCTTAGTGATCGTTTGCCATTGCACACGCAATATACAAAGTGTCGAGAATATCAAGAGGAATAAAAGTGCTTACCGACGACAGTCGCAGTAACCATTTTTCCAATGTAGAACGTCTCCGGACTTTCCTTAGTTAACATATCGAACATCTCCTCAGGATTCGGTGAGGAGAATGAAGTTCGCAAGTCTTTATACCTTGAATTTAATTCCGCTCTAATATCGTACAACGTAATGCTTTTATTGCCTAAAATCGTCACGTTTACGCACCAGTGAAAGTTCTACAGATCTTACCAAATCCTTGACGTTCGAGCTCCTCCGCGAACGCGTCCAGATCCAAGTCTTTCAGTCTCTCGGGCGCCTCGAGGATCTCCTCCAAGGCGCCTGCCGGATTGGCGCCCTCATCGTCGTCGTACTCCAAAGCGTCGACGGCCATCTTTCTCGCCCATTCGTACGTTTCGGGGTGAACTCGCGATCCGTCTAAAATTTCGACGTACGCCTCCGTGCTGTCGCCCAGGCTGTTGGTGTCGATCTTTACGAAACCGGAACAATTGATGAACACCTTCGGCCCCATGTGACATGCCGTGACGAGCTGCGTTCGATTTTCGAGCCTCTGATTTGTTTGTTTTAAGACGCGAAGAAGCGCCTGACCCTTCCGGGGGCCTAAACCGCAAATAAATTGCACTAAATTTGATGTGTGGGGATGTTGTACTGCGCGATTAATATCAACTCCTACTTCGTTCGTTCGATTCACAAACTCCAAGTATAAATTTTCTAAGAGGTCTTCCTTTGAAATTTGCTCTTGCAGAGGATGATAGCGTAAACTTAGCAGCTCCTCATCGGCCGTACACAGTTGGGAGTATTCTATGAGTGGGTCTTGCATTTTTCTCGCCAACGAAGCGGCTTGCCTCAACAGCTCGGGATAATCGCGAAAATCGCTCATTCCCTTGTTGCAATTGGCGTAGACCTTAGCCAATTCGTTATCGATAATCTCAACATTTATCGTTGGGAACTGCTCCGACTCGACCAATTCAGCAATCACGCCCTTTACGTCTTCGACGATCATCACAGCTTCCCGCGATTCTCCGCCTACGCACACAATGTGCGGCTTTTTCGTAAGTATAAAGTTACGAATTGCTTGAAGATCGGCTTCCTGAAAGTCCCTAGTTAGATTGTATTCAAATTCGATATAATGCGAACCTTTAACGTCTTTTCGTCCTCCCGATAGCTATTCTTTCGCTTGAGCAAATGCGGCAGGCGCAGATAGTCCGTAATGTCACCGTCAGGTGCGGCCATGCACGTGAAAGCAGACTGTGAGTAGTCCGGCACGTAAGCAATTGCCATAACGCGCATGCCTACATGGGTGAATCAAATTGACTTATAAGTACATCGCTAGATGGCGGCATTCGAATTTTAAGAACATGGAAACCCATACCTCTCGAAGTATCCCATTCGTCCTCCTCCTCGTCCGGAAACGCTACGTGGCAAGGTGCCATCTTAATCCAGTTATAGAGCTTCCGACAGCAAGCCTTGAGAATCGCCTCCTTCGCCTCGGTCAGCAAAGTTCTCTTAAGTTCGTTTCGGAGATCGGGCAGCACGCACCTGATTAAGGCGCGCTCCACGCATTCCATGCGCAGCGCGTTCCAATCCTGCACGTTTTTGCTGAACTCATCCTGCGGAGTAAACGAGTTTAATTTCCCTCGCGCGCGTCACGCCAACTCACCCTGATATATAATTGCTTCACTTCGTCGATGTACGAATTGCTCGTGTTCCCCTCGATCGTATCGTTAACGGTGATGATGAGCAAGTTCTCCTCCTCCGCCAATGAAAGTTTGAGGAACTGATCGCCCGACAGGTCGCGCACCGGTTTATTTTTCACGTATTTCATGCTGTAGCAGTTGTGAGTTTCGTCGATGACTTTGATTCCTTTTTTTGTGGGGCGAATCGTAATTTTCGCTCGTTCGAAGAACACCTCACGCACGCACTTTCGAACTAGGGGCTCTCGGGCGATTTGCAAGGCTACCATAAACCTAGCTGCTTGCAAAACATCGTCGACTGTGGGGAATTTCCTGAAATCAAAGGTACACAAATGGCTACAATCAATTCGGCTGCTATAAATTCGTTCTTTATTTCATATTTGTACCAAGAAAAAACGCATACAAGTAATTCATGTATTGAGTTTAGGGTTATACGACGTAGACAAAGGTAAAACCCAGCAGTCCCAGGTAGTGCTGTGCAAAAAAACGATTAATCGATATAATCTTATCGTTAATTATCGATGGAATATCCAAACCTATTATGTGAATTTATTGTAATGTTTTAATGATTGTCTTTTTTTGTTATGTGTGTGAAATATTGATTCTTTAGAAATTCCAGTGGAGCCTGTGATGCAACATTATATAAATTTACTTGACAACCATCAATTTAATTTTGTTTTTTTTTTCAGATATGAATTTAATTATTATTATTATTATTATCATAATATGCATTTATGCCATTACAGACAACTAATTTTGCTATAAAGTTTAATATTAATTTGTTGGTTGGTTTTTTCTTGGTCAGTTCTTTTTTCCACCAGCCTATTGTCATATTTGTGCTCGGTGAACTACCATTTTCTAAATTTAATCTTGCATTGCGAATTATTTGGATTAAATTAAAGCATGTACTTGTTTGTATTCCTTACTTGATCCTCACTCCGACAAGCAACACATATCTTGTAGCGACTCTTAAAAACACAACGTAGTAAGTGGCCCTATTATTTTATTATTCAGGTTAGGCAGCTTTGTGTAGACGATCACGTGCCATGGGGTTCAGTTAGTTTGGGAGGGAAAGTTTTGAATTTAAATCTTGAGTTGCGCAGTCTTTCTGAGCTGGCCTTGGTACAGCACAGTATTGGCGACTAAATTTTGGTCTCTGGCCAGTCCCAGTCGCCCGATGATTTTAGAATGTTGGGGGACTGATGGGTAATGGGTTCATTGGAACTGTTTACACAAGGAGACTTTTTCATTAGCCCGCCATTGTATCACTAAAATAGTACATCACTGCGAAAGAGAAGTTTATAATGCCCAAAGTCTGCGGAGTGTATTTGACATAAATTCTGACCGCTTTTAGACGGGGAAATACTGTATCCGAGATACAATCTGTCTGTCAGAATTCGTGTTCAATACACCTCACAGACTTTGGGCTTTCCTGACTGCTTTTGTGCAAGGAGGTAAGTACTTTGTCGGTGCTAATGAAAAAGTATCCTCGTATAAACAGTCCATAGGATCCGATCAGTCCCCCCAAAGTCACAAAATCACTGGGACTAGCGAGAAACCGAAATTTAGTGGCCAATACTGTATGCGAGAATTATGCGTGTGTGAACCGCTCCATCAGACGCAATGTTATAGGTGTATCCGAGATGCCGGTCTGCGGGCGACTGTATCCCCGTGTAAAAGCGGTCTTAAACTGGAAATGTGGATTATGTACCCACTTATAAACATTATATTATAAATATTACAGCTCAATTTTAACTACTACTTATACAGTACGCGTCAAAAGTTCGCCCTCTTCCCCCCTACTAATTTTTGAACCACTTAGCATATGGCAACGAAAATGGCCACAGAGACATGCCGACGGCGAAACGTCTCATACTGTAAGATTCATTGTCATGAAACGTAATTTTCTGGTTCCCTAAGTGAAGGACTAATACAGTGTGCATTTCGATAACCCAAAAAAATAAATATGTCAAGCAGAATAAAACAAAAGAAATGGAGAAAATTATGTTGGAAACAATGGAACCAATCCCTATATACTGGCCCCCTTTGAACGTGGATTAAACCAAATTACAGTCAGTGCCATAACGAGATTGTGCACTTGCACACGACGTAATTTTATTGGAGGAACAAAGATTTCGGACATTTAAAATACTGAATAATTGAAATTATAGCCATTCATAAAAGCATATAGCAGAGTTCATTTTATTAATTTTTTTTCTGGGAAATTTCATCGGCATTTATTGTTTATTTATTTCAAATATGCATAAGCATGCGTACAGGGTGCTTCAAATTCGTGGCGCACCATTGGGATCTACATAACAAAGAAATTCACTTGAATGCATCACCATCATAGCCATGTTGATTCAGCAAGATCTCATTCCGTAAAAATCCAATATGGCGTCTATAAGAAATAAGCTTGTAGCTTTTACCTCGTACGTCTTATGGAAATTCTGAGAACAGATTCAGATTCTCCAAAAAAAAAACCAATACAAGATGCTAAGGGAGACCGTCCAAATGCGACCTAATCCTCGGGAAAATAGAACACGAAATTTGACGTTTTTAGTTTTTTGGTGATATCTGTTATTTTCAAGATTTTTAAAAAACCTCAAATGCGTTTTTTAGTCACAAAAAGGGGTAACTTTGCTCCCATTTAAGCTACAGCGTATCTCTCACCATTCCCAATCCCAATGGTGAACCATAAATTTGAACCACCTTGTACCTTTTAAAAATGAATTAGTGAGACAGGGAGAAATTTACGTAAATGAAGATGATTAGAATCCAAATCAATTCGTACTTTTTCGATCGGACTTCTCAATCAAAAGTTATACACTAGAAACCAATTTCGAAAAAAAATTCAAAGGGCTGTAACTTTTGAACTAGTAGCCCAATCTTGGAACTGTTTGAAATTATGGATTCTACAGGTCACATTCTAAAAGAACAAGTTTTTCCGGGTCGATCTGAGACAATTTTTTTTTCGGGGCTCAAAAAAAGGCAGTTGAAATTATGGATTCTACAGGACACATTCTATAAGAAAATCTCAACAAAAAATGACTAATTGCAGCTAAACAACTCATTTTAGATATCATGTGTAATACATAAAGTTACACTAAAATTGAGCAAGGAATCGAAATGTGTAATAATATACAGGAAGTTCTATTTAAAAAATGCAACTTTGATATAATCACCCTGTATAACAATTACAATTTCGTTGAAAATATTTTTAGGTTGTACTCTTAAGGGTCCTTCAACATTCCTGGACAATAAATTTTAAATGTGGGCGTTAATAAACCCACAATATTCCACCCACACACTAATGGCCCACCCTGTATATCCATCGATGTCAAAACTTTACGAGTGAACATGTCAAAATCGGTTTGTCGGCGGAAAGTACTCTCAAAGGCAAATTGAGTCGACTGGATGAGACATACCTATTGGTAAAGTCAAAGCAAATACCTTAACAACGAAGTGTTGGAAGAGGGTACTCATAAAAGGCAAGTGGAACATCGAGACAAGACAGATCTATTGGTGACCACAAAGCATTCAGTGCAAATATCTGCAGAATGGAGTGTCGGAGGCTTTTGAATGTATGCCAGGCGACCTTGAAATGTTTATGTGTCTCCTATGCATTAATCATTTACCTCGATAGCATGTCTGTCTGTCCGTGTGGGCGATAACTTTGTTTAGAAGCGTCTGACTGCCAAGCATCTACCTGGTTCCACTAACAGATCACGCAGGACACAATTCTCCACACACACAAATATTTTTCACAAGAGCCGTAATGGTACCAATTACAAAACTGATTTATGTATAATATCCTATCCCTTATCAACTAGACACTTACGGAGAAATGTATTGCTTGGCAAGTTCTTGTACATCAATCAGCTCTTGATCAACCTCGTGTCGCTGATAATTGTCACGCAAATTCTCGGCAAAGTTCTCAGGTGAAAGACCAAAACGCTTGGCCAACCCATCTGCAAGGAAATTGTTTATACATTGCCTAGAAGTACGATTGATACGAACTGATTCCGGCTTTCGTGCATAAGGTGTACGAGCCAGACCGATTGGCATACTTCAATGTTTCCGGCTCGGGCTCGTCGTCGTCCTCTTCGATGTCGAGTTCGTCGGGAATATCTCCGACATCCTCGCTTTCGGCTATCCTCCTCAGCCTCTCCGCGCGCTTCTCCTGTCTCTTGCGCTCTTTTTCCTTGGCGCGCCACGCCGCGTGCATCGCGGGAAGATCGTGCGCGTAGTACAGAACAAAGTGATTGTGAACGTCCTGCAGCTCCTCGGCCGTTTGCACGTTTTTCAGCCGCTCTATGTCGCTATCTTTCATGACGCGCACATTGTCCGGAATCGGCGCATCCGGATCTTTCATTAGCTCGTCCAGTTGGTACGAGCGCATTTTTTCGAATAGCGAAATCAGGTTTTCCTTGCGCTGTTTCAGTTGGCACCATTTAGCGTCGAATTTGTACACCTTCCACAGGTCGTTTATGTTGAGCTCCGGTTGTACGTACTCCTTACGATAGAAGGCAATAAACGGTACCTCCAACTGTTGATTGCGAATGAAGTCTAACGCTTTACGGATTTTTCCAACAGTTTGTGGTCCTTTTCGTTGACGCTCTCTTGCCTCAAGTGATAAGTGGGCATCTTGCATTGATACCGTTGGTTTACAGAAGGCCTAACAGTAAAAATTGTTATCGGGAGAACTGCTTGTAAAGAGTACACTATCAATGTAGAGCGGCTAATTGACTATTATTACTTTTAGTACAGAGAATAGAACGCAATCTACCCATACCTACTGTATTCATTATAAGAAGGTAGTAGATGGCGCTGTGTTTAAAGATAGACACACACAGGATAAATATAAAACCGCACCAGATTTGAAAAATATGAATATAAACCAAAAGATTTCACATTTGGATCATTGAAATTGACATCTAATATCAGTTCGACAGTTTAGTTCGTAACCGAAACTGCTAACATAACAAAATTGGTCACACATTTTATTTGTCGGTGTAATACAGACTTGTGGTTTAACCAATCACAGTGAAGGTCAAAGCTTCCCTACGATTTCTACCGCCACCTTCTTAAAATGAATAGAGTATAGAAACTCCCAGCAAAGTACTGCAGTGTGCTTCTATTCAATTTGCCGCTCTATATTGCTAATGTACCTTATGAGAAATTGGTCTTTGCCAAGTTCCAACGAGTTGGGAATGCCTTACTTGTTTATAAATCCACTCTGCTTCCTCCGTCAGTTCGTTAGAATCTTCCGAAACGGACGTGACAGGAACCTCTCTCAGTTGCATACGCTCGGGAATATCCGTGTTACGTATTTCATTATCCAAATCGGTAAAGAACCCCCGTTTTAGCTCACTAGGCTCGTACACTTCGAATATAGATTTACGTGTCGGTTTCTTTCTGGCGGTCTTCTTCGGCTGTCGCCTAATTTAAATCGAGTTGTGCATATCGCGATCTTCAATTATTAACCTACCTCCGTTCGCCTTCTTCGTCATCGTCGACGTAATCGTCCTCCTCGTCCTCTTCTTCTTCCTCATAATCGTCCTGTTCGTACTTTGAAAACTCGTCATAATCGAAATCGACCCCGAAAGTCTCCTGGGCCTCTTGAAGTGCGCTATCGAAAAGCCTTACAAAACCAATCTGAGCAATCACTAACTTACGCATCGGTAAATATGGGTTTCCGTTTCTTTCTCTTGTCGGCAAGGGGACGCCCGTCGTCGTCCACAATAAAGTCATCCGCGTCAGAATACTCCCCTTCATCTTCTTCTTCGACAAACTGCTCGGGCTCAACGACCGGTCTCTGACTTCGCTCCGACCGATGATCGTCGTCCTTCAAATTGTCACGTTACTAAACGTTTAACAGAAAGCACACTCACGTCATCCGAAAAAATCTCCATAGCAATAGTGTCACGGTCCCTCCCCTCGTCGGCGGCCTCCTCGCCGTCGCTCTCCTCGTCGACAATCCGCCGTAACCTCTTAAATTTCTACAACGCGAAATCTAACCCCTCCTCCGCACCGAGTCAACTACGTACCCGTCTTTCGACTTTAACACCCAAATTCTCCTCGAGCAAATCGTAATCCTCATCCTCCAAGCGATCGTCGAACTCCTCGTCGTCGGACTTTTTCCGTTTCGCCCCTCCCGATCCGTCCGAATCCTCGCCATCCGTTTCGATGGGGTTGTCATCGATTAGGTCCTTCAACTCCTCGCGCAGTTTCTCCTCGTCATCTAAAAGTAAACGATTAAAATCGTACCGGGGCAATCGACACCTTACCCTCTTCCTCTTCGGAACTGTCCTCGACGGTGGCCTTCGCCTGTTTCGCCTTTTTCCTTTCGTGGGGCTCTAATTCTTCCTCCTCCTGCAAAGTTTCGAGTGAGGTATGCCAGGGACCTGCATGTGTGTGGGAATTGTGACACTTTACTTACCTCGCTCTCTTCGGCCTCCGAGTCAATAAAGTCTGCCATTTTCTACTTTAAACTTAAGCTACAGGAAGAAAGGAATATATAAATGTTTTGATACAAAATATTATGACTATTTATTTAATAAGACGCCATCAGTGATTACGAATCCATTTTGAAAATGGAAGGATGATCGGTAACGGGATTGGCTAGAGTGAGGCATGCGTAGAGTGTTTACGTTTCCATTTCGCAAACGTTCCCATTACTTAAAAAAATTGTTCTGGCTTAGTACAAAATAGAAAATTCCAAATTTCTCTCAATTAGGTACAAATTTGAGCTACCTTACTTTCATACCCCTTTCCAGAGCAATTTTGCCTTTTGCAAAGATCTATAGTCCATTATCGAATTTCTAGAAGGGCTATGGGAAGTAAAACGAACTACCTATACTATAGAAAGTTATGAAAAGCACTTTAAAGGCAAGAAAATCGTTTGAAGCTTTCTAAGACAATCTGATACTCTCCATAGCCTTTATTAAGAGTTTCAGATTGTCTTAGGAAGTTTTCCACTGCTTCAAACAATTTTCTTCAGCCCTACCTGAAAGATATGTAAAAGGTGTTTGAGATCCTCCTGCTAACGGTTTCCAAAGTTATTGTACTAGCGCGTCAATCAACCCCGTTTCCCAATAGAAAAGAGTTAAAGGCAGTCTCTCGAACAGGGAACAGTGGCTAAACTCAAATTGCCCTTTCCTCAAATCTGAGGGACTCGTGTGGTTTACAGACGGGTCCCTAACGGAAAAGAACGGACATGGGTATTGGACATATATGGCGATCGATCGAGAGCTGACGTCAGCTTCTCCCTTGGTCAGCATAGCATCGTGTTTCAGGTAGAGATGTTAGCCATCATGACCCGTGCACAAGATGAGAACCTCCGTAGAGTCAGCTGACGCTAAGGTCCCTGTCAGCAGAAGCAGAGACAGTGCTATTGAATATGAGCCGGATTAAAAGTTGTGTGGAAAACATTTTTCTAAAATTTAAGTAGTGCAGTGCTTTTAAAATTTCGTGTAAGTTTCTCTCAAAAATGTGCAGTGTTTTATTAATTAGAGCTCAATGGTAAGTGATAAGGCGCGCAAATATGGTAGGGCGCCAAAACCAGATCCGGCACCGCTTCGAAAAATACCTAGTTACGTCACTGTTAATACTTCATAAGGCCCGTCAAGTTATATTAAAATTTCGAATTAATTAATTATGATTATGTTACATCGCAGCATCTAGTGGACGCGTAATCCGAAGCTTCCAAGACGTTTGAAAGCCTCTTTCACAGATATCCCCAGGTATTTTCCAGAATTTTCGTCGCGATATATCATATATACCGGGTGGGGCAATAAAACGACACGTGTTTCGAGATTCAGCAACATTTTTAAACCACATATTGCAACAAATACACCAAAAAATTTCTTTAAACATACTTTTTATTTGGATTTTCAACTTTGGCCGGTGGCGCATATGAAAAATGTTATTTTGGCCCCTTGGAAAAAAAGGTTGCCCATGCCCGAGGCTTCTTGAGCGCTTTCCGGGAAATAAACCATAAACGAATATCGAAATGTCTAAAATCATCTCAAAAATTTCGGATACGACCTATATAGCACACTTTTGGAACACCCAAAATGAATCCAGTGGGTTTTGGAAACTTTCTGAATGCAGTGAAAAGCATATACCTAAGTGTAACGTAACCGATGTGATTTTTTAGCGCTACCATGTTTGTTATGGCTGGCTGAGATCTCAGCAACTACAATAGCTATTAGAGACTTCAAATTTTCACTCAAAGCTTTCTGCTATAGTGTAGATGTGCAGGCTCTAGTTTATTTGAATTAGATTACTTGTGAGATTTTTACCGTTAGATAGCGCTACCAGTATAAAAACTTAATTATTTACTTTGGGATTTGTTTTACAAAATAAAGACGTACCCTCAATTGAAATTAAATAAAATTAATTATTTAACGCAGCCAAAATTACTCGTGAGATCGATAATTTTAAAGTTCGCTAATAAAATACTGACCTGTATTACCAAAAATGCGCTTTAATCATGCATATCCTGATTTACAACAAATTTTATTTTTTTATTTTTAAAATTATTATTTTCTTTATTTTTTTTATTAAAATTTTTTTTTTAGCATCCTTTATAAAATTTAGGACTCGACAAAACTTGACTTGATGTACAAGCAAACACTAATCGTTACTTGATTTTAATCCGTGCGATTAGTTAACCAGACTAGACCTGACAAGAAGGACTGACTATAATAATAATTAACTTACAAATTATTGCCCCCATAATTTATTGTAATAGTTATTGTGACGTGTGGAAATATTTATTGGATGAACACCACCAATAAATATTAATGTGGAATAATAATAATAAACATAAGCAGTAGGACTATCATTTGATGTGAAATTGGTGTTTTTAACTTGCCGATAAGAAATTTGTTTGTTTCAGACACACGGAAGACAAGCACGATAAAATTTACATACATTTCCGATGGACTTTTATCGTCTTCTCCAGATAATATTTGACGTCAATCATAAACTCTACACTTGATAACGTTATGAAATAAATTGAACTATGACATTGATCTTAGGTCATTGTCGTCATAGCACATTCAAAAAAGATTGTATACTCGAGCGAGGCCAACAAACTTGAGTAATCTTATCGATAGACAAAAACAATGTGTAATATGTGTATATTAATAATATAAACTTAATTTTTACATGCCATAAAAATGCATAAATAAAAGATCACAGTATTTCTAGAAGAAACAACTCTTATCTCTAACAATCTGTATAAAACATATTGCTGTTTGTATTGGCAAACGTCAACTTTTGAGGTATTAGTAAAAATCGAAACAAAAAAGTGCGCCACGCATCACTACCGGACGCATCTAGCTACATTTATAGATAGGTCGAAATGAAATTGATAATTTATATACAGGTGGTGAGAGCGTTCAAACCAGACATAGATTCTAGATGGGCAGGAACGGTCAAAAGTGCTTCTTCGGTAGTACGATTTATCAGACAATTACTCGGCTTCGCCCTATTGGTGTCGACGCAGTCAATGGGCATTTTCACAGTCTCCATTGTGTACTTGTACCCCTTCAGCGATACCTTAATAATGGTGTGTAGCGGAACGTGAACGTAGGGAATTTCTTCGGCGGGTATTTCGAGGTAGTAGCCCAGAACGCAGCGCAGCACCGCCTGATGAGATATTGTCAGGACGTTGTTTTCGGATTCTAACTGAGTTAAGATAGGCACTAGACGTTGCATCACGTCCACGTAGGATTCTCCCTGAGGATAACGATACTTTAATTTATCACGATCGCGTAGAGCGAGCTCACGCGGGAATCTTTCTTGCAGCTCCTCGTACGTTAAACTTTCGCAATCGCCCTGTAATGTAATCAAAAGATCAGTATGCAATTAGGGAGTGTTTAAAATGGAATTAAGCACTATTGATTGACGCCACAAAAGAGACCACCCTGTATATTTTGCCGCATTTTTAAATGTTTATCTGCTTACGTTTCCATGGACTTTGAGCATACTATGAAAAACTAAAATTTTTTAGGCAAGCTTCATTTTTGCTTGCCGCGAAATACCATCCACAAGAATTTCCAATATGATCAATATATGACGCCTATATTCATTATAAATGTTACATCACAGCTTTTGACTTACACCCTGTATATCACAAAATATTTGAAAAGATTTGGAGATATGTTAAATTCAAATCCGGCTCAATATAAAAAATATTTCTATATTCCAGACGATTCACTCACTATTCACGAATTTTCTAGATCAAAATAAACGAAAAAAGATTTAAGGGTTAAGGTTCAAAGCTCACAATGAATTAAGAATCTTCAGAAGAATAGTGAGCTTCCAAAATATGAGTGAGCCCGATTATAACAACATTTTTGTATAATATCGAAAAGACTCTTTCGAAATTTATTACATACAACAGCATAATTTTTGAGAACACCCTGTATACTATTATATCATATCATATTTTTTGTTATTTTTTTTTATTATACAGTGTCGTAAATTAATTATGATAACATTCCATGGATATTCCGATGCGATATTTTAAAAAAAAATTTGTTTCGTAGATAATTGGAAAAATGTGAAGATCGCCATTTTTTTAAAAAGTTCACATATTAAAGTAACAAAGAGAGCTATCGAAAAAAGTTTCAAATAAAAGTTACAAGATTCGATGGGATAAATCGATGGACGTAGAAAACATTTTTTTAAAATGGCAGTTTTTAGGATATTGACATCAACTTCCTTATATTAAATGGACGCCAGTTTGAATTTTTACTCAGTTTGATATAGTTTTTTTTCTCTTTCCAACCATATATCACAAGTTATCATTCAAATAATAAACATGGATAAAATTACAATTTTCATTTTTTTTTCATAGGTGGCTATGGAAACAGCAAGCAATTAACATTTTGCAATGTTACAATTGTCTGGCGGGTAATTAACATAACAAAAATATAATAACAGAGCACGTTCGGCACCTACTGCAGCAGTTATACTTTGCGGAGTGTATTCCTGTTAAACAAATGACAATTAGCCCTCTATGCTAGTTTTGTTTCCATGGCCAACTATAAAGAAAAAATGAAAATTGGAATTATACCCATGTTTATTATTTGAATGAAACTTGTGATACATGGTTGGAAAAAAAAACTGTATCAAACTGAGTAAAAATTGCCATAAGAAATACATTGTAAACTTTAGGCAAAAATGCAAGGTTGATTCGCAAATGAAATACTGAGTGTTTAGTATCACTGGTTTTGTAATTTTTTTGTCTATAGAGTGACGTAAAAATCCAATATGGCGTCCATTTAAAATAAGAAAGTTGATGTCAATATCTCGAAAACCGCCATTTGGAAAATTTGTTTCTACGTCCATTTAATTTAACCGATTGAATCTTGTAACTTTTACCAATAGCTCTCTTTGTTATTAAAATATTTGAACTTTTTAAACAACTTTTTTTTCAAAATATTGCATCGAAATATCCATCGGCATAAAACAATACCCAACCTTGCCAATTTAAGCAAATCTGTAAGTATAACAATAACAAAGATAGCCATGTTATCCTACTCAATTTAAGACACCCTGCATAGGGCGGTTATATCGTTTCATCAGATAAAACCGTGCCAAGGTTTTTGTAACTTGTTGCCATTAGAAGAGCGATGGCACGAGCAAGATACTTACAGAAAAGACTTCGTCTAGCTCGGACAGGTGTTGTTGAGGAGCATGAATGTTGGCAGCAGTTGCCTTTGTACGTTTAAGCGTCGAGGTCCAAACTTGTAAGGCGGGTAAGTTTAAGGTGCGGAGGTGATTTGCCAAAGCGTGCGCGTACACTCGACCGCGCGGCGACAGCGGAGCGTCACCGCCGATCCGGCCGATGACGTTGAACTCGCTCTCTCCATGCCGACTGAAGTAGATGTTCTGCTGGCTCAGTTTCGGAACCGAGATGTACGCCAAAATTTTGCTCTCCTTCACGCCGGTGATGCCGTGCGCGACGATTCCGCCGAACCCGCCGTCGAGCACCTTAACCATCGGGCAAGGCAGCTCCCAGTGGCTGCCGAGACTCGGCGACTCATACTGAGCCTTGTAGTGCGCCATTTTGTACGTCAAATCTGTGAGCGCCTGCTCGGTCGCCATGCTCGAGTAGTCGGCGCTGTACTGCAGGATGTCCTTGAAGTTGCGCTCGAGGATCGCCGGATCTTCGCAGACGCACTCGATGAACATTATCCTAAACCCTTTCTGTCCATAGATGAGATCATAGATTTCCTGGCGCTGATGGCGCGAGACGTTCGGGCCGTCCAAAATCGCGACGTGATGGCCGGGCTCGCTCAGCCAGGCGACCGCGTCCTCCAAGGCTTCGTGGAAACTTTTCTGGCGCAAGCGCCACGCCGGCAGGTTATCGGCCCGGAACATCTCGTGCGACCCGTACTTCTCCATATGCTTGCGCCGGTAATCGCTTATGTCTAATACTAAATTCGAGGTAATTAGTAATTTTGTTTCGCGCTACCGTCGGTATAGTCACCTTTTGTTGTGTCCCCGGTATAGTTGAGGTAGCGAGATAGCCGCCTTGCCAGTAGACTCTTTCCGCGCCCCGGAAGTCCAACCATAGCAACCAGTAATGGAGAGAATTGCCTCAGGGGTGTTCGCTTTGAGGCTTGGGGTTGACCTAAGGGGAAGAGTTCCGGATTAGTTGCCATGTGGATGGGTGAATTTATTGTTCGAACGCACGTTTAGACATGACTAACAAAAGATCTTTTTTAAAATGTGAAGTTTCTCACATCTCTGACGCTCTTGGACGCCTTCCAAAGCGCCTTTGTACCATGGGAGAGGAGTTATTGTACCATTTATTTAAATTTTCGACATTGCGACTGCAAATTGCGTAATTAAAGCGGAAATAGCTTTATGGCCGCTATTTATTTTATTGGTCGTTTGAGATAACGTGGACCAATTATCAATTAATATTACACCGAGGAGTATTTATTAAATGTATGGATGTGACCTGTTAAAGCATTTGGACTTTGAGCGTTCCTTTGGGAACCATTTAAAAATACATCTCGTTCTAGAAATTTGGCAGGACGCAGTCTCCCAAAATATATTTCACCTTTGCGTGCATGCATTTAGCCACGGCATGTTCGCGAAATGAATGAGTTGCGATTTTAAATTTAGCGCGCTGTTCGGAGTGAGCTTACCTTTGTTTTCTTCCCTGTCATTTGAAAAGCGAGGTACGGACGCCATTTTGCAAGGTTGATTGGTAATTGTAGGAGGTGAAACTAGTTGAAATGATAAAAGCTCCGAATTTTCTTGTGGTGTTTTTGGCCCTTCCTGCGATCTTGGTAAACAGTCCAAACACACGCTTTACGTTTTTTTCCGTTTAAAGTAACAAAAAGGAAATTAAAAAAAGTAAAAGTAGGTAATTGTTACAACATAAAATACTAAATGAAAACGTAATCTTCTGAAAAGTGATCTGAGGAAGTGTATATTATGAACTTCTTCAGGATATGTCGCATTCCCAGCCTATATCTAAATTCCGTCGCCAGATTTACAACCAAGTAAAACTAACACACGTGAAATAGTTGAACGCGACGGTAATTAAGCACTAATCACTAATTAATCGTGCACTTTATCGAGAACTACAGTGCTCACTGGAAGACTCGCTATAGTATGTTGAAATTACGAAGCTCTCCTCAAATATATAGATCGATGTGGTTGGCGCAAGGGAAAAGTGGAAGGTGCGCTCACTGGACTGTTTGGTCAAACGTCATCATTCAATGATAATGTGTTACGAAGATTACCAAACACTCCTATTAGCAAATTGCACGAATGGAAAAAGCAAGGTCGCACACCTTGCTCTCTTCCGGCGCATCAGTTTTCATTTCACAAAAGCTCCACGTGCAAAAATTTTAAATAGAACCACCTCAATATCCACGTTTATTGAAATAGGTACGACGACATCGCCTCAAAAACAACCATACTCCAAAGTTCACGCTTTGTTTACATTTTGTGGATAAATGTAGTTTACGGATGGTCATGTTTTTTGTTTACTACACCATTCGCGTATTTTTACACTTTTATATATCGGGACGATCTGATAGAAATTTTAAAAAAAAATTCGCGCGCGTCAGTGCTAAAGTTTCTTGCAAATTGATTGTTAGGGTGCAAAGGTTGTAAGTGACCCACTGACATCGATTTAAATTCCTGAAGAGTGGATTTGGACGAAACGTGAAGACGTACCTGATTGTAAAGTATTCAAGGTTGTTGTGAAGTAGGTATATCGATAAATGCGATAACAACAATTGATTAGCGATGCGTGGGTCAAACGGAAAATTTGTTGTACAAACGTCTATTGTTTTCAAAACAAATTGGCAGCGTTTGTGTTTCCTTATTTATAGATGGACGAATCAAAGAATAAATTCGATGAAATCGTGATGTAATTTTGTTGATCTGGCGTCCGTACGTGGGGCACATAGTCATTTGACCTCCCCCCCGCCACTCCAATGTACGCACACCATAATCTTGTTTTTTTTCGAACGGTAATAAATCTTTTTTCTTTATTCGGTTTAAAGTGTTTAAACATTTTAGAAGCGCTAGTTTACCTATACTCTCTCTACAGTACCCCTATACATCCATGGAGAAACGAAGTGCGGGCAATAAGCCTGTATGAGCAGCAATAAGCACCCCATACAACAGAAGTACCTATGTACTAAATAGGCATCCTAAAAACATTCCCAGCAAGACATTCGGAAGTCCTCAGAATGTCAATTACCGGTCCTGGGACGTCTTTGAGAAATACCAGAGATGTCAAATGTTACTAAACCAAAAGTCTGGGGGATGGTTCCCCATACCTCTTCGGGATGGTTCCAACTACTATACATTCCAATATGCTTTACGTGGTGTTTTTAGATTAATAATAATTATTATTCATAATACCACTGTATTTATCAAATATACAAGCAGATATTACTAGTACCACTAGTACTAATACACTAGTAATTACACTAGACATTTTCTCCTGAGGAGGTTTTGTGCTATCTGATGGGACGTCCCTGAAGTGGGCGGGACAAGTATGAGCTCAAAAATTGTTCAGTGTTCTATTATTCTGAGCTTTTCAACGGTACCATTTTCAATTTTTGAGCTCTCATGGTATTTTCTTCCCTAATTATTTTACAGCAAAGTTGTAAATACATTTTTTTTGTAGATTGCAAAATTCTGCTTCTATTCATTTGTAATTTTTTGTTGTGGGAAATCTGAGAAATTAAGGAAAGTATAAATTATCATTTAGCAGTGGCGGTCCCGGGGGGGGGGCATTGTCCATTTTTTCATCAATTTTGTGTCGATCTCATTTCCATTATGCGAGATTTCTTTTATTTTTTTCCGTGTTGAGACAAAGTTCGGGTTTGGGCCCCTCCCTTTACCAAATCCTGGGACCGCCACTGGCATTTAGTAAAAATCACTCATGCCATGAAATGATTGAAACAAAAATTAGTTTATCCAAAATTGTCCTGAAACCTTAATTTTCATGCCTACTTTCTGTCAGGAAATTTTAGTTTCCATGACAAGGGCAGAACAAACTGCGTTTCCTGCCGCGTGTCGCTTTAATGGCCGCACCTGTCACTTTACCGGCCGCATTTTTGACATTGCTACAATTACTCCTGTCATCACTGACAGATTGACGTTAATCAAAAGTTCCATATGAAAATTGAAATTTTATAATAAAATACGATTTCGGGTAAAATTTAATACAAAACTCGTCAGTAAAATGACATTACCTGACTCGGAAATTAAAGTACTCGGACCCGAAGGAAACGCTGCTAGGAGGAAATGATTCCAAAGAAAACAGAAGCTTCAAGGAAAGAATTGGAAAGTTGGTTTATAGGTAGGTACGACAAATACGTTGGAAAATAAGCATCTACCATAAATCGCATAATTTAGAGGTACGATATAGCGCTCGTTACCTACACCCGTGCGTAATGAAAAAAAATTAGAATATATCATGCACCTTTGGAAGTAATAATTATCTACAAATGGTAGTAGAAAAAGTATGGTACCTACGTAATTCGGTTGTAATTTGCGTATTACACGTTCGTAGAATTGCCGCAATCTGCTGCCTAGAGACAATTTGTCTACTCGCGCGTAATATGTACTATTACAACCTTATGACGTAATATTCTATTTTATATTCACTGGACTAATTACTTGTGGGCAATCGAAGGAGAAGGAGAATGTGAGACGATGTAGGAAGAACGCCGATGATTAGATTCTTAGGCGATACAGTCTTTTTGGCTTTTGGACATATTAATTTTGTAATGGATTTATTAATTTTGTTAGTTTGTGAACTCCATTGCCAATAAATGCATATTATTATTATTATTAAAATAAACAAATAAAAAGGTTTCGCCATAAGGCGCGAGTACCTTCAGCGCATTTTACATACATTGATCAGTAACGGATGATCAAAAATGAGTTGCTGTCGAGTCGCCTTTGGAAGCATGTAAACAAAAATTCCAAAGGTGACTCGAGAGCAACTCATTTTTGACAGCATAGTGCTTCCGAAAAGACCATATATGCTATGTGCGCTGTTTTTCTTAACTAGAGCCATCTATGATTAAACTTTCATATCTTCATAAAGAAAAAATTTGGCACTGCGCAGAACGCGCACATCCAATGTTCACAATATCCCTCAAAAGGTCAAAACCGACACTTTAAAGACGCCTAGTTACACATTAACAATATTAATTTTCTTTACTAAAATATTTTGCATAGATATACACTGTGTCCAAGATAAGGATGTTCATCATGGGGATCTCCGAAGCCATAGCACATACGACGATGGTCAAATTAGAGAAAAGATGCGCAATTAAAGAGTTATTACTTCTGAAGATATGCCAGAAAAATCAAAATTTGCTGATTTGGTTTTTATTTTTGAACAGATACAAAAAATAAAAATGCATACGATGCATTTTGAGCTCTATAACACACCGTTGAGAGATTTTTAATACAACGTTTCGTTTCGGAGACATCATCATCATATATTATATGGCACGTAAAAAAGTACTCATTGTATCACAGATTTTAGTATATTTAAATCTGTGATTGTATTGAGTAGCATATTACTAATACCGATATACCACACACAAAAAAACAAAATTTAGAAACTGTCGATTTCAACAGAATGGTGCATCAACGCACAACGCCATTATCGTGCGGGAATACCTATCGGAAAAATTTTTCATTTTCCAGGAAATTGCAACAGATCATTTTCTGGGTTTCTCAACGGTTTAGTCCTGCCTAACTATAGCCACGATCCTAATCCCGCCATCTTGGATATTGAGCCATGCTAGTTTCTTATGTGGGTTTAATCCGAAAGATAGGCGCCCCATACTCTAGCCTTAGAGAGATCTACCTTCTAACGGGCGATCAATAACGAGTGGCGGTCGAGTCGCATTTGGAAGTTAAAGTTAAGTACGATTTCCCATGTAAAGAAAAATTCCAAAGGTGACTCGACAGCAACTCATTTTTGATCGCATAGTATTACTCGCACTACGTGCATAATTACCTAGCGCCGAATCTTCCTATACGCGACCTATCCCATTGTGGACTGCTTGATTAAGACAAGCAAGGGTAGTGGTTCCGGCCGAGGGGGGAGTAAAGGTCCATTTTTTTCGTAATCTACATAACATTCTCCGCGTAAAAGGTTCTACACACTGTTCCACTGGGATTAATATTTAAAAAAATATTTACGGGGTGGTTTTGCCAGTAGAGAACAGCGCAGTTCCCGATCTCAACCAAAGTACCAACGTGATGCAAATGAGAACCGTCCGCCACTGGGTGATCACTGGGGGACCGGGGGGAGGGGCGGCGGTGGGTGTAGAAATTAATTGTAAAGGAACTGTTTTCTACCAACTACCGCCCTTCTTTCTGACCCCCTATTAAAAGAGGTAGTTGGGCATTAACTACCCGCGGAAAATCTGGGGGGGGGGGGGGGGGGCTGGTTTTATCCTTCATGGTACTCTACTGAAAGGTCTCAACGAAAGGAATTAATTTCTACCTACCATTACTCCTCCTCGGCCCCTTATCGTGATCGCATTACGTATATAATTCGTTATCTCAAGAACAGCTTATCGAAGGAGGGTACTCACATTGGGCGATTGGGACGTCGGCAATATCTCCGTTACTAGCATGTGGGTGGTGAAAAGCATGACCTGCCGTAACTCATTCTCGAGTAAGAGGGTTTAGGAGGCGTTACAAATCAATGTGGTGATTGTCTTAGATGCCTCTGAGAGAAAAGACCAAACCAAAAAAGACCTTTCGCCGCTCCACGCGTTGCGGCAAAATGTACCTATAAAATGCGAAATCTTTTCCTATACAAAATTGAAATGCGTCTTCCAAAGTTCAACGTGACTTATTTACATTTCGGACTAATTTGCAGATAAGCCCCATTACTTATACGACTTTGTGTTTACTTCACTTTAATCGCAATTTTATATTTACACAATTGTTTACACGTAAACTAGACGATTTGGTCAGTTTGAAAAAATTTCCATGCGTCAGTTAATGGACAAAGTTTATCGTGTCTATACATTGCAAACTGATTTTTAAGATGCATAGGTTGCAGTAGTTGACGTGGGTCCCTTTTTTTATACTCCGGCAACGCTAAGAGGATAGTGCTATCATTAGTAGGTACTAAAATTGGAGAGAAAGTGAAGGTTACAAAATAGGATAACACATATAGCGATTATTAAAGAGAAGGGTAGCCAAAAAAACTGCGTGGAAAAATTCTAATAATTGCACAGCCAAATTTACCAAATTGTTACCAAGAGATATAATATTGTATGCACGCTCCATTGGCAACGTTTTTATTTATAGATTGTTTGAGCAATGAATAAAACGGTGTTACCTACATACGTCGAATTGCGCATTTATCTTGCCTTTATTAAATTTTTTCTCTACGCTTATTTGTGTAATTTGGCCCCCAACAGAGACCAAAAAGAAGAAGTAATCGATAGGTACCGGAAACGGCTGTAACAAATAGTACATATCTATATCTGACAATTAGATATTTTCATGCTATCTTGCCTGTTTATATTTCTATCGAAATGTTGTTATCATACAGTTAATCACATATAATTAAAAATCGATTAACGAATCACGCTTGTTTTTCAATAATACCACTAGGTAGATATTAAAGAAATGAATTTGTTGTTGTTTTGTTATTGCAAAATGGATTGGAAGAAACCTTGAATAAGGCTTGAGGGTTCTATTACAAGAACAAATACTACCCGACACGCGCGGAAAATTTCGTAAAGCAACTTTTATTTAATCACAAACAGATCGTATTATTATTATTGCTTCATGTTTTTGAAACATTACAATCTCCATTAATGTGCAATGGAATTTTTTCTAACTAAAATTTGCAAATCCCGACACCCCTGCACTAACGGTCAAAAGTAATGTTGCGCAGATAGTTAAGAGAGTTCTTTGATGATTTTATTCCAATTCGTTTCTAAATTAGGGCTCTCCCACATTTGGAACTGACGCCGAAAACTCGCCAAGGTCATAATAAAAGGTACATTACTTTTGATCCTAACTGCACAGTGCGTGTTAGGCCCCCTGTGTACAGCAGTGACCTATACTTATAATTTATCTTTTCTAAAATGTCCATTATACATTTTTAGTCTAATCTACAAGAATTGCAACGAACCCTGTTAATTTTGAGAAATGGAAGACGAAACTTTACGCAAACTCGCTGGAGCGTTACCATCAAAAGGCCATTCGTTAGGATAACCGGAGCTTAAAGTGCACAACGCAGGTTCACCTTTGATCTTCTAACCAGCGCAAATCTGACAAGCGATTTGGAAAAATCGACCTTTGACGAATTCATTCTGAAATGTACATTGGTAATCATAGCTTTTATAGGCTGAAAACTGTCGCTCTACTATCGTGTTTTATCGCTGTCCGTCAGAGACTTTCTGTTTTGACCAATCTGCAGGGTAGATGGAAGAAAATCTGGGTAGCAGAGATCTAAATAAACATTTTTTTGTAAATTAATCCAATTGCTCAAAAATGATTCGTTTGAGAACTACGTAACCAAAGGTCCCTAGACTTATTCTCTCTATTTTTTCTCAAAAACCAAAGCAGGTTCTTTTACCGATTTTGGAAAATCAAGATCGAAGAACTAAATGATATCATTAATACTCTGTAATTGACATTAGCTGTTGGGAATTGATTTTTAAAAATTTGTAAAAAAAATTATTAACTACTGTAATTTTTGGCCCAATTGTGAAACATATTAAAAAATAGTATATTGAAAGACAAGTGTTACAATGCGACCTATTGTAATACGACTATTTTGTGGCACGAGTGGCGTAGCGAAGCGGGGCCACGAGTGTCCACAAGATAGGAGTATTACAATAAAGCATTGTAACACGTGTTTTTCATACTATTTTTTCTATTTCGGGGCTTTAATTTAATTAAAAAGTAATTATGAAATACTACAGGAAACTTTAGAATTAATATATCTTAAGTTGGCAACACCATTTACGTTGACAATTCAACTCATGTATACAAAATCGCATAAGCCGCAGTGCAATTGTCACTTTGACAGCGGCAAAAGTTACCTGCAACTTTTCCAGCGACAAATGCACTAGTGGTTTTTTCACTTTTCATTTTGGAACAAGTATCGCATTATCCTTTCCCATATGATTAGCTTGACGTCTGTCAATAATTGACTAGTTTGGTGAATTTCTTGTTCGTTAAATTGTCCTGCCGAATTACACTCGAGGTTTATATTTAAACCGAGTAAATTTGGGTTGTTGCAATTCAAATCTGTTTCCTTTTAGCAATTGAACTCGAAAAACTGTCAACCTAAAAATGCTCCACCTTCGGTGTCGCATTTTTATTAGTTCACAGTTTTTCTCGTCTAATTGCTAGGCAACAGATTTTCATTACCTTAACAACCCAAATTTATTCGGTAAAATACAAACCTCTTGTGCAATTATAAGTGACAAATTTTAAGTTGGCAGCGTAGATAAACACAACACTGACATTTGGAAACTTTAAATCCCGTGAATGTGTAATTTTTTATTCGTAGATAAATTTATTTATGGTGGATGTGTAAAGGTAAACTGCTTATTTGGAATGTATTAAGTTCTTCGTGTACCAAAAATAAAGGAAAACACATAAATTTTACGTAATTTGATTTCACATGCATCTGATGATTTGACGTTGACGTCTTGGCGAACTGCCAACTTAGAGATGAAAAGTTACCAAAAACAATGTTACAATGGAACTCATTGAAACACTGTTTTTGCCGAAAACAGTTGCACAAAATTCTCATTGTAACACCGAAATAGAAAAAAGTTTTTCCACCCCATTTTCCAAACGGAATATAGAACTTCTCTGGCCTAATACCGTCACACATCCTCGCATCTCGAAAATCAATTAACTTTCGCAATAGCAACGTCTTATCGCGTTCGAGCAGATAGCACTTGAATGCACTCGACCAAATGTTCTTTAATTCTAAATAATACAATCTTATAATTTGGGCGCAAGCCTGTTGAGGGCCCAGAACAAAAGAGGGATAATAAAATAATAAAGAAGGAGCCCCCACTTTTTTGACGAATTTTGAAGCACCAGGAATCCGAATCAAACAAAATCGCTGTGATATTGGTCTGTCGGGCCGTTTAAACGGCTGAACCGATTGGAACCAAATTTGATCTTAAACACAAAAGGGCAGAATCGCACATGCGCAGGTGTACGAGTGGTATCTGTGCTGGCCACAGCAAATGTTTTGGAGTAGGTATACATATATATAGCCCATTTGTAGGGAAAAATTCCTTGTATTTCGATATGCAATAGGAATCGACTAATTAATTAACCATTTCACCAGTTCACAATTTGTTTGGGATAAAGTGTAACAGGTAAGCAATTAGAACAAATTTGTTGATGGATAGTGATCAGAACATTCCAAGATTAGAGTTGTAAATCATAGAAGTTTAAGTTGTTTATGGAAATTGTTACAATGTATTAATTTAGTTTGTTTAAAAAAAAAGAGGTTGTTGGGAATTGAACTCATATAGGTATTCTTGTACCTGATTGATGTAGATGGGGGCACGAGTCCAAGAACAATAAATGACATTTTGAATTAATGTAACATTGTGTTTATTTCACATTCATGCTCCATTACATAAATTACAATAAACAAGGAATAAAACAAACATTAATAATTAACAAAAATGGATTGACCGAGTGATGACATCTCAAAATTGAATCAAAAATTAATTAACGTTCTAATGTGGTGCAATTGATAAATTTGTAAGCGGCATAGGTGCTGCTGCAATTTGATGATAACGCCTAATGTACCCCAAAAGATGTTGCTCAAAATCGAATCTATTTTTTGTCTCATAATTGCAGTTAGCACATTTAAACACTGTATGTTCATAAATATGTTCGATACAGCCCGATTGCCTATTCATCTCACAATGTTTTAAAAGGTGTTGGTCATAGTAAGATTTATTGCTCGTCTCATAATCACAGGTAGTGCATTCATATAGGTCTTTGGAAACTTTATGAATTAAAAGGTGTCCTTCGTCACTTGTCTCGTAATCACAATTAGCATCTTTGGAATCGTGTGTCAAAAAATGTTGCTTCAGACAGCATTTATCATTCGTCGTGTAATCACAAAAGTCACATTTAAAATCGTTGGTAACTCGATGAGTTAAAACGTGTTTCTTAAGATACGATTTACTATTCGTCTCATAATCGCAAGTGGCACATTTAAAACCTTTGGAAATTTTGTGTGTTAAAACGTGCCGTTTAAGGTAGCATTTACTATTTGCTTTGTAATCACAAATAGCACATTTCAATTTTTTGGAAGTAACGTGTGTTAAAAAGTGTCGTTTTAAGTAGGATTTATTATTTGTTTTATATTCACAGTTAGTACATTTATAATTATCAGAACGATCGTGCGTTAAAAGGTGTCGGTTCAGATAGGTTTTGCAATGTGTCTCATAATCGCAGATCTCACATTTAAAATCTTTAGATTTTTTGTGAATTAAACGATGTCTTTGAAAGTAGCGTTTATTATTTGTCTTGTATTCACAGTTCTCACATTGTAATACATCTACATTATTAGAAACTTGTTTTAAATAGCGTTGTTTAAACAATTTTGTTTTATAATTGGTAGCACATTTTAGCACTTTTTCATTATTGGCTTCCGAGCATTGCGCATCAATAGTAATTTCGTTTTTTATTGTCACCAATGCTTCATTACTCACGAAAATGTTTTCCTGAAGAGAAGAATGGATTTCTTCTTCTTGTTTTGGTTCGATTTTAATGAGTGTTGCACCACCATCTTTCTCCATATCTGAGAAGAGTAATGTAACTAAAGAAAAGTGCGTTTTGGTTTATCCATTGAATAAAAAATACCCAACACATATGTGCTTGATAAATAAACAACCTTACCAGACCCATATATATACTCTTATATATATGACCAGACCAGACTCTGGCTGTAACACATTACACAAGCTCCGGTTTCATTAGCGTCTCACTTTCAGTACCAGTGGTGTACGTGTATACAGTTTTCTTCTTTTTTTTTGTTTAAGTAATCACGTATTCACGAAATTGTTGTTACGGTTATTAATAAATAGCCAAAAAACCATACCTTGGTTTCTATTATAATATTGTATCATTGCTTCATTTCAGTTTAACTACGTTTCAATTAAATAAGTTTTTGAAGTTACGGTACTCTGTCCGAAGCCAAGATCTACAAGTTTTAGTTACGTTATTTGTTTTACTCCGAAGAATCGGCTTATATTATCTTGGTTCTGTTTTGAATTGATAGGACCAATAGAAATTGGTGCATCGTAAATCACTTTTCTTGAACGTCACGTTTATACTTTTATACCGCTACCATTGTAATAATAATCCGTGGTTTTAGTATACGATTGCTTTCCTGTCACACGTTAGATTGCTTACGCAATATTTTATGAGCCGCGCTATTCACTACCCCTCCCATTTGTTTATGTTTTTATCTGTTACCGAAAAGGCTGAACGCATCCTTTTGAGCTCACAAGGTTGCGACCCAAAGTTCAAGGGTAATTTTTTAATTTTTCCTTGATACAACGTTTGATTACATACTGGTTTTCGATATAATCGAATTGTATTTACTACATTTGCTTAATATTCACTTAACGATTATAGCTCACAACCTGGCTACGGCTTTGACGGAATTTATACTAACCGACACCATTGGTTAGCGTTTGGCAACGCTGTTCATGTTTATTGACATTTTTTTGTTAACCTAACCTCAAAATTATACAAAGAAACTTGCACTACTCACAACTTTTCGAAAAAATCAACTTACAAGTTCTGGTCTGGTGGAAGCAAAGTATTTTAAACCATTGGGAGATTTTCTGGAGTGTGGAGTTGCATAAACATGACCGGTTGTGGTTCCATGACTAATTAAAATGCCCAATAATTGCGTTTGCATAATTAGCCACAAAGAACAATGGCAAGAAAATCCGCTTTTACTATTACAGATAAAACGATAAACGAAGCACTAGAGATAAAGCACCTTTATTGTGATGTTAGTTAGTGTCCAATCGATCAAACGACATGGCAAAAACGAACATTAATTTAGAATATTGGATGTCAAATCTGCCGGTGCATTTAAGAACTTGGCCTTTAATACGCCTAGCGATTCCTGGTAGGTTTTATCGGAATTTTCTCACGCAAATTATCAGTATGGTGTAGGGTCCCACGACAGTATGACCGCGTCAATAACGAAATCGTCCAAAATTGCGCCCGACGCCGAGTGCCTTCTACAGAAATTACGCTTTTTGGGACCCCTGCTACGTTTGATAATGTCGCGTTGGTCGAAAACGCAAGATTTGACCATTGGCGATCAGTTACGGTGCGGAATACGGTATTACGATCTTCGTGTTGCTACAAGACGAAATAAAACCTATCCCTACTTCGTGCACGGGCTTTACGCGGACGAAATTACGACTATGGTGACGAGCGTGAGGGAGTTTATCGACTCGCATCCTCATGAAGTGAGTGTAATAGCTTGCTTTAAAATGTTTATCTTAGTTTTAGGTCGTCATTTTAGATTTTCAACATTTCTACGCATTTGCCGAGGAAGATCATCATAATTTAATTACGCTTCTTCTCACGGTCTTCAAGTCCAAGTTATTGCCTTACACCAACGACATGAATCATATTACCTTAGAGTTTATGACGGAGAGCAATAAGTACCAGGTTTGTACGTTGCAAGAGCAATTACATCTCTTTTACAAAAGTTAATGAATTAAAGAAAGTATGTACTTACCAAATTTCAGATCATACTGATATACCGTGCAAATTACTCCCGCTTGAGTCAGCAGTACTTGTGGCCCAGTTTTACGTTTCCCACGCCGTGGCCGCAGACGATATCGCAAACCGACCTATTCGACAAACTCAATAGGGGTATCGCGACGAGACTGCAGAGCTTCGCGTACGTTTCACAGTGTGTTCTGACGCCGACGAACGGCTTTGTGGCGAAGAAGTTGTGCTGTAAGTTAAGCCGTTAAAGTGGTTAAAAAAAAGGTTTGTTTTAGCTACCTTGAAAAAAACCTGCGTTGTACCAATTCACGGCGCACGAATCGAATGGATTCAACAGCAGAGGATCGGAGAAGGGGGCGTTAATATTGTGATAGGGGATTTTGTAAATTTGAATGATTTTGAATTTCCTGCCGAAGTTGTGCAGTTAAATCTGCAAGTTTTTCCAACTAATGCTTCCATTTTAACGCCTGTAGATAATTAAAATTCCTATTCCATTACAGCTATGCCTTATAATTACTTCATCTAATACATATTTTCATTGTGAGGACTCTTACTTTATGTTATTTTAAGCCGATTTTCCAAGTCATGTTGGATTGCTTTAGCTTGTATGGTCACTTTCACCATTTGTCCGAGGCCGCAACCACTACAGTTTCACAGAACATCCCCTTTCAAAGATCATGGGGTGGTGTTCTGTGTACAATGTTCAATATATAAGCACAGCAGCCCTAAAATTCACTAGCGCGGGAAAATATGGCGCAACCAACCGCCATCTTGGTATAGGTCTGCCATGGGCGTATCCAGTTTGTTTTTTGCGTGATTCATTATTTGGTGTCGGGCAGTGGCGTAGTAATCTTTGTATACGTATACCTTTTCTGCCTGGATGCCCTTGTGCCTTGTAGTTTTTTCATTCTGGATTATTGAAAAGTGAAAGGCTTCATACGCCTTACGACAAAATATACTTTCCTACATTACTAACAGCTTTCTGCCAGCAGCTGTGCGCAATTTACTCGGCGGGATTTTTCTTTGTTATTTACATACTTACTTAACGGGCAAATTAATGTCCTGGTTTGGACAAGACAGGTTGAGAGTTTCCGAACCCTTGCTTAGGGGTGCACTCAACGGTACAAATCCGTCTTGATTTTCAGCCACCTGAAGAGCTCAAGCGCGTGCTCTGCCGACCACTTCTTGTGGACGAAAGGGTCATCTTCAATCGGTTTGGGTAGTGGCAACGATAGTAACTCTGCGCGGCGGGCGGCTTTCCGTTGAAAGGGAATGCGTGAAGCGAGTGAATGGCCCATCCCGAAGGATGTGATTATCCCGAAAAACTCTCAGCACACCCCGATGATGACAGTTTTCTTTTACCATGCTCTCTATTTCTTGGGGAACAGCGAATTTAGCAGAAAAAGCACCAGAACTGTTAAATTTTAGAGGCAAGACTATAGCTTTTGCTAGAAATTTTAGTGTTCAGCTTAATTATATTTCATTGGCGTGCATATATCGTAATGTGACGTGTTTCAGTGTTTGTGCACGCCAATGGTAAATGTTAACCTAGTTTTGGAACAAAAATTGTAATTGAGAATTTTGGGTTAATGCCATTGCTATATGAGTGTAAAGGTACAATTACAATTTGTACTTCCTTTCTATTGCAGTTAGGGAGCAATAGAATAATTGGGTGTGAACGTTTTTGATATGAAATTTCAAAAATGAGTTCATCGTAGTCGGTAAAACAGTTACCTTCCCGGTCGGTGCACAATGAACACCTCCCCATGAGTCGTGCACCGCAACGATCTCAAAATTAGTATTAAATTTCAATTAAAAAAACAACTATAGTAATATTAAATAATGATTTTATTAGAAATAAATAATAGGGTAGTCGAGGAAACTTTAACGGTTAAGATAAAAAACGCACAAGCTGGGTAAGTCCACCTTTCATTACTTTATTAGGCGGTGCTTTGGGGTGAGGCATTTGCTTATCAAAATTTGAACGTTTCCTTCAAATTCACTTGAATGATTCATAAGACGCGTCCTCAAACTCACTTACTCATACCACCCCTTTAATTTTAGGGTAAAAAATGAGTATATCGATATTACCATTGCGGATTTTGATGGAGTATTATACCACATTTCAAATCTTAACTCGGATAAAACAAAAGTGAGGATAAGTATTTCGTTAAAGTTTTACAAGGAACTGCAAGAGCACGGTGCCGATGAGCTGCTGAAACGAGTATACGGACCGCTACTTATCTCACCGGAGGACGGTTACAATGTGTCTGTGCTAATGGATCTAGAGAACATTCCAAACGATTGGCCGTCATTAGTCAAGAAGATCGGACTGTTGAAAAGGAACTGTTTTGCGTCTGTCTTTGAGAAGTATTTTGATTTTCAAGAGCGGGGCGACGAGGGTCAGTCGAGGGCAGTTATTCATTACAGAACAGATGAGACTTTGTAAGTGACCCTCTGTGTTGACCTAATTTAAATGTTTGCGCTAGGTACGTCGAAGCCAAAGCCGATCGTGTGACGGTCGTATTTTCGACACGGTTTCGTGATGAGGACGACGTGGTCATCGGGAAGGTGTTCATGCAGGAGCTAAAGGAGGGGCTGAGGGCGTCGCATACCGCTCCTCCCGTGCTGTTCAGTCATCGAGAGCCCCCATTAGAGTTGCAGAATACGGACGCGGTGGTGGACAATAAAGTTGGTTACGTTACGTTTGTGCTCTTTCCGAGGCATACTGCTAGAAATACGCGCGACAACACCATTAATTTGATACACATGTTTAGACATTATTTGCATTACCATATTAAATGTTCCAAGGCGTACATTCACAGTCGGATGAGGGCCAAAACTTCCGAGTTCCTTAAGGTGCTGAATCGTGCACGGCCCGAGAATAAATCCAGTGATAAAAAGACGATTACGTAAGTAGCGCTCTTCTCTACACTTTCGGTAAGGCCATAAGTCTCATAGAGGGCAGTGTAACGCAAAATAAAGATGGAATCAAAGCTCTCACGCTGAAACCGTGACATGAGAATTGGTACCTGTCAATTTGAAATCATTTCACAGATTTTGAGGTTAAGAAATTTTTTTTGAGTGCCACCGCCATCTTGGATTTTTTAAATGGCAACATAGATCATTAGGAAGCTTATTTTTTTCTCTTGTGACGTTATAAAGGCCCCCAGGTACGATCATGAAATTGATAAAAATGGTTAAAGGACACTTTAATTAAGCGTTTTCAACAACAAAATTTACGGAAGAAGCCCTAAATTTTCCACAAACAATACAAAGTTCACATCGTTTCGTTTTCTCAAAGGTTCTGTTCATAATTTTTTTATTGGTAAATTGTATATCCTGGATTCTTTCTTTCATAATAGTCCTGGTGACTTGTGATACTTTAAAAAAACATCGTTTAATGGTCTCTTTTGAAAATGTATAGGAAGAGTACTAAATGGCACCAGACTGGTCACGATTGTGACACCTTTGCTGATGGGACAGTTACTTATTGGACATTAATTCAATATTTGCTTAATGTATAAAATCCGTTTACTCCATCAGAAGGTAAAATGTAGCCCCAAAGATGGCGTTACAAGAATTAAAAAACGTGTGGCCTTACTGTAAAGTGTAGCACGCTGTCGAAAGCAGCTTAATGAATTGAGTTCTTTTTCAGTGGGAGAACGTTCATTCGAAGAGATTGATGAGTAGGTGCCAGCTCAAAGTCTAATTAACAATGTTAATTACCGAAGTTCAAAGTAAGCCTGTGTGCATTTGACCATTGTACTGTTTTAATTACTTTTTATATTGTTTTATCATGTATCGAATGTTAACTAATATACGATTTTAATTCACCGATTGCGATAGCAATAATTTGTCATTGGAACCGACGCATTTATTTTTTCACTTTGCCAAATTACAAAGTTCTGTCCTAAACAAAAATAGTTCGAGAGTAGTGTAGTTTAAATTAGTAAATCGGGAATGTACCGTCGCGGCGTGCTCAAAGCGCGACGACGGGATTCGCCGAGTAATTCGATTTGTACATATAGTTAACATTTTAAACGTGCTTCCTGGTGAGTGAATGGGCACAAACGATGTCTCCTCGATTACAGATTTCTCGGTTGTGCAATTGTTTTATTCTTATTACGGGTGCTCTATGCTTATACATAAATTGTGTTTCCCGCTTTTGGGCTATTCCATTTCAAATCTGTCTTTTCTCTTCAACTTAAGCCAATGAAATTTAGTATGTTGACCTGAGACCTAGAAAGGTCTCGCATGTTGACCAGAGCGAGTTGAAATGGATTGATCCCATGTCTAGGAAAAAGTTTTTCTCCAACACGATAAATACAATTATTAGTTACGTAAGCGTTCAAACAAATATAGTTAACAGTATATTTTAGATATTTCATGTATAGTCCTTAGCTTCTGCTGTAAAAACATGTCGAAACTCATTTCACTCATTCCTGTCGAGCATTGTTTTGTAAAATAATCTGCAGTTATGTAATATAAAAATTATTTCCTAGCGTGGTTTTATTTCCCCATGACGCGTAGCGCCGGATATCCCCAGCTCGTCACTCACACCTGTAATTGTCACGAATTACAACAAATTTACAACCACCTTCACCACAGTTCCTGGTTTTTCCAAGGTATTGCTCGTCGATATTCCGATTCTCATTCCTCAAATCCTCCTGTATAATTTCGAGCGCTAAAACTACCACCATCAGACAAATCGCGTAAAAAAGTCTTACCGCGCTTCAAATCCATCGCGTCCATCTCCTGATTCTGTATCAACTTCAGCTTCTCGCGAAATTTCACCGTGATCTTTTTGCGCTGATAATCGGCCTCGATCTCCTGTTTGGTGCGCGGTACTCGAATTTTAACGCAACAGCATATTAAGATTACTGCAAAAGATACCCGTTAAGGCAACGGATTACAAACAAAATTCGTACCTAAGACGGTCACGCCAGAGAAACAAAAGAAGAGCAGGTGCCAAATGCGAAAGCCCAAATCGTCCGAGAGTGGCCTCTCGATCCAAATTTCCGCGTCTTTGTTGGGGTTCGGTCGAAAACTCGCCATGCCAATTTTGTTAATGGAGTTTAGGGTTGACGCCACTCCCGGGGCACTCCTTTATTAGTGGGATGTAATTTTACACCGCAGGTGGTAATTTGCGGCGATTGCAATTGATTTTCTTTTTCAATGTCATTATTGGTGCTCAAAAAATCCAAAATACTCGTCATTGGTTACCGAAATTCCAAATTTTCTATTTGATTTTTAATTTAACAAAATAATTTGCGAATTTCGCAATACGTGTTCGATTTTTTACAGAATCCCGCTGACTCGACGCGTAACTAATAACGATAAACAACCACGCGCATTGCTAATTTATCGTATTTTTAGTTGTGAATTTTTCCTTTAGCTGGAACTCCCATGTTACAACACAAGAGAAGATTCATGATATGCACACAGCATGAGTGTGGCGACGCGCCGCGCTTGCACATCCGACAACAAACTAAAACGTGTTGCACTCTCATTGGCCAAAATGAACCAATGAGAGCTCCGAACTCTGCGAAGAAATTCCTGCTCCAATGGAGCTTCAAGAAACAACCAGCTTTTCCACCTGTAGAACCAGTTCGCCTTGCCAGTTCGACCTCGTGCCACTCTTCACCAGCCAGAAGACTCGCATCCCCACTTACTCCGACTACAGCGCTCAACGCGTGCACTTCTGCTACTTTTTTGTACGTATCGTTAATATATTCCATTAAACGCAACAGCATTTTATTTAGTGTCGCCCGCGAAAATGAACATCTTTCATTTGTTTTTTAGTTGGGATGGGAGAGATGAAAAACTATCCAAAAATCAAAAAAATTAAAAAAAAGTACCTTAAGTTAGGCGAATATTTTCCATGAATTGATCAATACTTCCCAAAAGGTTATATAACGGACTATTTGTTTACAAAGAAAAATTATTTTAATAAATAAGAAACTTGACATTTGCGCATGCGCACATCTAATGTTTAAAATATGCGATATGTTTGCCTTTACTAGTAGTGCAGGCGCTGGATGGATTTGAGTGTGCAAAAACCGAGGACCGCATTCTGCCAATTGATCCCAGTTCAGAAAAGCTTGTAGATTAATAATTCGGATGTTGCCGGAACGCTTCTTGGTCCTAATTCTGTGTTATACCTCCTCCTCTTGCGCCGACTTTATATGCATGCGCAAATTAAACGTTAAGATTTTTCTTGATTCTGGTAGCTATAATAAGCTATCCAATGCAAAAATAACTAGATATATTGGACACTGTAGGCTCAGTAGTTAAGGCCTCTGGTAGACTGACGGACGGAGAAAATGCCCATAATAACGCTTTCCAACATGAGTTGGAAAATGCGTAAAAATCGTCTAAAGAGCTAGGAAGGTCTGGAGCCCGTTCCAGAATGCTCGCGGGAATGTGTATACACTTCTGATCAAGCTTCTTAGTCCAGCAGTAAAAATTAGGCCCCACATTAGGGAATCGTCTTCCATTTAATTACAACAATTAACGATTACATATTTATTAATTATTTCTTACAAAAATATACGATCTGCAGCGGAAATTAAGGTTGCGAATTCCCTACCGTTTGCTCGATACCTTTTACATTCGCGCTAAAATCGTCGGCGGATGCGGGCCAAGGTTTACCGGGCGATATGATTTGACCGATTGTTACCGGTTCCGGTAGGTACCATGGCCTTGTCGGTTTATACCCAAGTATTATGTGCGTGGATGAAAACGGTTTCTGTGTGATACGGTTGGTGGTGTGAGGAGGCGGTCGAGTGCTTTGCGGTTTTCCGTGTTGCGTTGACGGTTTGGGTGGCTTTACAGTCGGAGAGGCCGGCCACGGGGTTCCGGGCGGTATCAGTTGGCCGATCGTCACCGGTTCCGGTAGGTACCAAGGCCTTTGGGGTGTATACTCTAGAACTTTGTGCGTGGTGTGTCGCGTCTGATTATTCTCCTGTGGAAGTACTGTGGTCTTTACCTCTTGCACGACTGTCGAGCCATTGGTGGTTGTCGTCGTTTTGTAACCTGCCGGGGAATCCGGCCATGGAGTTCCTGAAGGTATCAATTGGCCAATTGTTACCGGTTCAGGAAGAAAAGACGGCCTCGTTGGTTTATACTCCAAAACTGTTGCTGGGGACTGGAGTTCGTCTTCTGATTGTGATGATGGCTGCGGTTTCAAAGTTGTATTTGCTGAAGCAGGCCACGGTGTTCCGGATGGTACCAACTGCGCGATTGTTGAAGGTTCTGGCAGAAAAGATGGCCTAGTCGGTTTGTATTCCAAGACCGTAATTGGTTTTACTGTTGCGTTGTTGACTCCATCCGGCTTAATGGTTGTTTGATAACCTTCTGGTGAATCTGGCCATGGAGTTCCTGCAGGTATTAATTGACCGATCGTTACTGGATCAGGAACGTAAGGCGGTCTTGATGGTTTATACCCCAAAACGATTGCAGGTTTTCCGCCCGATAGGTTATTCACTTCTTCACCAAACCTATTTTCTACGCTGGACGCAGATGGCGTTGTGTAATCAGTGGAAGAAATTGCAGCTGATGATGTCGTTGAAGATTGGTTTCCTAAATCAGTAGTAGGTTTAACTTCCGCCCCCGATGGTGGAGGTTTATGAGTCGTATTTGCGGAATCCGGCCATGGAGTACCTGCAGAAACCAACTGCCCTAAGGTAAACGGCTCGGGGTGGTGAAAAGAGCTTATTGGTTTGTATTCTAATACGGTCAATGGTCTTACATCTTTTGCAGCGGTGTCAGTATCATTTGTATTTCTTACGGAAGCTGTCTGAGATGCGTTACACAACACAAGTATAACGACCGCACTGTCTACGAGATTAATTTTCATATTTTAATATTAAAATCTGCGTAAATTAACAACCGCAACGGGCAAAGAGATGTAACGGAATATTGCAAAAAATTCACAAACAAAACATTGACAAGGCCAACATTCTTTCAATGACTGGTTTTCAAACAAGTTTAGCTTCTGTATTGTTATGTGGAGGTATGGAATCACAATCAATGTCACTGATCTCAAAATAATAGCCACTGTATCACGCAATTAGCAATAATTATTAATTGAATTCGCTCTGCTAACTGATGGTAATCGATGTAGTACTGTACCATGACCTACGCAGCAGAGGTATTTATCTATATCTTCGTAGTGGCGAAAAATAACTATTAATAGCTAATCTTCATTAATTGACGTGACCTAATTACCGCAATTTGGTTTTTCGTAAATGATTGGGTTATTATCTATTTAACCCACTATAAAAATAAAAGGTTTTCATAATGTCGTGCCCCTAAATCACGCATGTACCTATTCTTATATATTTAGGTAAAGCGCATTTTTCCAACCTTGGCGCCTGCCATAGTTCCGGGGACTATTTACGTGTAGAGTAATTTTCGGGCACCAAAAAGTCAAGTGTCAATATCAAAAAAAAAACCTTATCAAGTTTATCACTTTATTAGAACACCTCCGTATATATACATGCTGTAGACGCGAAGCGACGCCACTTTGGAGATGTTTTTACTTAGCAAGCATGGAGAGACACTTCTTGCAAGTGAAGCCGCCAACAATCTTAGAGCGCGTCCACCACAGATGCTGAAGCGACGCCTTTTGTATATGAGAAGATGCCAACAAGCGCAGAGCGACGCTACTTCGACGTGAAGCCGCCTACAGACTTAGAGAAGACGCCAACCGACGCTTCTTGCAGACGTTGAAAACGCCATAATAAACTCGGTGCGACGCTTCTTGCAGATACGAAGAACGTCTTCAAGCTCGGAGAGATCTCGAAAGTGTATGGAACACACAGTTTTTCAAATTTTGTATTCACTTTTGGATGTGGCACCATGTATATAGTACACGTTCTATGTTAGATTGGCAACACTGGTTTCCCCTCCCCATTCGATTTTTACATAACCAAACTTTTCTCTTCTCGATTCATTGCTAAAGTTGTAATTATTTTAATTTATACGTACTGCAATGAAGATATTATTATTTGGTATTTGCTTTGTATGTTTCATATCTACACTTAGCGCTTCAAATTATGGCGACCTGACCGATAATGAGTTCGCTGAATTTGAGGACTTCGAAGCCGAAGATGACGTTTTTACTAGCGACGATGGCCAGAAAAGCGTAAAGGAGTCGTCGGCCGAAGATGGTTTCGTCGAGGAGGACGACGAGCAGGACGCTATTGTCGAGGACGAATCCGAATTTGAACATTTTCAAGATTCTGAGGAGTTCGAAGGTTTCGCCGACGCGAAGGACGAGAAACCGGCGTCCGAACCGAAAATAACCATTACTAAAGTTCCCATACACTTTCGGGCGAATTGGGACAGCTACTGGTTGGAGATTTTAATGATCGCCGGATTGGTTGTGTATTTTTTGAATTTCGCAACTGGAAAGAGTAAGAATACGAAGATCGCCAACGTGTGGTTTCAAACACATAAAACACTTCTCGAAGAAAATTTCTCCTTAGTCGGTAAGTCTTCAATAGCAGTTGCCCACTTTTAATTTATTTTGCAGGGGACGACACCACCATCGAAAACAAGGAGGGCGGAGCCTTAATTAAAGAAAGCGAAAATATATTCACACTGTGGTGTAGTGGTCGAGTGTGTTGCGAAGGGATGCTAGTCGAGCTCAAGTTGATAAAGCGCCAGGACTTGGTAGCGGTCATTGCGGGAATGATGAGACCTACCTTGGATCAGATACACGTGAAAGTTATAATGAATAAGGAGGATATGGATAGTTTCGTCTTCTGTGTCGCATCGAAAAAGGTATCCTTGCATTTCTCTAAGGAAATGGCAGACATTAGCATGTATTGCCCTGAGAGGCGCCCCGGTGAAAAACAAAATATACCGAGTAATTTCAGTATAATGAGCGAAATACCCGAGACAACCTCTGCACTGTTAGATTCCAAAGTGACCACAGTACTTAATAAATACGCCGAGTACGTAGAATACATTCACTTTTCTGATCAGTACACAGGAGTAAAGCAAGCCGACGATACTGGCGCGTTAAAGCTACCCGACACTCAGAAGGTGTTGCTCTTCGGATTTAATGTCCCGGCAAAAGGCGCGGGAACGACTGAAACGATGGAGCAACTAAAACCGCTCATGACAATGGTGTTGTACTGTATCGACAAGATCAAGCGTTACCGTCTATCAAAGGAAGGCAAGGCAAAGGCTGAAAAGAACCGTCAACGAGTCGAAGAGGCATTTTTAAAATCGACGCACGTCGCTCGCGCCGAGGCGGCCGCGGCACGTCGTGAGGAGCGCAGGCGATTGGAAAAGGAGAAGGTAATGGCGGATTCCGACCCCGAGAAGCAGAGACGCTGGGAGGAAAAGGAGCAAAAGCGTCAGGCGAAGAAACGCGCGCCTAAAATGAAACAGCTCAAAGTGAAAGCTCTGTGAAGGATTGTACAGGGTGTTTGTAAAACGTCATCATTTTTTTTGTTACATTGTTGTTAATTATAGTAATCATTCTTTGCCTTACTTAATGTTACATGTTTTTTCGGATTTTTGTTCTTTATCGTTTTGAATTTTTGGGAGCGCTAATGTGATACTAATTAACCAAAAAGATAAATGGAATCGGAGCAAAAGTTCAAAGACTATTTAACATACAAACTAAGGCGACGTTTTAGTTGTGTACCCAATATAGATAGTTATAAATTAAGCTGAAGTTTTGATGGTAGACCTTACTTTATTTTGTATAGTCAGTAATATCAAGCTAACTGAAAAGTTTGAACAAAAAACAACTGAATTGTACTAAAAACAAACGCTCAGTTTGTTTTTGTTGCTTAGAATCCTTTTGTTTTGATCAGTAATTTCCAGCTGGTACCTTGATCTCCTTGAGAACTTTTCTGGTGGTTGAATGTTGAACCAACTTTTTCATATCATGGTGGTGCTGGAGCACGACATACCAGAACACGTATTACTACGATTGGTTTCTTCTCCTTTGCTTTCCCACTTGTGTCTTTTCTGCCTTGGCATATAAACCATAATTACAGTTCAAAAAATCCGCAAATAAGATAAATCCGGCCCTTCCCTTCATTGTGATTCTGGAGTTTGTTATCACCATCAGTTTGTGTCCCGGGGTAGTCCCTCAAGTAGTAGAGCTCCTCTTATCAAAACCTATTTGCCTTAATTGTGAGGATTTTGACATGTGCAGTGCAGAAGTTGCATCCTCTACATGGGTATAGTAAACGGTGTGTTGACTTTCATTTTCTTATCCTTAATGGGATGTAGTTACTGAAAGAAAAATTCCATCTGCGGTTACTGTAGGCTAACTATTTCTCAAGAGGATGTCCCGTTCTCGCGGCTAACGGTGACTGTACCACCAGCTTGTACAGAATTCAAAAAATACCATGGAAAGGTTTTCAAAACTTGCCAAAAGTTTAATAAGAACACTAATTCAAACCATCCATATAAGCATAGAAAACTGTACAATCAAAATGACAGAAAGAGGTGGAACTCCTCTAAAAAAACTCGAAGGTATGTGAGCACAGGTGATCGGGCATTAGGCCCCCAGACATTAGGACGCAGACAATAGGACGCCGTCATTGAGCCGCAAGACAATAGGCCGCAGACATAGGGACGCGGACATTAGAACGCAGACATTGGGACGCAGCTGGAACGCCTTCATTAGCACACTAGAATCTAGGCTAGGACTAGACGTTAGAACGCATACACAGTTGAAATAAGTAAAATACCATTGGTTTAATTTAGTTATACCTTTTATTGTCCTACCTGCGACCTAATCTCTGCTTTGTAAAGTAATGTACATGATGCTTGCGTTCTAATGTCCGCGTCCTAATGTCTGCGTCCTAATGTCCGCGTCTCATTGTCCGCGTCCCATAATGTATGCTGTCTATTCCCTTTGCGGTCCAATGTTCGCGTCCTAATGTCTGCGTTTCTAATGCCATAGCGCCATTGTAGGCACAATACGATGACGCTCTCAGGGAGCTGGAAATGCAAAAATTTCTCAAATAAGAAGGCGATTTTGGCACGAACAATTCGCTCGTGGTAAAACTAATACCATAGTATAATAGTTATATTATGTTAATACAAAAGCATAGAAGCCCCTTCTGTTAGCAATCCCAACCATGATCGTGTAGTTGTCTGTGGCATGTTAAACATGTGTAGCCTGTCTGAAGGACCTAGGAAGATGTCACACGTGTATTAGTAGCAGTGGCCTGTGGCTGCCCTTCTGGTGTATTTAAAGGTGTTGGTGTACGTAAATGTACATCATTATTCATTAGTATACACCCAGATGAGGGCCCACCACCGCGTCCTAAGCAAGAAATTGTCCGTCCAGAAAACGCCGTCTGAATTTTGTGGGCCGACGATGTGCATGATCCAGAACTATCACAACTCAAACAAGGACAACCACCTCCTAAACATCGGTGGGACAGTCGTCATTAGAAGAACCCAAGAACCACCGCCAAAAAAAAAAAACCCACCAAGTACCTAACACCTTCAATATACCAGGAGGGCAACCACTTAGGCCACTGCTCTTAGGCATGTGACACCTTCCCAGGCTCTTCAGACAGGCAGCATACGCCTCACACGCCACAAACAACCACTCTACCGCCTGTCCGCCACTAATTTTTTGATCGACAGTTATGGTAGCGCATGGGAAAAAATGCGTGTTGTTATATTAGTTAATTAGAAGTTATAACGGGCGATCAAGATCAGGATTGACATCGAGTCGCCTTTGGAAGTTCAAGTTTAAATATGATTTCTCATGGAAACAAAAATTCCAAAGGTGACTTGACAGCTAACTCTTTTTTGATCGCATAATATTGGTATCCAAGGATACTATATATATTATATAGTATCCTTGGGTAGAATCATAGTGACAGTATTTGGACAAAATTCATTAGATACCGGTCAAAGAGCCCAGTAGGAAAGTATACCTTGAACGCCCGGACGATTCTAATAATTTTCATAGGATTCGCCATAAAAAGTTGTATTAGAATCGACAACGGTACCGGTCAAAGAGCCCAGTAGGAAAGTATACCTTGAACGCCCGGACGATTCTAATAATTTTCATAGGATTCGCCATAAAAAGTTGTATTAGAATCGACAACGGTGCCGGCGAAAATCCTGCCGAAAGCTATTAAAAAAAAATTAAATTCGCTCCTTATTTTTGGAAAATGTACTTTATTGTACCGGACGTTCAGGAAAAGTACTAAAAGGTGCATAGGGAGTTTTATCGAAAAAAGTCACGGTGCCGGAGCGCAACTAATTGCCGCAACCCTTGGCACCGCGACTACAAATGGGGTGGTAAATCGTACCTTTTTCTCCCGGACCAAAATGACCTATAGGTATGAAAAATGTAGCTTGCGATTATACGAATCTAAAAAACCAACGGTGCCGACTCTCAGGATGCCGGAAGTCCTCGGCACCGTCGATGGAATCCTATTGGCACTGTACCGCAATAAAAGAGGCGGTAAATTGTAATAATCCAGCTTGTTTTCCCGGACCAAAAAGTCCTTAATGAAAAATGTAGCTTAAGAGTAGACAAATTATAAGAAATCCGGGGGTGCGTATAAGAGCCTTCTTTTCGTATCCGATCACTTCCTAAGTCCATTTTCTCAAACTTGTGACGATACAGACTTGAATGAACACAAATAGACTTATGCCCTTATTTCGGTCACTTAGAGAATCATTCTTTTATAAGTTGAAGCACTTTTTTGTTCAAAAAAACCAAAAAAAGAACCGACAAAATCGTTTTTAATAAATATGCGTTAATTTTTTGAAAAGTAAAACACTTGACTTGTGTGGTTATGCCTGAAAGCAACCCAAAAAAAGTAGAAATGATCGAAGTTGACTCGAAATGATTCTTGTGTCACAACTGCTTTTTTGAAATCATTTTATTGTAATTCAATCAGAATCAAACTCATAACTGTCCCGAGAGTCATCTAAATCATTTTCTTCCACATCGGTGTCTAGTTCCAAGTTTTCAACGGTTGATTTTCAAAATATCATCGACGCTCAAAGGAGTAGGATCGCCCTCGAACCAAAAGGGTTTTAAAATATCTTTCATTTCCCAACCACATTTCGTAGGATCGAGCGTGATACGTTGTTTTTCTGCCGCATTTTTCCACATAAAATCGTTCGGAGAATCTTTTGTTTTAATGATTTCACAAGGTCATTTTGATCCGGGAGAAAAAGGTAGTTTAGTACACGATTTACCACCCCATTTGTAGTCGCGGTGCCAAGGGTTGCGGCAAGTTGCGCCCCGGCACCGTGACTTTTTCCGATAAAACTCATCCATATGCCTTTAGTACTCTTCCCGAACGTCCGGGACAATCCAAAAATAAGGGGCGAATTTAATTTTTTTTTAACTGCTTTTTCGGCAGGATTTTCGCCGGCACCGTTGTCGATTCTAATATAACTTTTTATGGCGAAATAACCTTTCTTTCTTACCAAAAATCGACTACACCAAAATTTCTCGGGAAAACACTTTTTCTTATTAATTTGGGTGCGTAGAATCCAAATCAATTCGTACTTTTTCGATCAGACTTCTCAATCAAAAGTTATAGACTAGAAACCAATTTCGAAAAAAAATTCAAAGGGCTGTAACTTTTGAACTAGTAGCCCAATCTTGGAACTGTTTGAAATTATGGATTCTACAGGCCACATTCTATAAGAAAATTTTTTTTCCGGGTCGATCTGAGACAATTTTTTTTGGGGGCTCAAAAAAAGGCAGTGTATAACCAGGGGCGGACTGGCCCGGGGGGGGGGGCGATTGTCACCTGGCCTGTAGATCATAATGGCCCATTGGAAATTTATAAGTATGTGCTGTTTGAAGTGTTTTACAATGAATTTATCATTTTTTGTCGAAGCATGAAAGTGCTGAAATATAATCATAGGCGACGCACCTCGTGTGGATTGTATATTTTGTTACTTTTAATTATCAGCTGAAAAAACTGTATGGTAATTGATTTTCTAGAAAGGAGTACTTTAAAATGTTTTTGTGGTGCCCCTCAGAGCTACCCCCCCCCCCCTGCCACCTTCATTACTACACTATAATACTTTAATGGCCCGTACGATACAATTCCACCTGGCCCGTAAGTACCCAGTCCGCCCCTGGCGAATCCTATGAAAATTATTAGAATAGTCCGGGCGTTCAAGGTATACTCTCCTACTGGGCTCTTGGACTATTACTTCAATGGGTTACAAAACGCTATAGGAACAGCTATTATAATATGTGTGTCTTTAGGGACCCGGAGGTCAGTAAAAGATTTGAAGGTCCACATTTGGAATCGTTGACAAGATTCGCTAAGGCTTTGTCTGATATGGAAAGTTCCTGGATGTTTCTGGTAAAGGGCGTAGAGACATCTGGAACAGATATGTAGAGAAATCGCGCTGCAAGTGGCAAATACCTATAGACTCATGCGAGTACGGCCTGTTAGTAAGGGTATTCAGCACATCAAGTGAACATTTTCAGCGTTATGCTTTTTTTTACTTTTGCCTATTTACCTCAAAGGCCTGGCCTATTTTGCAAAGAAAAGGATCAAGCTACATGAAATGAGCATCTTTTACCCAAAAATCATTCATTTTTTTCGGTAACGATATCGCTTGTTTTTTTCAATTCTATTCACGATGAATATTTTAGAGGTATGATAGTCGGCTAGCTTGTAACGAGATTTTGAAATTGGAAAAGTCACGTGAAATTCTGATAAAGCGAAGTTAAATTCTGGCGCTTTTCCTCGCCCGCACGAACCGCGAACGATCCTAGACGAAGATTTAGTAACGAGCCGGTTTTGCACTGCGGCAATCCTTGTGTAACCTTTTTTTATTTTTTCTTCGAACTATTTAAACAAAATTCCGATGATTTGCTCATGATAATAATGAATTTAGTGAGATATAAAAGAAATTTTGAAGTGTATTATTCTTTCGGTTATTTGTGAATGTAAGAAATAAACGCGTTCAAACTGGCGACTGACAGTGGTAGTGACAGTAAGTCCAACATGGCTTCTTCGGCTCGAATTATTCAGACTAATTCCGCCTGGTTTCAAAAGAAAATTAATCTAAGGCCGCAGCATCGGGGCGTACATTTAGTGACTGAGGAAATTTTAAGGCAGGTGCCCGAATTATCACAGTTTGCTATGGGATTGTGTCATGTTCAAAGTGAGTTGAACTCTTCAGGAAACTTAACAATTATCCCTATTCTTTTAGTTTTGCACACTTCGGCGAGTCTCGCGCTAAACGAAAGTTGGGATCCGGACGTTAGGGACGACATGGAAATGATGTTGAATAAAATCGTGCCGGAGGGCTTAGCGTACAGACATTCCTGCGAGGGACCAGACGATATGGTAGGTCGATTGCTATAACCGCACTAATCCGAGTCTACTTTCAGTTGTACAAAAAGTGTTCTTTTGTGATTGTAGCCGGCGCACGTCAAGGCATGTTTTCTCGGTTCATCTTTAACTATTCCAATTACGGAGGGAAAGTTAAACCTGGGCACGTGGCAAGGAGTTTGGTTATGTGAACACAGGGACCACGCAGGCTCACGTAAACTTCTTATAACACTTAATGGTTGTCTACGGGACGCCACATGTACACCTCTTTCTCCCGTCAGCCCTATGGCTAGCACGAGCAGTTAGGGAAAACACTCGGGGCATTCATTGTCTAAGCATTGATTGTCCCGAGGGTGCCGTTTACATATTTAAAAAACTAGTGTTGCGCACAGACTAAAAAAATCTATGACAATATGTACATATGTGTACATTCTTTTTATTTAGTAGATTGTTTAATGTAGGGGGGTTGATTTTTCTGGTGCTGTACAGGCTTTTATCATTTGGGTGTCTCAAGTGTAAATTATAATTTTAGAAATAACGGGGTTTGACATACACTTTTTGTATAGAGCACGCATTTAGGAGGGTATCATCAGTAACGTGGCTTCGAATACTATAGGAAACGCCTACGTTTCGTTATTTTTTAAAATCGGTACGGAATGCGCCTCCTCAAATCAAATGTAAATAATAATCATTACGGGTTGTAAATAGTGCGTGTGTGTTTATGGACTGACTAGTCTGTCTTCCTTCCCTTAGCAATATCCATTATAGTGTCGACCTTTCCCTCCTGTGTGAATACAACGATCAAGAAAGTTCCGTTTGTTTCGCCGGCATTTGCGTTTCGTATATGACGTACAGGGTATGTTTAAGAATGTTTCCATTCTACAACTTACATTTCATTCACTTTTTAAATGTTTGCACATTGTTATGTACACAGTATGTGGTTTAAATATATTTTCTATTTTGTACCTTATACGATGTTCCTTCAAGACAAAATGTTTAACTCGGTTATTATTGCACGTTGAAACTTGCTAGCCAATTTGATTCCTTCACTTAAACGCTCTTCAATTTTTTTTTACCGGGGTCACGTTGGATAGAATAGCAAAATACGCTGAAAATAAGACAATTGAACCAAACGATTTATACAATATTAGGAGGGGATGTATCAAAGTATTCTCGAGGCATTAAGAAAATGTAAATTCGTTTTAATATTGACAAAAGTGTAACTTAGGACGCAACTGTTTTATTTTTAACTATGCATTTGGTGGTATGATCTTATACAGGGTGTTTTTTTGAGAGCCTTCATTAAATATTTTTTTTTTGTTTTTGAAAATTTGTACTTAGGGGTTACTCTGAAGGCTGAATCAATGTAAAACATATTTAATATTTTTGATACCCACATGATCTACATTTTATGATTTTTAAATTATTTTGACTTGAAAACGGCAGATGCAGACGGTATCTTGAAAATTGATTATGTACTTGAAAACGGTTGTAGTTATGGCAACACATTTTTACCAGTGCATAGAGAAAGAATATGGCTTTATTGAGATATAATAATAGTGATAGTTATTGGATAACGTACAAAAGAAACAATACATAATTCTCATAGTTCTGATATGTAGTGAAAACTGTAATCTGTTCTACCACTTAACCCTATCCAAATTTAAGAATCTTCAAAGACCAAAACTCAGTTTTTTTAATGAAATGACCATTTTCTTACTATTGCATTTGATAGAGCCAATTTTGATATTACATGTTCCTATAGCTATCTTTAACCCTACAGTGGTCTCGAGCACCATTCATTGTTTTGCAATTGCGCAACCCCCACCGCTGTCATGCTCATGTTACCTTCTGACAATACCCTTATGAAGAATCAGAGCTAACAGTCCGCTCGATAAGTGTTGAATGTATCTAAAGCGCCTCTTGGTAAATGAAAATAAATCTCATTTTTAACTTTCTTATGGAAACGCCCTTTATTTTAAGAGATAGAAAAAATGGACCTAGGTGTCTGGAGCTCAATTTTAAAGAGAAAATCACTGGCGCAAACAGAATTCAGTTATCTCTAATCGTTTGGCCGCTAGAGGGTGTTTCTCAAATTTAGTCGATTTCTTTAATGCCCCATAACTTTCTTGTTATTAAAGATAATGAGTTTGGCAAAACCTTTTTATGTAGAATCCATCGCGATACACAGTTTTTATACAGGGTGTTTGGTTTTTCTTATACGACCCTAAACTACATTTTTTCGTATGGACCATCCTATATATTTTGAGTTTTTAAAAGGAGTGTAAAATTTTCCAAATTTTGAGGAATCACTTATTATACAGTGTGTAAAGCAATGTATACAAGAGGGAATTTTTTTAAAATATTGATTTATGAAATAAATTTATTCTTCATGATATTTTTTGTTTGCTTTGAAAGTACCAATAACGTTTCGATAATCTAAAATTTATTTATGGAAATCTGGAAAAATAATAAAATTAATTTTCTTTATTGAAAGTTATCATTCTACATTATAATAAGATAGAGTATTGCTATCAAACTACAAACAATCGAAACGTTATTAGTACTTTCAAAGCAAGCAAAACATATTATGACGAATAAATTTTTTTCATAAATCAATATTAAAAAAAAATTCCCTCTTGTATACTTCATCGCTTTACACACTATATTTATATCAAATATTATTTCTAATATTGCATGTTATACATTAAAATATATATAAGACGGCAGGATTGTTTAAAATGATAATTTCTTGATTATCTGCATTATTTTTTTATATATTATATTCTTTATTTGTTTTATTCACATGAGTTTTTTTTTGTTTTATGTGTTATTTGAAATTATAAATATTTGGAACGAAAAAAAATTTCCAAATAACCAAGAAATTGTAATTTTAAACAATCCTGCCTTCTTTTGTTCACCATGGAAAGCTAGATGTCTGCAGTAAAAATATTTTAATGTATAAAAAGGAATATCCTTGCGGCGGATTCTTGCGTGATTCTCTTAATTCAAATTATATTTTTGAACTGTATATTTGAAATGTACGGAGTATGCACCAGAAAATTAAAACCGATCAAAACTTTACACGCAGACCAAACATTTTTTCCAAAAGTCCTATCTACCCGCTTTTTTGAATAGTTAATTTATCAGTGTAAACATGTTACTTTAGATATTTAAAGTACAAATTTCCTTGTATAAAAGTTCTCTGTTTTTTTATTCTTTTTAGTACATACATGTATATGTATACGTTTAATATGTGCGTATGTAAGATACAAATATTAATTTGGATTATCCGAGCTTTTCATTTTCTCAAAAAAATATATAGGGTTGTTGATATGAAAAAAATGTAGTTTAGGGTCGTATATGAAAAACCAAACACCCTGTATAAAAACTGATTCGCGATGGATTCTACATAAAAAAGTGCTGTAAGAAAGATTCCGCCTCTGCAGGAATATGCCGGCATATATTGCTCGTTCCCCACACCTTTCCCCCATTAGATTTATTTTTGTGGGAATACGAAAAAGACAGTTTATGCCAGGCATTCCACAAGAGAAGACATGATGTTGAGAGTAAGAATTGAGCATGTGTTGAAGAAGCGAGAGAAATAATTTGATCTTATTTTTATATAAGTTTGTGTTTTCCAAGTTGATCACTTTGTTGCCTTTTTTTTATTAATTAATTATTTAGATTAGAATCAATGAATGATATTAAAGAATATTTCTCTTGATTTGTTTAAAATTCGATTGTCATAAAATCATGGCCGACTACTAAAAAGATATCTGAAAAAAATGGTATCAATTCAATGAATAGGAACATCTAATATCAAAATATTCCAATTTTGATTCTCCATCAAATCCAAAGAAAATCTCTTAAATTGGGATCTATATGGTCGTATGCAATTTAACTTTTTTTAAGTACACTAAAAGGAATTCCTATTCTTTCTCTATGCACTGGTAAAAATGGGTTGTCATAACTAGAACCGTTTTCAAGCAATCAATTTTCAAAGCATCGTTTGCATCCGCCATTTTTGTTAAGTCAAAATAAATAAAATGTGGGTATCAAAAGAACTGAATTTTCACAGTTTCTAGCCACTTCCGGTACCATTTTGAAAATATTTTACATCGATTTGACTTTCAGAGGAACTCCTAAGTACACATTTTCAAAAAGCTTTTGCTTTCCCAGAAACGTTTATCTAAAGCTTCCAAAAAAGCACCCTGTACAGGGTGCAGAAAAGTTTAAAATATGCAAACATACATACAGTGGTATAATTTTTTGAAATTGCAGAAAATCTATGGTAAACCGAATCAAAGTTCCAATGAAAAAATGTTACATTTGTCTCTGGAGTTAAGGTTGGACAATAGTATACAGGGTGTCCCTCGTGGGTTTGTGTGGGAAACTTTATTATTATTGAGGAAAGCGATTAGGGTAAATGGGAAGAGTTTAAAAACACATAGTGGGATCTGCTCAGACCCCCGCGTAGGGTAGGTGGCAGCTGGTTCTTAAAGGGCACAAGGGCACGTGCCCACTAAACGGCGGAAATAAATTAGCATGTCAATCAGTGCATTATTTTTATTTTTACATAGATTTTATAACGGAGATGATATCAAACTTTCCTTCCGTAGGTTAAGCGCAATGCTGGATCCTGGTTATCTTTGCCATACGCGATTTAACTACGATTTGAGGCACGGAGCTTGGTAACCCAAGTAAGCATTTCACTTTTGTATGTAACATGTTTTATTTTTCGGAAGTTAAGTGTGTGCCGAATTTTTTAAAAACAATTTGACAACTAGACAGTGCTTATTTGCGACACTGAGGATGTGGAAAAATTTTGCGCCGGTGAATTATGTGTACATAAAATTAGCATTACAAGAGAGACATCGGAACCTGTGAAAGTTACTTATCCAAGTAACTCGAGTATCAAGATACTTAAAAACAAAATGAACTTAGTTATAGTTACTAAGTTACTTTGAAAAAATAAACAATTGCATAACTAAAAGTTTTATTTTCATACATTAGTTTTCATATACGTTGTCGTTGTTAACTAAATTTAACCCACAATTCTAAATTAACGAAATCGTGCGTCAACGGGGCGGAAATGGTTTATTCAAAAACAGTGGAAATAATTTATTCATTATATTAACAAATTGTGTAATAAATATTTTCGAGGTTAAGTGGAAGAACAGACGCCGGTAGTCTCCGCCGAACTGAACTTCGCCTTGTAGAAGTGTGTTATTTTATTTTTGGGGATAATTAAAGGCTATATTATTATTATTATCAAAACAAACAGAAAAATGCGTATTCAAAAACAGTATATTTATTATACAACGCGGAAATTTTGTCTCCAGCACTGAACACAACTTCAAAACTACAATGATAAAAAAATTGGTATCAATCTATGTACTTTAAATTTGTGGTCAGTGGCGTACTTCTCTATGGTCAAGGGGGCATATTTTCAAATGTTCAAATGTTGGTAGCGTATACTGCAGGATTTCCCTGTTCATTACTTTTGTCAATGACTGTACATAAAGTTAGCGAAAAAATTCTTCCTATTCAGATCACAGAATTGGTAATGAGGAAGTGTTTTTTTTCTGTATGTATCTGCTCGTAAAGCATCAGAAAAAAATAAAAAAAATTTTCTGGCATATCTTCGGAATCTGAATTTTCTGGTTTTCTTTAAAGCAAGATAATAACTGTTTAATTGTCGGATCTTCGGTGGTTTCTAAGAACCCCATGATACACTCTTATCTTCTACAACATAAAAATTATACTAAACACAAATGTTTTATACGATAGTTACCGGAATCGTGATACTTTACTTACTCAATTAGCCGAAGCATTCAAGATGAAATATTCCTCGCCATATCAGTCATATTCTTACTTCAAAAATTAGCCAAAATTTATTATTTTAGAAACTATAAATATGACGCTTTTTTTATTCTTTTTTATTGTTTTTTTTTCTTTATTTGTTTTTTGTGATTGTCCGTTTTTTGTGATTGTCCCAGATCTATTAGAATTAGGATTAAAGCTATGACAAAAAGTGTTGCACGTTTATTGTTTTGATACATTAAACTTTAAAAATCAGAATATTAAAATTGATTATTACTGATTCTTTTATTAAATGAACTTCTTAACTGCATAATATCCATTGTATTTGTTTATTATTTATTTATTTTAGAATGATGATATTATTGTGTACAGAATACCAATAAAGTTAATTAAAGGCCGCAGGCCAGCTTGGGGAAAAAGATTTTGATAACAAGAGACGCCTAGATTATTTTCAAATTTCTAAGTTTGCCGCCAGAGGGCGTATGATTCATGATTAAGTAGAAAATTGATTTTTTTTCCAAAATATACCTAACAATCATGCATACTCTTTGTGTATTGTGTAATCATATCTTACTTGAATAGTCTTTTTAGTAAACGTGTAAACGCGTTTGAACATTAACATCCATTTCAAACGAGATTTCACATGGAACAATGTAATCATTACATCATACGCATACATAACTTTCTCGATCTCCTGGTAGGTACAATGGCTCACTGAAATGATCTGATTTTTATATTTATTTTTAATTATAAATAATATCCTGCCATGCTCTAAAACACATAAGCTCCAGGCAAAGTTTAAGACCCGACTAAATAATCTGGTTTTCCAGACTTGCATAGGTTTTTTCTACTGCACCTTTCTAGCTCTGAGAAGGGCCTTTTTCCAGGTGTTGTTGTAGAACTAATTGATCTCTCTCTCTGCTCAGACGGTCCTACAATTCTACGGAAAAAATGTAAGAGCTTTGGAAAGCACTAAAACACCTATAAGATTATTCACTGTTTTTTGGAGCATTCGGAAGCTTTCCAAATTTACCTAAGTGCATTTCATTGTTTTCTAGACGAGTGAGAGAGATAAACAATTCTTGAAAGTGCACAAAAACCCCTTCACGTTTTGAAAACAATGTTTACTAGCCACTTTGTGTAGTTTGCATATTTAAACAGTCACACCGAAATATAGGTATTTTGGAAAACACTAAAAAGATGTTTTTTTTTGTAGCAATATACACTGTGTTCAAGATAACGATGTCTAACATGAGGATCTCGAAGATATGGTCAAATTATCAACTTCTTTATATGGCCCGTAAAAAAAGGTCATACGAGTAGCATTTTTTATTACGAATACAACGATGTATGGCACACAAAAAAAGCAAAAGATAGAAACTGTGGGTTCAACAGAACTGTGCACCCGCCCACAACGCCCCAATCGTGTGAGAATAACTATCAGACAAATCTTCCATTTTCCTGGAAACTTCTCTGATAGGTATTCTTGTACGAATAGGTGATTGTGCGAGGGTGCACCATCCTGTTGACCAAGAGTTTTCAACTTTTATTTTTTTTTGTATGGTACTTGTCCTCTTTTACTGGGCATATAAAAAATAAAGTGGATGATTTCCCCAAATTGAAAATCTCTCAATGTTTTCTTGTAAAGCTCAAATAGTGGCAATGAGAAAGTGATCTTTTATTTTTTTTGTATCTGTTCACATTAGAAAAAAATAAAAACGAGATCGGCAAATTTAAATTTAACTGTTTAATTGCCCAACTAATTTGACCACAGTCGTATTTGCTATGGACACAGTGTATATCAATTTATTTGTTGTTTCGATATTAATCCTCTCATTTTTGTTTACTGGTTAATAAACGTCAAAGTAAATTTTTATTTAGTAATTCTGTCTTCGGTAAAGAGTCTGGAATTGCCTGAAAGTTCACACAAGTTTCTGTTGTAATAATAACCGGATCAAAATGGTGTTAGCACACCGATATAGTCATCGCCAAACAGAACCGTAAACATTTTCGTTTCGAATTAGTCGCGTTTCGGGCAGTGAAGAAAATTATCGTAAACTCGACGGTATTTTCTCCAAATCCCATCCTCCAAAAATTCAATTGCTGGCGCACCTTCGACTGTTTTGTGGAAGTCGGTTCTAGAAACCGTTTTTTTTTTGGCGTTACGCACCGACTGGGGACTGCTCAAGATTTCGGGGAGGGGCTAGGAAAATTCGCTATTTTTTATCGTTTTGGGGGCCGAGAAATTTGTATTCAGTTGGGTCGACGACGTAGAATTGTCGCAGCAATAATTTCCGTATTTAGGTAGCAATATATGATACGTTTTGGTAAATTCATCCTTCCAGAAAACGTCCACGATGATTCGTTGCCCTTGAATTGGAACGTCCTCGAGTGCTGTTTTAGTTTCGTGGTTGGGGAAGGGGGGGGGCTCGCGTGCTACATTCAGGTCCTTCGCCGAGTCGACGGCAGTTTCAATTGCAGAGTATCACTTTATTGAAGATTCTATAAACTGTACGTAGTCGTATCATTAGGTACTAAAACATTTAGTGACTCATTACTGTGTCGCTACTGTGATTCATTTGGCTGTGGTATATTGAAACTGGCCCTCTATCTTTGGCCGCTGGATGTAGCGAGTTGAGCCCGCATTTTCTTCGTTAAGTTACAGCAAATTGATACAAATTTTCACCGGTAGGTGTGTTAGTGGTCACCTAAATGAATGCAAATTGTTGGAATTGTTTCTCTTTGTGGCAATGTATAGGTGAAAGCTTCTCACTTTTTTTCCTATTGTTTTCGATGCGAGCTTTGACCTCTACAGTGCCGCGCCAGTATAAAGCTGTTGTTTAAGTGTTGTTACTTTCAAATATGTATAAGAGCCTTTGTACACCACTATTTGTAAAAATGTAGTAAATGAAATTGTTACGAAAATATAGGCAAAAATACGGCTTAAATGTAAATACGATAATCTTATTTCGGAGATACACCCGCGAGTAAGTGGAAAATGGTGGAGCTTGTTATTAATTTTGAAATGTCCAATTGTTAGCGTTATTTTGTGATATATTTTAAGCGCCTATCCGTCCTACTTTAAAATGAAAAACATCCTTATCGGTGCGCTTGCGCTAATATAAACGTAGCTGTATTTTTGCCCCTCTTTTTTATTGCCCGTCATTATGAAAGACAATGTTGGTTTTGATAGTTTCACTGCCATTCAATTCATGAAAACTATGTAAATATATGTTCTTCGATTAGTTTTTCTACGTTACTCACGGATATCCAATGGAAAGACGTTATTATATAACTGTGATTTATTCGTCGTAAACTACGGCATAAAGGTACAATGTTTCCCTTTCTTTTTATAAAATGTATCGGTGAGTAAGCGTTCAAAACTGATATCATGTACGTACTGAGTAGGTACCATATTGAGGGTATGGGGATTTTAAATCTGTAGGGTTGACTGCTTTGCAGTCCGTCTCGCATCTATATTGTACCTAGGAGCATATTTGCATAAATAAATTCGATATTATATTGGATGGTATTTTAATATACGATAATACAAAAAATTAACAGTTAAAAAATTACGTTCGGTTAACCGGGTACGGACCCGCTCCGGTCGGCGGTTTTATTCGATTTTGAACCGTTTGGCAGCCGCGTTTCATTTCCTCGAGCGTGTTTCCCAGCCCTTTCTTGATCAGATTGAACTCTTGCGTTATTAGCGATATTCGCCCGAATAGATTGTTCAGATTGTTGCCCATCTCGATGACGTGGGCGGTGTTTTTACCAATCTGAAAGTATAAATTAATGAATTGTATGCAACTGGTGATAATTTAATCAATATATATTGCTATTTTGGCGACATGGGGGAACTATAGCGAAATCACAGGAGTAGATATGGGATCACTTGTGCCAGATACACATGACGCACCAGTGAGGTTTTAGCGCACGTGTTCGAGACTTTGCGCATGTGCGTTAAAACCTCACTGTCTGGCGCGTCATGTGACTGGCACAAATGACACTATATCTACTCAAGGTCAAGTTTTTGGTTTTCACAAACTAAGGAATAAGGAAAAAATCTTACAGGTTTAAAATGTACGGGGTTATTCAGTGTATTTAGATCGCGCGTTTATTATAGGAGAAGCGTGGGGTTTATCATAAATCGCCAGAAAATCTAGAGTAAAAAAAAACAAGTGATTATCGCAAAGTTAGTAAGAAATGCAAATTTGGTAAATTTTTAATGAAATATAATCTTGACAGCAGAATAAATAATTCATTATTAATGGTGGTCAAATCCTTTGTTTTGTCATGGCAACTATGATTTGGTAAAACCGAGGGTAAAACAGTTTGATGATATAAACGCAAATATTTCAAAAACAGCTAAAGAAAATGTCACCATATACATTTTTGAAGCCGGAAAAGATTATTCAATTTTTGAAAAATATACAGGGTGGTGATTTGCGTAACGCATCATAGGGATTTCAATGTAAAATTATAACATGCGATTATTGGCTCCCCAAATTATTTTAGAGCAAAAATGTATTAAGGTTTTTTTGTAGAAAAAAATATTTTACGTCAATCAACCGCATTAGTTTTCAATTTTTTGCATAATAAAGACGGAAAATTGGAAAAATAAAACCCGCATCTTTTTCAATAATCTGCGATGCCATGGAATTTTCTGAAACAAAAAGATATCCAGTTATCAATTAGCAGCAGTTCGAAATCGATTTTATGATCGACTTGGTTACTGTCTTGCAGTTAACGGTGATTTATTCGAACATTTATTGTAAATTGTTATATTAGGAAACCGTTTTTAGTAATTTGGTCTTTTTTTATGTTGAATTCGCTGTTCTAAATAGATTACTTTTTGATAGAATTTGATTTGTTTTATAGCAAACATTCCATGGCATGGCGTAGTCTTTGTATTATAAAATTCCATGGCATCACAGAATATTGAAAAAGGTGGGGGCTTTATTTTTCCAATTTTCCGTCTTTATTATGCAAAAAATTGAAAACTAATGCGGTTGATTGACGTAAAATATTTTTTTCTACAAAAAAACCTTAATACATTTTTGCTCTAAAATAATTTGGGGAGCCAATAATCGCATGTTATAATTTTACATTGAAATCCCTATGATGCGTTACGCAAGTTACCACCCTGTATACGGCGTTCCATTCACATTATTCATTTGTTTTTTTCTTTACATTTTTGAGCGATTTTTGATAAACCCCATAATCTTTGTGTTTAAATTTTTTTCTCTCTTATATTAAAGGAGCTGTCTAAATATACGAATTAACCCCATACCTGTATATATTAAGCAGTTGTACAAAACTGATTTTTTTCTTAAACATACTTTTCATTAGTTGTTTACTTCACACTATGTACAGGGTGGTCAGATTTGGTCGTTAGCATTGTATATTTTTTAGATACAATGGTACACGGCAACTCTTAAAGTATAAGTGATGGAAAAAAATTAACCTCGCAGCCTCGATGTATTTTTTTGAGAGAAACTTAGTTGTTAAAAACCAAACTGGCCTACAGTCTTTTGTTTTTTGGGGGGGGGGGGGGGGGGGGGGGGGGGGAAGTTGCATTTTTCTATTTTTAAATAAAAGTCTATAGCTTCTAACTGTGTTTATCACAACAGTTTCTTTGTAGTGATTGTTGCATTACCTGTCGTTTTCAAAATAGATATACGAGGTCAGGTTAAACAGTTTGCGGACCTAATTTCATTTTTTTAATGGAACACCCCGCATATTTTAATCTGAAAAGATAGCTATTAAGTTAAAGGTTTTTATCTAACAATCAAAAAATGCAGCGTTTGCCCATAGCTCAAAAACAAAAGACTGTACATCAGTTAAGCAAGTTTAACGAGTTACCCCATATTAACGAACCATTTGGGCCACCCTGTACAGTGCCAGCATGCACATATTTTCTGGATATTTTTTAACTTTGTTGTCAATAAAAATAATATTTTTATGAAACGAAAAACATAAATATAAATCTTTCGCCCACACTGCAATATTTTCGTGGACATGTAATACAACTTTAATGGTCTGTAAGGTTTAAAAATATGTTTTTATTTTTAACCAACAGACTATACAATTTTTACTCTACTGATAATCTTGTTTGTCCACACCTCCTTTCTTCAAACTGTTTTTTTACGGGACAGTACTAACGTTATTTAGTACTTATTGTAGCACCAGTAGTACCACAAACAGGGAAAAAAATATTTAATACGAAACGACTACAATAAAATATACACGGTGTCCATTTTTCGAGTGCCACTGTGGGGATCTCGCTTATCTTAAGAGATAGAAACTCGGTTAAATTAGGGCAAAGTTGCGAATTTTCGTGCTGAATAATAATTTAAAAAGACATTTATAATATCTTCAATAGTTTTGAAAATATGGCAAAAAATCGAAAATTTCTGATTTTCATTTTTAACTTTTTCATGGTAAACTAATTGTACTAGACATTTCTAATTAACACATTATTCAGACACTTTTTAATGGAGATTTCGAATATGGCATTCCGTTTTTAATAACTTTCAAGATAACGGAGAAACACATGGGAACTTTAGTTTTTTTTATGGGCACCGTTTTGGATTTTAACATTTTGAGATTAGGTCTTTTTTTCTCTTTACAACGATATATCACACATGGTGGTTCAGTATCACATTTTTTCTAAAAATACAATTTTCATTTTTTGGGAAGAGTGCTATGCAAAAAGAAAACGTTCTTTTGTTGTGAACAAAATGTTGACCTATTTCAAGCAGTGTCATTTACGTTTGTGGTAGTTTTATTGCTAAAATATTATTTATTCTTATGTATTTTGTTCTATTTTGAATTATAATTTTCTTGCAAAACGAAGGTTCAATTTTGTTCATATGAAAATCGAATTTTCTCAACACATCTAGTTCCCTGATGCCAACGCTGCAACCGGACATATGCATCAAACTGTCAAACTTTTGTTCACAATAAAAGAACGTTTTGTTTTTCCAAAGCACTCTTCCCAAAAAATTAAAAATTGTATTTTAGGAAAAATGTGATACTGAACCACCATGTGTGATATATCGTCGTAAAGAGAAAAAAAGACGTAATCTTAAAATCTCAAAATTAAAAATGGCGCCCATAAGAAAAACTAAAGTTGCCACGTGTTTCTCTGTCATCTTAAAAGTTATTTAAACCGAGATGTCACATTCGAAATCTCCATTGAAAAGCGTTCGAATAATCATGAAAAAATTAAAAACGAAAATCAGAAAGTTTCGTTTTTTTGTGATATTTTCAGAACTATTGATGATATTTTAAATTTCTTTTCAGATGGTTATTCAGCAAGGAAATTCGCAACTTTGCTCCCATTTAACCAACTTTCTATCTTTTAAGGTAAGCGAGATCCCCATAGTGGCACTCGAAAAATGGACACAGTGTATATGGGACAATACCAGACATGTACGCAATGTTTTTTGATAATTGGTATTAATCCATTGTTTTGGATTATTTTTTATAAATGATAATCTTTTTATTAAAATTCCTTTTATTTGATCCTCGATTATCGATGATGTGATTAATCGATTACTGTCGTAATACGGACATTTTCTCTTGTATGACATATGAATGACAACCAAATTCTGTACAGTTCATTTATTTCTCGGCAAACCTTGAGAATTTAGCTTTAAATTCTCCTACAGGTACGAATTAAACAGTGATCGAAACATGTGAGAGTTTTTTTAATATGATCGTGGAAATAGGTACGGCATGGGAAAAACATCGATAAGGACATCGAGCAAGTAGTGAAAACTGTGCACTCATCAGAAAGGATCCAGAAAAGTCACCAGTACGTTCGCAAGAGGAACTACACGAAAATTTCGATAGGATCCGTATGGACTATGCAGGACCTTTCCAGGGTTATAATTTTCTCGTCGGTAGTGGACGCAAAATCGAAATCGGGCGAAATTAAACCTACATCTAAATCTACCATAAACATTTAGAATTAGTTGAAACAATATTTTTATATTTGAATGTTATCTATAAGAAATAATTATTTATTCATTACTTTGTTTGTATATGATATGTACGAGTACATTCAATTCAATTTTTCCATAGTGTTGGAAGATTCTGTAATGTATTTAAATTTGTTATTTATCAAGTAGTCATTAGTAACAAGACAATAGAAATCTGTCAAAATTTGTTTAATAGAGAATTGAATAAAAATGTATTTTTTTATTTTTCTATCGTCACAAACATAAAAAATGAAAAAAAGGTTTTCGCCTTAAGGCGAATTAGCGCATTATTTTCCATGAATTTATGTGTACAAAGGAAAATAAGTTGTGACTTAAATATTCTTATAAATAAGAAACTTAGTATTGCGCGGTTTGCGCATGCGCACACATGATGTTTAAAATATGCGTCTTTTCTAGGTTAAAATTTTAAAAAATATACATAAAGTTGACATTGCGCAATGCACGCATGCGCACATCTGATCAATATGCGATATGCTTGTCTTTACTAGAAGCATATGGTTAAAATTTCAAAAATGTCTATAAATAAGAATAAGACTCTTACATTCGCTTTCATGCCATCCATAGCGGTCGTGGTTCCATTTACGAACCGATCGGCCCGACTGTCCAAGCTACCGATCAGATCATTTGTCGCGGTCATTTGCTGATGCATCATTCCGATCTGCTTCCAAACCTGATCGACCTCCTGGGCCATTCCCGCCGTCAGATTTACCAAAATTCCCTCGTCGCGGTCCAGGAGCGACGTCTCCAAGTTGTTGAACCTACAAAAACGTCCATTAACGTCCCGAAAGTATTCGAATGTTTACCTCGCGTTCAGCTCCTTCGTTTGCGCCTTAATCAAGTTCGAAACCTCGGTCGACACCTGGTGGACGCCGTACTCGACGCGCCGCTTCGTGTCGACGACGCCGTCGCCGGTTTGCCGCACGGCCTCCTCCAACTTTTGCAAGTTCTCGATTTCGTCGACGAGCTTTCCGAAACTGAGCGCGATGTTCGCGTTCAAATTTTCGCTCAGCTCCTCGACCGTTTTTATTGACTCCAGAAGCTTGGCGGTGTCCGATTTGGAACGCAACTCCTCCAAACTGCTTCGAATTGCTTTGATTTCGCCGAGCGTCGACGAACTGTTGCACTCTGAAAGGTGGAATAATTAGTAAGGCTTTGGGGCGAACTTGCGTATAGAGACCTTGAGTTTTATTCAGCAGCTGAGTTAGATTATCATAGTGCGCGTCTGCAGTTTTCAACGTCTTGGCGTTTTCGCCCAGTTTCTCGTTGATCTCTTTCTGGAGTTCGAGTGTGCTGATCGTGTGGTTTTCTAAAAGTTTCCGACATCCCTCCCGGTCGTCTTCCAATTTCGAGTTGAACTTTTGTAAAAGCTCATTGCTGCTGCTTATGTTTTTCTTGATCGCTTCCGCTGCGTCGCCATGTTTTCGGGTGTTCTCGTGAATTTTTGCAAGATGTGTTTGCATGGTGTCTAATACGTCGTTCGCCGATAGTGTTTTGTTCTCGATGTGCCTTTCTAATTTTTGGACTTGCTCAGTGTGCACTTCCAAAGCTGTAAGCGGCATGGTAGAGATTTTGCTTACACTAATCCAAGCAGTCTCGTGCTGTTCAGATGCGTATCGTCGTAATTGTTAGCTTATAGTTAGTACAAGCGACAGTTTCATGCGTCTGTTACAATGGTGATGGGTTAAAATAAACAATTCATGAGTTATATGGCCTCGTATAGTCTCTACAACGCCTCAGAGGTGGATTTATACAGTAGACTACAGCCTAGGCCGGCTAAAAAATAGGTACTACTCAGCCTATGCGTAATCCACCCCTGCTGCGCCCCCTACCCCCACTCAACTATTATAGAAATTGAGTGCGAGTAATGTTCGCGTGAAGATGGTAACCCACTGATGATCATCTACTGACCTTTAATAATAATGGCAGTTTGATTCTCTATTTCTGATCTATACACCGAAAGGTCCGCTTGACTAGTAACATTTTCAAGTTTAGCTTTAAGCTCATCCACGCACTCGTTATGTTTTTCTTCGATCGCTGTAAAGGGGCGCCACTAAATTTAGGAATTCAGCCGATGTACGAACCTTTCAATTTGGTCTTGATGTCGGTGATCTCCGCCACGCTTCGGTTAATATCTCCGCTAATATTTTGCATACCGGTGGCCAATTTTTCGGTTTTGAGACCTTGAGTTTTTATGGCTGAAATTTTGGCGTGATTTTAAGCTAAATCGGTGAAGTGTCGAACCTTGGTAAATGATCGAGGATTGTTCGGCGGCCTCCATTTTTATCCGTAGGGGCAGTTCGTTCGTCTTGTCGATGCTCTCGTTGAATTTTCGTTCTACAGTATCCGAAATTCTATTGAAGCCACTTTGGACATACGCCTCCAACTCTGTTAAATGGTATTTCACCCGGAGATCTAGTTTCACTATAAGCCGAGGTGAGCTCACCTTTAATCAGAGTATCGCCCCCATCCCTTTGGATTTTTTGCCATTTGAGGTTAGCCTCTTCGAGATCATTATGGATATCGGTTTTGACAGAATCGAGGCCGTTCGTGAAGTCTCGGGAGTGCGATTTTAACGCTAAATGTGGGCGTGGTAACGCAAAGTGTCGTAGGAGACAGATTTGTCTTAGTGTGCTTAATTTGAAGTGGTTTTACAACGCACACTGAGTCAAATCGGAATCCGTATTTAAGGCTATGATAATTCATTTCAAAGTCCTCGTAAACTACTAGTCGAAAAAATCCACAATTCGTCTCGGAATCCATCCTTATAAATAACTTATAAATTAAGATGGACTGCTGATCAAACAGTTGCATAGAGGTAGAAATGGCCCTAGCATGGGCGCGGCCATGATGTGCACGTTTTAGTAATTTTCTAGGGGAATTTTCCTACTGCTCAAGTTTTGAGACTATTGCAGCCTTGGCAAATGACATGTGTCACAGTAATTTATTTAGATAACGTGAGGTTAATGCTTGTTTATTAGTTGATTTGAATTTCGCGCCAAGTGTGTGCACATCATGGCTGCCCCCATGTAGGTGCCATTTGTCAATTCAGCATTAGCAGTCCATCTTAATTTATAAGTTCGTGCAAAAACACGTTTGCGACTTGAAAAGGTATTACCATAGCCATTGATCTGTGCCATAGCTATACAGGCTGTTTCACGCAAACCGTTACCTAAAAGTATTCAGGCTTTGATTAATAATTTAAATCTGAAAATTGGCATACTAGTCAGGGAGACATTTCTGAAAAGTGCATGTGTAACGGCGTTTTGTGCTACAAACTGGCAACAGGCGGTTCTAGACTAATTGGCTCCCGCTGAAACCGATGAGCCCTGTTGCCAGACCCGATTTTGGCATTTAAGCCCTTAAATCCAAGATGGCGGGCGAAATTACCGTATTTCGGTTATTTCAAGCCCACAAGGCACGCTACTGAACGTTTTGGGTAGTTTAAGGGTAGAATATCATGTAGTACACACGTCGACATCGTTTAGGTACACTTTCGTATTCATATTAGGGGCCTAAATGCCAAAAATCCGTTTAAAAACGTCATTTTTTTTCTGGCCGGTTGTCGGCTCCAATATGTATTCATACGGTAAAGTTAACATTTAAGTAGGTAAGTGGGGATCTCCAGCAGCGCCATCTGGAGGTCCCCACGCATACTTAAATGTTAACTTGACCATATGAATGCATATTGGACGCCGACAACCGGTCAGAAAGAAAAAAATGATGAATTTTTGCATTTTTGACGTTTTTAAGCGGAGTTTAGGCATTTATGCCCTTAATATGAATACGAAAGTGTGCCCAAACGGTGTCGTCGTGTGTACTAGATGTTATTCTACCCTTAAACTACCCAAAACGTGCAGTGGCTGCCTTGTGGGCTCGAAATAACCGAAAAAACGGCAATTTTGGCCGCCATCTTGGATTTAAGAGCTTAAATGTCAAAATTGGGTCTGGCAACAGGGCGCATCGTTTTCAGCGGCCAGCGGGGGCAAATTAGTCTAGAACCGCCTGTTGCCAGTTTGTAGCACAAAACGCCGTTAGACATTTTAGAGAGCCTTTTTCAGAAATGTCTCCCTGACTATACCAACATGTCTTTATGATCTATCGAAAGAAAATATTATGATCGTTTCACTTCCGGTTCTACCGGATATCGATAGCAACTTTCTTATTTTAAATAGAACACTCTGTATTTGGTTGCATTTTCGAAACCTACATGAAAATCTACGTCGTTTGATACCACATTTCCCTATACCCAGTATCAAAGGTTTTCAAGTTATTCAAAATTTTTGACGTTTTGACTGCTAACCTTTTGAGACCAGTATTTAGGACTCGTTGATTTGTATTTTAAAAATCGATAATACTGACATGATGCTGCGTAACATTGATTTAAATTTTGATCGCCCTTCTACAGGGTGTTTCAAAACTAATGGCCAACTTAAACCTTAAAAAGTTGATTTAATGAAAGTTTATTTTTTTGCATTTTCAAATGTCGAAAAAATTCTACATCAATGATTACATTCCCTATACCTCTCTGTTATGGTTTTCGTTTTATTTCAGATAAAATTGTGACCGTTTATATCCATAATTTTTTTAGGAGGCCTTGAAATAATTGCGTTTGAAAGTTCAGGTCTACTTTTTAAGGTTTTAAGTTTATAAAGTTGGCCATCAGTTTTAAAACACCCTGTAGAAGAGCGACAAAATTTAAATAATTGTCACGCAGCATCAAGTCAGTACTGTCGATTTTGGAATATTTTTTTAAATGCAAGTTAACGGAGTCATAGGTACCGGGATCAAAAGGCTAGCAGTCAAACGTCAAAAATTTTGAAAAATCTTGAATAACTTGAAAACCTTTAATGCTGGGTATAGGGAAATGTGGTATCAAACGACGTAGATTTTCATGTGGGTTTCGAAAATGCAATCAAATACAGGGTGTTCTATTTAAAATAAGAAAGTTGCTATCGACATCCGGTAGAACCGGAAGTGAAACGATGCAGATTTAATTTATCAATGAAAGTCTGAATACTTTTAGGTAACGGTTTGCGTGAAACATCCTGTATACTATTGTACCTTCCATTATTGTAGTATTGAGCGCTTTCATTTCCAGTTCCTCTAAGATTTCATTAAGCTTGCCTTCCTGATCCTTTGCACGTTTCCTCGCATCATCTACTGACTTCTTTATGAACTCCGGAAAGGCTAGAGGAATATTGGTACGTTTTGGTTTAGGGCGTTAGCGGAATTACTCACTAGTCAAGTTCCTCACGGTGCCCTCGATTGCCGCCACGGTACTCTGACTGGCGCACTCTTCAAGAATAAAATAACTTTACCCCACCCACCACTTCTAGCATACATTTATGTGAAGTGCAAAAATATGCGAACCAACCTTGCATTATCGCCTCGTGCCACTGAGTGTTGTCGACCTTCTGGCCCAACACGAATGCGTCCATCCTGTTCGTGAACTGCTCCAGTTGGGAGCTAGTGATGCGCTCCAAGCGATCGTTGATGTTCGTGGCGGCCGTCGTGGCAATGAACAACATTTGCTTTTCAATTGCTGAAAACGCTTTTGGTAGTTTTATATTTACGGGGGGGGGGTTTTTGTACTAACTTTGAACGAGCTCGTTTTGCTTCGGTTGCCGTTTGAGCAACTCCACCACGGTTGTGTTCAGTTCTAAAAGTAGGGTCTTAACCCAATAGCGCTCTTATACGATTACAAACCTTTCAAAGCGTTAGTTTGGTTTTGGGTGAGTTCTTTCTCATTCAGGAGAGCTTGATCGCAACGTGACCTGCTGTCCATCGTTGCACCATCAATGTGATGCTTAATCGCTGTAAGTGTAGCTGTTTTCCTCCACAATTTGAGTCATAAATTACGTACCTTCTAACAACATTTGGGTTTGCTTGTCATTCTCAACCTTGTGCTTCCATGGCAGTGCGTCCATTTTGTCATTGTAGTCTACTAGCTCACTTTCCTGTCGTTGTAAAATAGTCTTACTTTCGATCAAGGCTTCCTTAACTTCGCCGCTGTGGGTTTTCAAATCTACCAGAAAATATATGCACTTTGCTTTGTGACTCAAAAACGTAAGAGGGTAAAAATTGAAAGAAAACGCTTGGGGTCTTAACAAACCTCGTATAATATCATCCACCTTCGCGATCAGACTTTTCTCACTGGCTCCCACTGCCTCTTTGATCGTCATTGACACTAAAAATTTGTTCCAGAAATTGCATTGCATCAAAAAACCGTATAAGACCTTCAGTAGCATGTTCGATCAACGTTTCAATCGCATCCCAGCGAAAATTGGAGTTGGATGTCATCAATTGGAGATTTTCAAGCGCCGAAGATCTGGTCTCGTTCAATTGCACCAAAAGCGCTGCGAATTCGTATCGTCATTGGCTATTTCGATATCGCTCCGTACAATACAGACCTTCAGCGCTCGCTCGGTTTTGCGAACGAGTCCGATCGACACTATCGGCCAACTTCGAAAGGCTCTCGCTAGTAATCAAATTGTCCCTCTGTAAAATGTTCGTAAGATCTGCAATGTTTAATGTGATGATTGCATGCATACAGTCATCGGTCATAAAATTGACTGTGCGGTGTAATCTTGTTAACATTAACGATTAACACAAACTCCCCCAAGTTCGCTAAAAACAAACCTTTTTTTAACAACTCAGTTTGGTTGCCGCACGCTTGCAGTTGATCCCTTTGCACTTGTAAAGCTGGAATGTAGACGGCTAAAAATCGCGTAACGAAACCTTCACTAACCTTCCAGTATTAAATTTCGCTCCGTCCTGCTTTCGATCGAGATGTTAGTGGCGCCCTCCATTTCGCGACTCAGAACTGAAAAAGAGAAAGGTAACTAAAAGCCAATTTCCACCGAGAGCACATCCAGTGGAAGTTTGCCTTTAGCAGACCTTTAACGATTTCGTCTCCTTGCTGCCGTTGATTTTGCAAAACCGCTTCGAACTTCTTCGCCAATTCGTGATTGAGTACTACAACACCATCAAGTTTGTTACAATTTCGGCTTCTGCTCATTCACCTTTCAGAATTTCGTCTGTGTGTTGCTTCTGCTGCTTGGGGATCTCGTCAATGTGTTTACTGCATTCGGTTAAACGTTCCTTCTGCAATTCTAACAGTTTCCTTATGTTTCCTTCGGCCGCGTCTATTTTTTTGGGTAGCTCGAGGTTGAGAGCTAAAAGTGATTAGGTCTAAGTCACGGTGGGTGGGGGGGGGGAGATCGACGGACCTTTTCCTATCTCCTGTTTAATCTTAGGAGTTTCCTCGCCCATTTTTCTCAATTGATCATTGATCTTCGTCTCCATTTTCTTCAAGGCATTCTGTACAAGTTCCGATTGGTTTAGGAGGAGGTTGTCTGTGTTACAAAGATGAGAATTTTGAAATATTGAGTGTTAACAAACCGTTGTTCGTTAATTTGGGTAGTAGATCCAGTTTGTCGATGATTTTTACATGTTGTTCTGGTAATTTGGTATTCAAATCGTTTAGTTCTTTTTTAAGTTGCTTTAGGCCTGCGTCATGCGTTTGAAATGCTGCAAAATTGTTATTTATCTACGCAAGAAAATTACGTGCGCTAACTAGCTCAAGACAACATCACGTGCGAGTGTTAAAAATATCACACACAATCTCAGGTAGCACCGATATTCTACGAATATTGTTAAAACCGCTCCTAAATGAATCCCCCAGGAATATCCTAAAGTGAATATTCAAGGAATAATTATATTGGATATTCCATGATTATTTCCTGAAGAGTATTCCAGGAATATTTTTAGCGGAGGTTCGTAATGTATTGACAAGAGTGGATAAAGACATTTAGCGTGGTACTCCTACTTTCTTAATTTTGTCACTGGTTAAACTACAATAAATATTTTAATGTATAAATATCATCAGTATTTCATTGAGAATATTCCAAGTATAATCATAGTTAATTGGTTAGCGTGATCACGTTTTATAAATTTTGAGAATATATTTGCAGATATATTCAGAATAATCATATTATATATTTATCAGAATATTCCTAGAATGTTCTGTGGGCGGACATAAGACATACTATGAATATATTTACGGTATATTCCAAGAGAATGTTGAGATATTCCTAGAGGAATATTCTCAGAATATTTTTAGAATAAATTGTGCTATCTGAGATATGCAGATTGGTTTCGCGCAGGAAGGTGATGACAGATCAATTGAGACAATGAAGGTTACCATTTCCGCTACCAAAGTGCACTTGAGCTAATTAGTAATAAAATTATGCGTTAGAAGGTAGCTTTGAATTCGCATTTCACCCGAATACTACTTTTTACCATTTGTAGTAGTTGGTAGTAGATGTGTCTCGTCCAAAAGTTCCACTTGCCCTTTATGAGTAGTACCCTCTTCCGACACTGTCGAGATATTCGTTTCGACCTCGCCGGCGTCTACGAGAAGAACTGGGGTTGGTAAAAATTGGTCCCTTCGTTAAGACCTTGGAAGGATAAATCCACTCCCTCACCCCTGATTTTGATAAGGGGTATGGCAGAAGGGAGATAATTAGGCAGAAAACAGTTCCTTTCGTTGAGACCTTTTATTAGAATACCATGAACGTTAAACCAACCCCGCCCCCCCTCTTCACCCTTTCATCTCAAAAATGGGCCACGAAAAAAGTTTAATTTGTATAAACTAAGACCCTTCTTTAGCCTGCCATGAACTCGTGAATGGTAGAACGTGTGCCCCCCCTCTCATTTTCAAAATTTTACTTGGAACCTCTAGAGGTGCGCGCATCCAAAATCTGAGGCAAATTGGTCGTAGTGGTTTTACTTTCAGACCTTAATACAACGAAATTTGAAGGTACGCCTTCAAGGTATCTATCTATCGCACAAAAATCTAGAAGTCTATGACAAATGTCCTTAAAAGTAGCTCAAAACCACAGAAATTGGTCCGGACGGACAAAATACAAACAATACCATATTTATTTCATTTAAAAAAAAGCGTTTTCGCCTTAGGGCGTAACGCATTTTCCATGAATTTGATCGGTACTTCCCGAAAGCTCATATAACGGACTATTTATGTGTGCAAAGGAAAATAAATTATAGCATAAATATTCTTATAAATAAGAAACACACTTGATGTTTAAAATATGCGATATGCTTGTCTTTACTAGAAGCGAATGTGCTTAAAATTTCAAAGAAATATCTCCATAAATAATAAAGTTGACATTGAATCGTAGTTTGCGCATGCGTACATCTGATTTTCACAATATGCGATATGTTTTGAATTTGGGGGGGCGTCATATAAATAAACGAACCATGAAAAAATTAGGGCGAATGTGCTAAACCGAGCAGGTGGATAACGAAACTCGTCTTTTTCTTCGGAAATGAGCGCCCAATTTCTTCGATTTATTATTATTCGAACGCTTTTTTATACGAAATATAAAAAATTACTCTTCAATAAAAAGGAACTAGAAAATGCCAGCGACTACGCTGCTTCTTAATTTATCAAGCGAATGCTACATCGAACGTGGGTGGTATGTACAGGGTGGCCAAATAAGAATGCGAGGTACTGTATCTGGGAACCTGTCCATCGTAGAGGCTTGCGGTAAAAAAATTTATTACTAAAACGGCCACGAGAAAAACCTGGAAAATATTTTTAAGTTTCTGCAATGCCCGCTAGGGGGCGTAACTGCAATCTGGAATTTAAAAAAGTGATTTTTCTGTGAATTCCGCTATATTAACCTAACAAAAAAATGTCCGGTCTTTGAAGACGACGATAATCTGAACCTTTTTTGTTTGACAATTTTTCCTGTATCTCTAAAAGTGAAGTGGTGGGGGGTATTCAAAGGTTTCCGTAAAGAACACCCTGTATCTTCGAAACGACTGAGCCGATTTTAACAAACTCGGGTTAATTGAAAAGGGTTATTCTTCGGCTACATATATTATAATATTTGAAGTTTTGTTAGTTTCACATATCGCCGCTTGAGGGCTTTTTTCGACATTCCGACAGAAATGGTAAATTTTCTCAAAAAAATTAAATGCGTTGGTTTGATTTTTTTTTCATGAAAAAGTAGCTAAATGATGCCTGAACAAGCTCGCGAAAACCGCATCTCGATATCTTGTTCCTAACCTAAAATTTAGGCCAAAGAAAAATGTATACCCTCAAAATTTTAATTTTTTTAAGCTAATTTTTCCGGAATTCTTTTTATTATATAATTTGTGGTCCTAAGGTGGATCGATTTAAAAAAGGAAGCTTTTTATGCCGTCGTAAATGCTCGAAATGCTGGCCATCACGATATAAAAAAAGATAATATATCTCAAGATATCGAGATGCTGTTTTCGCGAATTTATTTAGGCATCATTTAGCGACTTTTTCATGAAAAAAAAATCAAACCAATGCATTTAATTTTTTTGAGAAAATTAACCATTTCTGTCGGAATGTTCAAAAAAGCCCTCAAGCGGTGATATGTGAAACTAACAAAACTTCAAATAGCATAATATTTATAGCTGAAGAATAACCCATTTCAATTAACCCGAGTTTGTTAAAATCGGCTCAGCCGTTTCGAAGATACAGGGTGTTCTCTACGGAAACCTTTGAATACCCTCCACCACTTCATTTTTAGAGATACAGGAAAATTTGTCAAACAAAAATTGTTCAGATTATCGTCAACTTCAAAGAACGGACATTTTTTTGTTAAGTTAATATAGCGGAATTCACAGAAACATCACTTTTTTTAGATTCCAGATTGCAGTTTCGCCCCCTAGCGGTCATTTCAAAAACTTAAAATATTTTCCAGGTTTTGCTCGTGGCCGTTTTACTAATAAATTTTTTTACCGCAAGCCTCTACGATGGATAGATTCTCAGATACAGTACCTCGCATTTTTAGTTGGCCACCCTGTACAACGTGAAGTATACCGTACAGGCTTAACTTATAAATACACAGCGCTATTAATTAAAAAGTAGACATACGGATGTATATGGATTGTTTTTCCTATGTCTACTTTTAAATGACAAAATCGTTTCTGAAGGGCGCCTAATTTTATGCAACTAAAATAACTTCTTAAAACAAATAAAGATCTGGCTGTCACATTTGTTGCTTTGGGATGTGCGATGTATTCAACTGAAGAAGTTGATATTTTCAACTGATATAGTGCCGATAACAGTTTAAGGAGCGTAAAAGATTTATTTTCCGTTAAGTCAAAACAACAATATTCAAACCAGCCAGATGTTTATTTGTTTTAAAAAGTTATGTTAGATGCATAAAATTAGGCGCCATTCAAAAGAGATTTTTAAAGTCACTAAATATAGAAAGTACCGCAATCCATTGGGCTCGTGTGTTAGAGAGAGAACGCATGATTTTTGCCCAAAAATGGCGGAAATTACCAGATTAGAGTAACTTTAATGTTAGGGATTGTTCCACCTGTTTGGAGATATCTGTGTATATTCTTATAAAACATGACAGTACTATGAAGTTAGGTTATAAAAAATTACAGCTATTCAGATTTTATTTGTCAATTTTTTTAAGTTGGCAGCAAATTTGCCCAAAAATGGTGGATGATTGAGGTACTTTTTATATCTAGTGACTTTAGAGATTCTGTCTTTTAAAAGTAGACATAGGGAAAAACAACACACGTAAATCCCTAAGGCTACTTCTTAATAAATATCACTGTATATGAACGGACAGATGTACAGTGTCCACGTAAATATTAGGCAACTCGGTTGCGAATTCAAAACTAACCCCACGCAAAAAAAAACATGCAAAACTCCTACCCTTCAGCAGTTCCTTCGTTTGCGCTTCAGTCTCATTTTTGTACGTCCCCGGTATAGCGTCAATTTTCTCTTTGTACGTGCCCAACTGGCTACCGTAGCTCTTGTAATTCTGCTTGCTGTCGTTCATGAGCTCCTTGAGGTTGTCCTTTACGTCCTTCTGGCCGCTCTCCAGGTTGTCATGAATCGTGACGATTTTATGCTGAAGCTCCCTAATTGTGGCGTTCGCGCCGCTGATTTCCGCCTGCATTTTTTTTATGTGCAGCTCTTGGTTTTGTAACGCCTTGAGGATGACGTCCGTCTGAGTGTCGGTCTCCTGTTTGCATCTCGTGGGTAGAACGTCAATGTGCTTGTTGTACTCGTCCAGCTTGGTATCATACTGTTCCATGAACTTGTGGGTCCCGCTGAAGTTGTTTTTGTTCTCCTCTCGTATCTGGGACAGTTGCCCTTCGATGTTTTTAACCGTGCTCGAGGTGTGGTCGATTTTTGTCGCGATTTCTTTTTGGAGCTTTTCGAGTTCTGCATTATGGGGCGCGTCCTGAGGTTTTTCTTCGGTGCTCGAAAACTGAAGCGCAATTAAGGCGTTACAGGATACGCAAAGAGTTTAGGTTACCTACCGAAGACGTTATGTCATTCTTTAACGTTTCGAACAGCTGCGGTAGACTTCGATGGATCTGCTCCACCATGTCAAAAACTTTCTGGACTTGAATCCGCTCTCTTTCATCTTTCTGCAGGAGAATGGTCTCGACGGTGGCCAACCTCTGATCGAGTCTACCTATCGTTCCTCTCACCGAATCTAATTGTTTTTGACGTTTGTCAATATTTGACAGGACTCTTTTGAACTGATCTCCCAGAGTTTTTTCTCGAAATTCGTGTCGTTCTAGCTTATCTTCCGTGGAACGGATTACGTTGACCATTGATAGGATGGCATCTCGAATGTCTTCATTGCTAGAGTAATCAAAATAAATCAAAAATGTGACTTTACGTATATTTCTGTAAAATAATGTAAAAGTACACAATTATCAAAATTCTTCTCCCCCCTCGCCTTCGCCCTCGCCCGAATCCATCCCGACTTCTTCGTAGTCCTTCTCTAATGCGGCGGTATCTTCTCGCGCTTCCGAAAATTCACCCTCCTCCATTCCTTCGCCCACGTACCAGTGGACGAAGGCACGCTTGGCGTACATCAAGTCGAACTTGTGGTCGAGCCGTGCCCACGCTTCCGCGATGGCGGTGGTGTTCGATAACATGCAAATTGCACGTTGGACCTTGGCCAAGTCGCCTCCTGGTACAACAGTGGGTGGTTGATAGTTAATGCCCACTTTAAACCCAGTCGGGCACCAGTCGACAAACTGAATGGTACGTTTAGTCTTGATTGTGCCAATGGCCGAATTTACGTCTTTGGGCACGACATCGCCTCTGTACAAGACAACGCACGCCATGTATTTACCGTGCCGTGGATCGCACTTGACCATCTGATTCGCAGGTTCGAAGCACGCGTTTGTCAGCTCCGGTACGGATAGCTGTTCGTGATAGGCCTTCTCCGCCGATATCACCGGAGCGTAGGTCACCAAGGGAAAGTGAATTCGAGGGTAGGGAACGAGGTTTGTTTGAAATTCCGCCATGTCGACGTTGAGGGCGCCATCGAATCTCAACGACGCGGTGATTGAACTGATGATTTGGGCCAGTAAGCGGTTAAGGTTGGTGTAGGTGGGCCTTTCGATGTCCAAGTTTCTGCGGCACACGTCGTAGATTGCCTCGTTATCCACCATGAAGGCGCAATCTGAATGTTCCAGGGTGGTGTGAGTGGTCAAGATTGCGTTGTACGGCTCGACGACTGCGGTCGAAATTTGGGGCGCAGGATAGATGGCGACTTCCAATTTTGATTTTTTCCCGTAGTCCACGGAGAGCCTTTCCATGAGCAGGGAAGTGAATCCCGAGCCGGTGCCGCCTCCGTACGAGTGAAAAACTAGGAATCCCTGCATTCCGGTGCATTGATCCGCTAGCTTTCGCAGCCGGTCGAGGACCAAGTCTACGATTTCCTTGCCGACGGTGTAGTGCCCTCGGGCGTAGTTATTGGCCGCGTCTTCCTTGCCGGATATTAGCTGTTCGGGGTGGAATAACTGGCGGTAGGTCCCGGTGCGCACTTCATCTACGACCGTCGGCTCCAAATCGATCATCACCGCTCTTGGTACGTGTTTTCCGGCTCCGGTCTCACTAAAAAAGGTGTTAAAGCTGTCGTCTCCTCCACCGACCGTTTTGTCAGACGGCATTTGCCCATCGGGCTGAATGCCGTGCTCCAGGCAGAACAATTCCCAACATGCATTTCCAATTTGGACACCGCCCTGACCTATGTGTACATTAATTACCTCACGCTGCAAATCAACAAATAAACCTCCACCACCCCTAAATATTTATAACTTACCATTGTAAATATAATAAAAAAATATAATATATAAACGCAAAAAACGCGACGATAAAAAAAACCGTGTATAACTGTTACAAAATTTTATAACATTTACATCCGTTACCAGGTTACCCTCAATTGTTTCCCATAAACGCTAGATTTTCCTAGTTTATTTCGCATTCTCGGTCTTGATTCAGAATTTAATTCCGGAAACGTCCCATCCTTGGGGGTAAACGAACTTGAGTATTTTTAAACCCGCTGCTATTTTCGAACTTTTCGAAAATATGCAGGATGCAAGAGATGCGCGTCGTTATTATTACAAATTTAAAAACCATACTTACGTCACGGACCGGGGCGCTCCATCGGCCTGAAAGACGCACACAAGCAGTACGAAGAAAATACCACCCCGCACGCACATCATCCGAATTATAGCACTAGAAAAAATTTTGCCTTATTCCGTCGTTTATTATCACTCGATATTTACGTTAGATAAGTATCGATAGTGGTTGACTCTATGAACTTTAAGTTCAATGATTTTTTTATATTTGTATTTGTTCCAGCAATTAATAGAACGAAGCGGGTTTTACTCTCGTATAATGCGGGTTGCTTTAATTATCATCTCTTAATTGATTAATGTCTTCGTTACCACAACACACACAGTCACAAATGTACTAATTAACTCTTCTGCGCTTCCGCGTTAATAATGGATTATTAGAATTTTAAAATGCGACCGCAAAAGACCGCCTCTGTACCTCTGCCATCTACCGTTTTATCGCCGAGATGGCGGGTGAGGGGCTTAGTCACGAGATTCAGTGATAATACTTCAACGAATGTAAAATTTACTTCATTCTGATGGAACTCGTGTAATTATTTCGCTTTTTGCAGGAAATGACTATAACTTGACGTTAGGTATTGCTGGCCTCTATTGCAAGCAATGCCTGCAATCTATGAGAATAAAGCAGAGGACAAAACAATTACGTAGCGTGACTTTTGGCATAATAGGGTAAGGGAAAGATGGTACCTACTTGGCCATCTGTATTCTCGCGTCTTCACATATAATAGTAATATAGGTACTGATATTTATTAAGAAGTAGATGGAGGGGTTTACATGTATTGTTTTTCCCTACGTCTACTTTTAAATGACAAAATCTCTTCTGAAGGGCGCCTAAAGTAGGCAACTGTCTATGGTCAAATATTGCAAGGGATAACATTACAACAAAACAATGAAACATATTGTGGCAAAATATTAGTAGTGGCCCTTTTTGTATTGGCGGCAGAGAGTAGCTTGCCGAAAAGGGACAGATCCTCTCAGGTCGGCATAGGAGTAACCTGTTAAATTTTGTCACCTAGTTTAAGTCAACATTTCTATCTCGTCTTAAAGTTGTACACTAATTTAGGTGTTTTATTAAGGCCATCGTGATTGTAATTCAGGTCAGAAGCGGAATAGAGCCTATCGCACTCTCGGGAGTTCAGTGAAGTGAATTTTGAAGGAATTGCGGAGGCCATAAGTGTTCTAGGGAGTACTGCTGAGTCGAGGGAGAATAAGCAGGATACCAATGTCTGGAAGGAATTCTGGGTTTCGGTGAGGAAGAGGGTTTGGAGTTGCGAACCGAGGTAAATTCTGACGAGAGAGCGCGACGCTCTCGCAGGGAATGTAGGAACGGCAGGAGTCAGGGTGGGACAAGCTTAGGAGGTGTCTAAGAGAAGAAGCGTGATGCCCGATTTAACTTGTGGGTTGAGTGTGTACCAGGATATGAATAATTGGCTGACGGATGTGAAAAACATGGCGGGAAGGCAGTTATGGAGAAACTTTATATTTCATCCCACAATTAGAGGACTGTATAAAACAGAAACAAGATGGAGAGGTTTACGCACAATGTAGGTACGTGCAACCAATTGTACATGAATGCAAAAAACTAGCATTCAGTTCCTGGGCATCACCAAATTTGAATTGTCTAGGGAAAACTTTTAAGCCAATATTGCTGAGCAACTCTGTATATATACTGGAGCGCTAACGTCTCTGCGATCTCGTCGTTTCTACCTTTCGGTTCATTTACTTTTAAATCTTTAATTTGTATTACCCGGTACATTATTACGTACATACATGCCAATATATCTATGAAGCAATTGGTACACGTGCGCCATCTCTTTGATAATCGCTACACTTTTCCAAATAATTTTCTTGTAATAGTTGAACAAGTTTCAATGAGATGTCGCCACGTGCGTACCTATTTTCTAAAGAACATTTCTAGATAATCAGAGTCTGAGAAGGGTTGATTGCATTAAAGATCTTGGTGTGTACTTTCAATTAATAGCCACGGCGTCCGCGTCCCACTCAATTTTCCTTAAATGGCAGTTGAAAATGTGCCATCTCTTGTACGATCTGCAAAGCAATTGTACTTCAATTATCCAGTATTTGGAAGTGTCTTGTGTAAGCAATTGGTACACGTGCGCCATCTCTTTGATAATCGTTACACTTTTCCAATTAATTTTCTTGTAATAGTTGAACAAGTTCCAATGAGATGTCGCCACGTGCGTACCTTTCAATTTATTCAATTAATAGCCACGGCGTCCGCGTAAGCAATTGGTTTTGATCTAGTAGCCCAATCTTGGAACTGTTCAAAAATCCGGCCCGTTATTTTTCTGTTCGGTATGCCTAAAACATATATACAAAATTTCAACAAAATCCGTCGAGCCGTTTTCTCAGAAAATTGCCAACAAACGTACGTACGTACATACGTACTAGGAAAAAAATTTTATTCTTTAAAAGTTGCTTAAAATGGTCTAAAACCTCGACATTTGATGAAATTTTGAAATGTTCAAAAAACGGCTATCGCAATAGCTACCTAGGTATGGAGTAGGTACACCTGTGATCTTCCTCCCTGCGATGTGTTCAATTGGTTTAACAAATTTCAATCCTACCTATCATGAAATAATTTAAATGAATGGGTAAAAACTTCAGTAAAGCTGCGTGTAAAATGAAAGCAGATCAAAGGGTCCCAAGTAATAGTTTTCCCTAATTTTTAGTTTTCGGTTATGTTATATAAAGTATTCAAAATAAGCGCCTTCCAATAAAGTGGCGACATCTCACAGAAAGATGTTCAGCTATCACATGAAAATGATTTTGGAAAGTCTAACGTTTATCAAAGAGATGGCGCATATACCAAATGCATAAACAAAGGACAATTCCAGATACTGGAGTATTGAAGTACAATTGCTCTACAGATCCTACAAGAGATTGCACATTTTCAACTGCCCTTTATGGAAAATTGAGTGGGACGTGGGCGCCGTGGCTATTAATTGAATAAATTGAAAGGTACGCACGTGGCGACATCTCATTGGAACTTGTTCAACTATTACAAGAAAATTATTTGGAAAAGTGTAGCGATTATCAAAGAGATGGCGCACGTGTACCAATTGCTTTAACAAAAGACATTTCCAAATACTAGATAATTGAAGTACAATTATTGCTCTACAGATCCTACTAGAGAATGCACATTTTCAACTGCCCTGCCCTGTACTGTAACTTTTGTGCCTGTAGAATCCATAATTTCAAACAGTTCCAAGATTAGGCTACTAGATCAAAAGTTACAGCCCTTTGAATTTTCTTACGAAATTGCTCTCTATAACTTTTTTTTGAGAAATCTAATCGAAAAAGTACGAATCGTTTTGAATTCTACGCACCAAAATTAATAAGAAAAAGTGTTTTCCCAAGAAATTTTGGTGCAGTCGATTTTTGGTAAAAAAGGAAAGTTATACACTGCCTTTTTTTGGCCTGAAAAAAAATTGTCTCAGATCGACCAGGAAAAAACATTTTCTTATAGAATGTGGCCTGTAGAATCCATAATTTCAAACAGTTCCAAGATTGGGCTACAAGATCAAAAGTTACAGCCCTTTGAATTTCATTACGAAATTGCTCTCTATAACTTTTTTTTGAGAAGTCTAATCGAAAAACTACGAATCGTTTTGAATTCTACGCACCAAAATTAATAAGAAAAAGTGTTTTCCCGAGAAATTTTGGTGCAGTCGATTTTTGGTAAAAAAGGAAGGTTATACACTGCCTTTTTTTTGGCCTGAAAAAAAATTGTCTCAGATCGACCAGGAAAAACATTTTCTTATAGAATGTGGCCTGTAGAATCCATAATTTCAATCAGTTCGAAGATTGGGCTACTAGATCAAAAGTTACAGCCCTTTGAATTTTCTTACGAAATTGGTTTCTAGTCTATAACTTTTTTTTGAGAAGTCTAAATCTATGGTATGTACATGCTACCAGTGACTTTATAGAGACAGTGGCGACAATAGAGTGTCTAATTTTTGATTGGTTATTGAGATCGGCCGCCATTTTGCGTCAAATATCCGGTAATAGATATGCTCACGCGCATTCCCGCGCTTCTATAAACGTCACTGGTTGACAAATTTGAAGTACAGGTGCCATGATATTCCTAAAAAAAAATAGTATCATGACAGATGACAGTCTGACATTAGCGACTTCTGCAGTGAAATGCCAGTGGCAGACGATGAAAAATTTGTGTAATTTTGACTGCTCTCTAATATGAAATTGCGGTGTACGCCATACATGCCTACGTGTATTGTGTGTTGCCACCTTTTTGACTCAAAATGGCGGCCGATCTCCTATTGTCGCCACCGTCTCTATAAAGTCACTGTAGTACATGCCATAGATATATAAATACATAGATACAGCCATACCCCAACATAGTTCAAAAGGACGTACCATCTATTACCATCACTTTCGGCACATTAATTACGTATAGCGCTATCCTTTATAGAGGTACCCTGAGCATGGAAGACAAGATTCGCATTATTTATTATAACTGTCAATCAAATTGTTAGCACAAATCACCCAGAAAATTATCAGATTTGAGACAACATAAATAAACCGCCTTTTTATTTATTTAAATCGCATAGAAGCAAGAAATGTTACATTTAAAATGGAAGCTGACAACTGGAAGAAAGTGTGTGAACATGTGGAAAGTGATTAATTTAAAAGAGAAGTTATATTGGTTGATGTTTCTGAACTTTATAATAAGTGTTAATAATGACAGTGGTGATTCGGATTTGTCAATTTCATCTGATGATGATTCGGATTGTGAACTTTTACAAACGTAATGAATGTTCACTAAATGAGTATTATCACCAATTGGATATCATTGTTAAGATGTTGTATTTATTTTAAATAAATGTACATGTGTAGCTTACATACTACAATTAACACTATAATTTCAAAAAGAAACCCCACCGATTGGACATATGCCGAAAGGTATGCAAGACGCGTAGCGACCAAAATTTGATATTGCACGCACACGCAGTCTAAAAACTCGTTTTCCTAAGAATATTGCACGGATCCTTCTTTGTGATCATGATACAAACGCACTGCATCAACATCATATAGGCCAAAATGATAATTGGAAACGAATTCACTTCCTGTCGCAACTTAATCTCCGTTACCATTACGCCTAAAATCATGCAATTAAAATTAAAATGTTGAACATAAACTTTACTTACTTACGGTTTTTTTGATATTCTGCAAGCCAGCAATGAATTCACTGCAGCACATCATGCCAAACAAGGTAAACATAGTCCCAATAAATTTGAATGGCGTAGCTCTATGTAATAAAACTATTTCAGGAATAACAATTATGGACGCGTCTATAATTATTATGGCAAGCACTAATGTTATTCGTATTCAATTGATAACGATATTTACACAATATTTAGTGAAAAAACCGCCCATCATGTTTAGGGCGAATATTTTTAGTTAGATTTGATTTCGCGCGATCGTGAAATCTGTCAACTGTCACATGACTTATGGGACGCGCTAAGTTTGTTATAAGCGTCCGATTCGCGTACGACATAGTGGTTAATGCAATAAAAAGAGATAGAACATGTTTCTTCTTGGTTAGAAAGTAATGGAGAGATGTACAAATTTCTTTGATATGTTTTTTAAAAACCGAAGTACGTTTGTTAAGGATGGCTGTATCTAGGTATTTATATATCTATGGTACATGCCATAGATATATAAATACCTAGATACAGCCATCCTTAACAAACGTACCTCGGTTTTTAAAAAACATATCAAAGAAATTTGTACATCTCTCCATTACTTTCTAACCAAGAAGAAACATGTTCTTTCTCTTTTTATTGCATTAACCACTATGTCGTACGCGAATCGGACGCTTAAAACAAACTTAGCGCGTCCCATAAGTCATGTGACAGTTGACACATTTCACGATAGCGCGAAATCCAATCTAACTAAAAATATTCGCCCTAAACATGATGGGCGGTTTTTTCACTAAATATGTAATTATTGGGTTATCAATTGAATACGAATAACATTAGTGCTTGCCATAATGATAGACGCGTCCATAATTGTTATTCCTGAAATAGTTTTATTACATCGAACTACGCCATTCAAATTTGGGATAATGTTTACCCTGTTTGGCATGATGTGCTGCATTGAATCATTGTTTATTCAATGATATAGTGTTTTTATTCAATGATTGAATTCATTGCTGGCTTGCAGAATATCAAAAAAACCGTAAGTAAGTAAAGTGTATGTTCAACATTTTAATTTTAATTGCATGGTTTTAGGCGTAATGGTAAAGGAAATTGTTGCGACAGGAAGTGAATTCGTTTCCAATTATTATTTTGGCCTATATGATGTTGATGCAGTGCGTTTGTATCATGATCACAAAGAAGGATCCGTCCAATATTCTTAGGAAAACGAGTTTTTAGACTGTGTGTGCGTGCAATATCAAATTTTGGTCGCTACGCGTCTTGCCTACCTTTCGGCATATGTCCATTCGGTGGGGTTTCTTTTTGAAATTATAGTGCTAATTGTAGTAAGTAAGCTACTCGTGTACATTTATTTAAAATAAATACAACACCTTAACAATGATATCCAATTGGTGATAATACTCATTTAGTGAACATTCATTACGTTTGTAAAAGCTCACAATCCGAATCATCGTCACATGAAATTTATCATCACTGTCATTATTAACACTTAGGTATTATAAAGTTCAGCAACATCAACCAAATATAACTTCTCTTTTAAATTAATCACTTTCCACATGTTCACACACTTTCTTCCAGTTGTCAGCTGTAATTTTTTCAAATTCTTCATTTGCCAGCTTTATAAGTAACATCTTCCATTTTAAATGTAACATTTCTTGCTGCTATGCGATTTAAATAAATAAAAAGGCGGTTTATTTATGTTGTAAAGTTTCAAATCTGATAATTTTCTGTGTGATTTGTGCTAACAATTTGATTGACAGTTATAATAAATAATGCGAATCTTGTCTTCCATGCTCAGGGTACCTCTATAAAGGATAGCGCTATACGTAATTAATGTGCCGAAAGTGATGGTAATAGATGGTACGTCCTTTTGAACTATGTTGGGGTATGGCTGTATCTATGTATTTATATATCTATGGTACATGCTGACATACCGCGCCATCTATTATCACGCAAGCAAAAATCGAGTCACATTTAAACGAAAAGTGAGGTTAACGAACCCATTTTCAAACGCTCGCCTTAGCATTTACTAGACATGATTTTAAGATAATTATTTAAGATGCACCGTTTCTTTAGTGTTAAAAAAACCAGTTTTGTAAACCTTCCAGTGGCTAGCTTTAAGGAACATGGCTTTAATCGACCGATTTGCGGTGTTTGTCACAAGTTGCATAATATACACAAAGGTAGGCCGCTCTAAATTCGCCAAAGTTAGTGCTAACTTCCGCCCTTTTAGGCTTGAATTATTCGACGAAACGCGACACGGCAGCGGAGGCGAGAGTTCGAAAACGAGCCGCGAAGAAAATTCCATCGTACGCCGAAATCCTAGTGGGTCGGTTTGATTAGCACCGAGTTGTAAGTGTTTATTTTAATTGATCGTTTTTAGTGACGAAGGGCAGCACCTCGCAACAGAAAGCGCCCGTTAAGGTGCTCAGTTTGCGAGATCTGAAATTTTTCACGAGAACAAATTTGAACTTGGCCGAATTGTATAAGTTGAAAGCGTTACGAAAGGCGGAGAACGTCAACCAGCACACCTACCATAATTTGACGATTATTGATCACGCACCAATCGACGATGTGAAAGCGCAGATTGAGCTCGATTTGAAAGCTACCGCAGCCAGTGTTCCACTTGTAGAGGAAGTGAAGCAGTCCGATTCGGAATGTGAACCTTTTGAAAGTTTAGAAAGGTAATTGTGGTACTGTCTCACAAATCTCCCATACATTGGCATTTCGCTTAGATGATGATTGATATTGTGTATTTACGTAATTCCAGTTCAGGTATGGAAGATTTGTGAGGTTTTGGTGGCGGCTGAAACTCCACCTTTGTAAAAATATAGGTGTAAAATAAAAACTTCAAATGTTTGTAATTTGTATTAGAAGAATGTTTAGACATTGAAATTTGTCTCTGCTGAGACAGGCCCGTAGCCAGGGGGTGACCAGGTGGGGCTGATCCCCACCTAGAACATGGTCCTGCCCCCACTGGAAATTACGGTTGATGATTCTTTTACAAAAATTACAGGGGGAAGTCTTTATCAAAAACTTCGTAAGCCTCCCCCCTCCCCCTAAAAAATACCGGTCACCTCTGCTGCTTCATTCTGGCTACGGGCCTGTGCTGAGATAGAAGATAGGCAACTTGATTTATGCGGAGTATTAAAGAAAATGTACAACTATGGTTTGTACAGGGTATTTCAAAATTGTTGCGCGATTCGGATTACTAACAACATGGTATTTTAAAAGAAATGTGTTTGTCTCTGTTTATTATACATCTAACTTAAATACCAAAACTGAAAACATGAAAGAGTGGACAGACATATTTCGTCTCGTATTTCGTGGCAGAGTAGTAGTTTGCAATGTATTTCTTATGGCAATAATTCCATAGCCGTGTCGATGGTGACTATGGGAGACAATAAACGAAAGAATTTGATTTAAATCACAATCAGCCATGGAACTATTGCCATAAGAAATACATTGTAAACTTTAGGCAAAAATGCATTGATTCCCAAATGAAATGAAATACCGAGTGTTTAGTATCACTGGTTTTGTAATTTTTTTGTCTATAGAGTGACGTAAAAATCCAATATGGCGTCCATTTAAAATAAGGAAGTTGATGTCAATATTTCGAAAACCGCCATTTTGAAAACAAAATTTTGTACGTCCATTGAATTTATCCCATCGAATCTTGCAACTTTTGTTTATAAAATATTTGAACTTTTTAAAAATGGCGATTTTCACTTTTTTCCAATTATCTACGAAACGATTTACTTATTTGAAAATATCGCATCGGAATATCCATCAGCATCAAAAACTACACAACTTTGCCAATTTAACCGAATCTGTAAGTATAACAAAGTAGCCATGTTATTCTACTCAATTTAAGACACCCTGTATAGTGGAGTTTCGAGATCCATCCCATATAAATATTCAGGGTCGTGAAAAATTATCAAATTTGGCATTTATGGCCAATAATATTTTGGCAAAATACTATGTAAGCAATTTCAAGTGTATTACGCCTCCATATATAACACACAAAAGCCCCTGGCCCATCGCACAAGCGGATAACAAGAATCATAATTGAACTTTGGTCACCTTTTTGTTAGTGTTAAAATTATAGACGCTACAATGTGGAAAATTTCACTCCCAGGTAAATACGTCCTTGTGCAATTGAAATATCAATATTCGCGCCAAGACATACCCAGTGACCAGTGGCGTAGCAGATGCATCTTTTGCACTTTTGTAAGTGCATGAACTGTTCAATTCAAAACTGCCAGATATGTAACATAATAAAATATTACATTACAGCTCTCTTGTTCAATCTTCTTAACCGATAACAGATTTACACCGTCACGTCATTTATTAATACTTATGCTTTGATCACCATTTCCATGCTTCACATTTAAGTTTCCACATTTTTCTGTAATTATTACTATTTACCATAGAATTTACTGACCTTCATTCGACTAGGAGGGGGGGGGGGCTAGTATCCCGGTTTACAGTTCATTACTTAATTTTTGAAAAGTATCCCGGTTTATCAATAGGAATTAGAGTTGTACTACCACTACCTTTAAGTTTCTAGGTTTGCCGTTAGAGGGCGTACGATTAATGGTAAAGTTAAAGTCACTAAATATAGAAAGTACCGCAATCCATTGGGCTCGTGTGTTAGAGAGAGAACACACGATTTTTGCCCAAAAATGGCGGAAGTTACCAGATTCTAGTAACTTTAACCTTAGGGATTGTTCCACCTGTTTGGAGATATCTGTATATATTTTTATAAAACATGACAGTACTATGAAGTTAGGTTATGAAAAATGACAGCTATTCAGATTTTATTTGTCAATTTTTTTAAATTGGCAGCAAATTTGCCCAAAAATGGCGGATATCTATATCTAGTGACTTTAGGTAAAGTTAAAGTCACTAGATATAGAAAGTACCGCAATCATCCGCCATTTTTGGGCAAATTTGCTGCCAACTTAAAAAAATTGACAATTAAAATCTGACTAGCTGTCATTTTTTATAACCTAACTTCATAGTACTGTCATGTTTTATAAAAATATATACAGATATCTCCAAACAGGTGGAACAATCCCTAACATTAGAGTTACTAGAATCTGGTAACTTCTGCCATTTTTGGGCAAAAATCATGCGTTCTCTTTCTAACACACGAGCCCAATGGATTGCGGTACTTTCTATATTTAGTGACTTTAGGTTAAGTAGAAAAATGATTTTTTCCTAAAATATACTCAACAAATATGCTTCGCAATCTTGTATGAATTTTGCATCATAAAATATGAGTGGTGGGGGAAGGAGAAGATCTATTTAAGGAATTGAATGTATTCAGTTTAGGTTAACGGATTTTTACATAATTGATCTTATTGGAAAGAGCTGTCTTTGTGTGATACGATTTTACATTGTAGTATTTTTAATGAACGTTATAAGTGGTAGAAGGCGCGGTTCGATATTAATTATAAAGTGAAAATATCAGAGAAAACCACATTTTGATATCTGTTTCCTAAGCAGAGACGGCGAAAATACGCAAATTCACAAATTTAAATTGCAATATTCATCAAAGTTGGCTTTGAAACAAAAGAAACACACTGCTACGTAAAAAACTACCTTGTAGGGATTTGGCCCTTTTTTGGAAAATGAAACTTTTTGAACATTTACATTGTCATAATTATGAAATGATCTTTGACACATGAAATTCTAACACAAATGATTCCGGGGTTCTCGTGGCAGCCATTTTCTGTCTACGTCTAACGGGCAAACGGTTAACTAACTGGTTATATGCGTAAAAGAAAAACCATTTCAATTGTTCTTTCGTACAGTACTGAATTTTTGTAACCCTGAAGTATATTTTAAAGAATTTTCTCTTTAATAACACTATATTTAGTTAAACTACAATAAATTATTTATTATAGAATTCCAAGCAACCCTTTACAGCCAGAGGTATTGGAAGAAGTTGAAGATCACACACACACTCAAGATGCGCATCTCGTCGTACCCCCAACCGCTACCGAAGAGGTGATTTCGAGAACGCTCACTGCATATATCGAAGTATGCAACTACCTGAAATCGCCGCAACGCGCGCTGAACGCGCTCATTTTCCACCGCAACCACAAGCACAACGCGAAAAAAGTATTTCCCTCCATTAAAAATATCAACGTCTACAACGGCTTAATGCGAGGTTTCGCCGCGAAGGGCAACTACGAAAAAATCGAAGAAATTCTAAGCTACGTCGCCGAGGAGAGGATCGACTTAAACGTGCAAAGTTACGCGGCGATCTTCGAGTGCCTGGGGCGGATGAACGCGGACGACGGCCACCTGAAACGGATACGATCGCACGCGTCCGAAGCGTACCGATCGGGAATATCGTTCGACAGGATCATGAACGAGACGATGTTCGTGAGCGATCAGCGCGATGTGGTCCTAAAGGCGATCCGCAGTCATTCGCCCAACTACGAACTCAAACCGTCTCTACCGCACTTACAGTATTCGAACGAGTTAGTCAACGCGCTCAATCATCCCGATCAGTTGAGGCCGCCGTCCGAATGCGCCGCCAGAACCGATGGCCTCTTTACAGGCGAAGAGTTGCGGGAGAGAATTAATAAGCAAATCGAAATTGAGAAGCATGGCTACGTCACGGTAAGTTGTGCAGTGTCAAGGTTTTAAAGAATCTTGGGCGCGGTGTGCGCGTTCACGTTTCAGGGGTTGGGTCAGTTTAAGTACATTTTGGTTTAGGCATAGCGTAAATACAATAAGAGTTCCAGAAGCTTATTAATTTGTGGCCACCTTTCACACAGCTCATATAAGTAGATGGCGATGTAAGCGTGGGAAAATTTTCATTCAGCGCCCCCTGTTATGTAGGACAGATCACTAAATTAAGTAGCTGAATTAGCGCGTTTATGAACCACTCAAAGCCGCAGCCTTACGAATTTTTAACTTCTCGCATACCTACTTCCGATATAATTCAAATAATCTTCATGTCCGATTATTCGCTTCGAACAAAGTCTATTTAGTTTTTTTTTGTACAAATTAATGTTACGCGTCCGTTCGTGCTATTGACATCCATTTTCCAAATTTTGAAACTACGTAAACAGAATTTAAATATGACGTTATGAGAGAAAAAATCGTGTGACCTCGAATGGACTTCAGCGCATTTTTGTGTGGTAGACCAGTTTCTATTAGCCTGTTATATGCATCATGAAAGTCGCAAAGTAACTTTTTCAAAAGGTCACCGCGTGGTGATTTTTTAGTCTTCTTCTGCAGTTGTAGAAAGATGAGGAGTGTACTTGTACCTACCAGGCCGCATAAACAATTCCTTTAGGGGCGGGGCTACATGATGTGGGGTCGGCGCCATCCCCGAGCGTGGTTTACTAACGTGGTGATTTTTTAGTTTTTTCCTGTCTTCTTCTGCAGGAAAAACTGAAATATCACCACGTTAGTAAACCGCGCTCGGGGATGGCGCCCGGATGTCACCGACCCCACATCATGTAGCCCCGCCCCTAAAGAATTGTTAATTATGCGGCCCGGTAGGTACAAGTACACTCCTCATCTTTCTACAAGCGATCTTCTATGGGGTCTCATTTGCTACCAGCCAGCTAGCCCGCCGGCCAAAGTGCGATTAAAAACGACCGTGTTACAAATAAATTTGCAAAAAATGCGTTAAAGAGAGATAATTACAAAAAAAGTTAAATCACTGTTTGCTGCTAAACAATGGCCTAGACGGTCCTAAAACTGTCGTCTAACTTCAAATTCAATATGGGCATAGCTTTAGCCATATAATACGCAATGCCAAAAGTTGAGTCGAATCGATCCAAAATTCACAGTGCCCTGTTCGCATCTCGAGTAATTATAAACCGAATTGCAAACTTTTTTATTTATGGAAGCATTTAAATGAAATTTGAAGTTTGAAATTTGAAACAAAGGAAAATCTAACGTTAGTTTTAAAATTTAGGTTTGCGCATGCGCAGTTCCAACTTTCTTATTTAGAAAAGCATTGAAATGATATTCTTCTCATAAACTGAACTTGAAGTTGCACGTCAAAAATGGATTGCACATATACAAACGCTATCTTACATATTTGTGGTCGGATTTTTACGATTTTAATAGAAGTGGCATCTGACAAATGAGAAATGAATGCAAGTGGAAATGCGCTTTTTGTAAATCATTTACGATTACTTTTTTAACTTGTTGTCTTGAGTATTGAGTGGGCGGGGTCTCAGCTAAGGCTGCTCTACCAACCTAACCCACTACACATTTACAAATACCCATGCCCGTATCCGGATTCGAACCAGGGACCCTTAGTACCGTAGTCCAGCTTCAACTTAACTGCGACACACGAGCCGGCTTAAAAATGGTTATTGTTTGTAAAAACATCCAATCACATGTCTTAACAACACTGTTAGCTGACAACATAGTTAAGTATGCTGTATGGTTTTATAATACGGGCCGATAATCATTTTGAAATTAACAATTTTGTGGTTTTCCCTGTATTTCTTACCCGAGCGAAAATTTTGATTTTACCGTATTAAGTTTTAAAGTTTAAAAAGACCACATGCTCAAAAATAAGAACCAACAACTTTTTTTTAAATGAAAATACATTTTTATTTTCCTTTTGGAATTTTACATAGTGTTTCATCTACAGGGTGTCCCATTTTCGACACTTTTATAGGCGTTATGGGCTCTTTTTGGGTCAAACTTCCAATGCTAAAATCAAAATTTGCACATTTTTGCTTCAGAGATACGGAGATAAATCAAACAATTTTCAATTTCAGAATGAC